CAAGGTTGGGAAGAGAGTATCTACATTAAGAAACCGCCAACTAGGTGCCGCACACTGCTTTCAGCTAAAGAAAGAGGAAAGAGAGGGATGAGCTACCGCGTCAATGTGAGGCAGAAAACCAGGAAAGATGGATGCGTACTTGTACAGTATTGGAGAAGAGAAGGTGGCGGTGTTGTTGAAATACTCGCAGATGCCAAATATTGCAGACCCAGTACAGTCAGGCCTGCAAGCACGTGGCATTTCCATCAGAGGTACCGCTTCCTTTGGCAACTGTCTCCTTTCGTAGGCCACTGTCACTGCCAAGCGCATGTCTAGGGTTACTGAAAAGTACGGCCACCGTTCGCCGAAGAAACGGGGGTTCTTGGGTGTCGCTGTCCAACCCTGTCGCTCACAGGTCTGCTGCTCTCAGCAAGAGCCTCCCAGCGACACCTAACACAGCGAAGCGTCTGTCGCGCACATTGTCCACAGGCTTCACATGTTCGCTTCCCTCTTCAGGAATGTCCAACGCTGATCAATCATCCCACTCCAGGGTCAAGTCCCGACTCCTCAAGCATGCCAACAGGTTCACCCAGACTTATCCTGCGATGCAACGTCGACATTTCTTGTCACTACCACCTTCCCTATCCTAGAATCTGAGCCTCAGATAAACGGATTCTAGTGGCATTGACTGGTTTAACAAGTGCCTGTCCAGCCCTCGATAAGAAAGCAGTTTCACAAGCCATTGCGGCACGAGCAATCATAACTCGACCACCTACAGTGGGGGGCCAACAGTTACGACACATTTTCATGTACCCCGCTTTCCCTCTACCTACACCATAATCAACACTCAACTTCAACGACTCATTGCGCAGCCAAATTAAGTCAGAATGGTGTCGCAAGTACATCATTCACCTTATACAAGAACGAGGATTGTTTGGAGGTACAATTCGAGTGTGTACGCAGCTACAATCGCACGCGAAAAGGGGCTAAGTTGGCACGCGATTTACGGTGTGGTACGGCGGTATCGATACCAAAAGAGTAGTTAAGATCAACCCAGGCCCGGCCGGCTGCACAAGCTAGGAAATTGGGAAAAAATACGAATACTGAGAGTTATAGAGAATGACCCTTATATCCAAATTAAGGAATTAATTAAGGAGGCCGGACTGAGCTGCTCTAGAAAGACAATTCTAGCATTCCTAAGAAGCCAGGGTATTATATATTTTAAGTTACTTATCCAGCCCTTTATTAGCGAGGCTATAGCTAGAAAATGCTTTTACTTTGCTAGGCAATATGTGTATATATCTGCAGATTTCTAGGAGTCTTGGACCTTCTTAGATGAAGTTATTGTAGCCCGAGGCAAGGGCCAGCAATACACTTAGTACTTCTATAAGCCAGTATATTATCTCTTTATAATTATAACCTCCCTGATTGTTCCTAGTATAAGAAACTATTTAAAAAGAATATTCAGACTCGAGTTACTCTAATAAGGTATTTGCAGATATTTGTCAGCGCCTTTAACTATCCAGGCGCCTTCTAATAGTCCCTCTTTATAGCAATCCGGATTCTAATCGTAGCGGCGTTACAGCATAAGTTCTGCTTAAATGCCTACAGCAATACCTTCCTTAAATTATTACTAGAAATAGCCGCTTTTAGCGTAATAATTCTTCTCTTTTTTGGTCGCGATTAATGATAAGCTGGCTGCTAGAATAGTGCGAGAATAGAAGAGCCGAGATTATAGACTGGCCGCCATACAGCCCAGATCTTAACCCCATTGAAAATCTATTGGCAATACTCAAAATAAGGATCTGCGAGCGATATACTGAGCTCTCGACGATGCCGAAAAACGAGGAATCCAAGAAGCGGCTTATTGAAGCTGCGATTAAGCTGTGGGAAGAGATTCAGCTGGAGGTGCTATAAAATCTGATCTTTTCGATAAAACGCAGGATGCAGGCTGTAGTTTGCGCATATGGCTGGTACCTATAATATTGAAGATGCCTCTAGAAGCCCCATTTAATAGGCTATAGATTGATATATATAAATATTTATTTGATATTTATTTGATTTTGCTAGAATTAAATAAAACTGAGGCCTTTATTTGGTAGAGGTACTGTGATACTGGGTTGACTTGGGGTGTATCGTAACTTTCGCAGCCCCACTGTAGATACATATCCCGCATTCTGATATCGCACGTGGCTATGGAAATATTACCTTAAGTCTAGGGCACCTCTAAAAAAGGTACAAGCTATGACTCCAACGCCTGGTATATAAAGATAGGAGTAAACTGCTATTAAAATCACAATCAACTTCGAGCGATACATATCTGTCTAGGTTGTTTATAGACAGGCGGTTTCTGTATGGGGGCTTCGACGCCGTAAAAATATGGGTTGGCGTTTGCTGTTGATTCTGTCTATAATCTGATGCTTCTTCTTTCTTTATATGCATTCTATCATCTTTCTTGTCCTATATGTATATGCCAGTGTATGAATTTGGCATGTCCCGACTATCATAGAGACGGGCTATACGAAGGCTCTTTTTGTTGTTAATGGCGTCTGCTACCTCTGAGGCTATAGTTTGTAGAAAGTTAATAGCGAAGGACTTCACAGATCTACTGTAATAGCTACGGTTTAAGAACCAGCTGATCTGATTTGAGAGTGATACGTATCCTTGCTTCTGTAGCTTAACTGCTAATTGCCCCAGTCGACTTGATTTCTATTGCGACAATCTGCCTTGTGCAACTTCCTTTATGAGTGGTAGATGAATCGTTTGTTATCGATTATAAAGGCCCTGAAGAAGTTCATATCCTCAACCGAAGTATTTAGCATACAAAATCACTTCAAGTATCTTTAGGAGTCAGACATAATATCCTATATTATATTGAAAATAGTCGATTAAGACTTAGAGCGCCTTATTACTATTCCAAATATTATTCTAAGAGTTTACAAGTAACCCTATCTAGCTATTTCGCCTTTCCGACCTGAACTAAGTTAGGTCGGAAAGACTATCCTTATTACAGGTATAGCAGAAGGTATCTGATTCTTTATTACCAGAGCTTTTGCCCAAGCCTTAGCTTTAAGAGTTATCTTAGATATTCATCGCGATCCCCTTCTTGCTGCAGCCTCTAAGCTCAGGGAGGAGATTAAAGAGATTAGTCCGAAGACGGTTATTAATACCCGAGTTTGTGATATCGCCGATCTGAACGAGACCGACACTCTATAGTCGAATCTATCTAATAAAGGGATTACTGTGGACATCCTTGTGCTGAGTGCTGCATATTATGGACCTGACGAGCCCATTTTGAGCAGCGGTCGTGATGTAATCTGGTTAAGTTTTATCATAAATATCAGGGCGCTACTGGACTATATCGAGCGGTTCTATAAGCAAGGGAGGCCCGAGAAATAGAAGGTATAGCTACGGATAGGAGTATCCTAAGGCCAAGACAACCTCGTCTGCTACTATATTTATATAGAAGAGCTAATATTTTAGGGCTCTTTAGTTCCTAATTAATATCTCTACTCAGGGAATCTATGCGTGGAATCTGGAAGATACCAGGCTATCTTATAGTCTGACTAAGAACTCCGGGATACTTCTAGTCTAGCAGATTGCTAAGGATATAAAGCCAGAGATGATACAGATTATAAACTTCTACTTTAATAAAGTTTTTACTAAGTCGGCAAGGAGGCAGGGATATAGCAAAGATATTATAGAGTGGCACGACAGTAAGATAACTTATTATTCTGCTTTCTGGATGAAAATATACTCTTTACGCCCTAATATTATAAATAGACATTCTGACGTTTGTTGCAGGGAATCTGGGTGGACAATTTGCTATATAGGCTGCAACTTGTAAGGCTGTATTTTTATATGGTCGCTTTATCTGGGCTTCTTGGGATGTCGACTGTTTGCGATCTGAAAAGTTTTAGAAGCGCCTTTAGGATCCGAACTACCTGAAGATCGGCGTGAAGGGTTTGGAAGCTCGGTAGAGGCTGACTGGCATAATTATGTTGAAATGTCCTAGATTGTATTGGCCTGGTCTTGAAGGAACCCTAGTCCATCACAGTCATTTATTCAGATTTCCTACTAGTCTAAGAATCATGAGATTGCTATATACTGTATATCTTATTAGTTCATCTTTATATTATCATTACAGTAGTTATTTGGAGGATCATCTGAAATGCACGCAGTGGCGCACCGCCAAGCACCGGGCGGCTCATACGGCGCCGCTTCATTTGGATATCCTCCTATTGGCACCCTATTCCTCGGCCCGGAGAAGTAGAGATTCGGAAAGGTCGGATCTCAAACGGCAGAGATGCACTGGACGGGCCTTCTTCGCCTGAGAGACGAAGGGCATGTGTCCTATGGCTGCCAGCATAATGGTGTCGCACATGTGAGAGCATCCTCAATACTCTTCCCTCGAGGCAGGACTCTCCATCACCGGATACTCTCCTGCAACAGGTAGTAGAGATCCGCGTTAGCAGTCATAGAGGCTGCATCTAAGAATGCATCCGTACGGAAGTAACTTCTCTGCTGTTGGAGGGAGGGACTGGGATATAGATATGACCGCTTCCAAACCGTTATCAGATCAATTGGCCTAGAAAACAAATTTGCAACTAGATGTCTCGCACCCTGTAGTGGGGCATAAGGTAGAGGGTGCAACAAGAGTTTCTGTCGCGCAATAGTAAGCTGTTTCGTGCAACGGCCACACATCGCAACGTCTTGTCCCCGATGGAAGGCACTGTGCCAGGAAGCCGGGAAAGAGCGGCTGTGCAGCCACGCCGACGGCGCCTCTTCGCCCTACTATATCCAGCGTCGTAAATCTCGGAGAAATAAGCAAAGGAATCTCTTATTAGCCGACTTTGTTTACGGCACCTGAGCGGGGAGAGTAACTTCCGAGCTTCGAGGAGGAGACGAATATTCGCTATAACCCATAGTATGACTCGCACGACCCAAAGGGAGGCGACCACCTATACTCGGTGCTCGGTACTAATAAGGCAACTTTATATAATACTTAAAAACCTCCCGAGATGTTACTATCAGTTCTCTCCGAACTCTCTCAACTGTCTCCCTACAAGCCCTCTACCTCGTCTCGGCTCGTTCTTTTGGGTTTGGTCAACTGTCTTATTCCTATTATAAAGCTAAGTCTTCTGATTCTTTTATGCGGTGGTGCCGCTGCTCTTAATGTCAGGTATTCCTGCCTATCTGGAAGCAAGGCGCCATATATCTCCCTGGACTACGGCACATTTCGCGGAACCAGCAACTTTACAGGAGTCAACAGTTTTCTTGGTCTCCCATTCGCCAAAGCAGGTCGCTACGAGAACCCGCGAGTGCCCGATGCGCGGGACCACCAAAAAGGTATCCGAGACGCCACCAAGTATGGTCTAGAGTGCCCTCAGTAACTTCTCACCCCACCTTTAGATGAAATCCATTCGGAACAGGTCTTAGAGATTCTGTCAGGGGCTGCGGCTTTGCTCTCTCGTGGACCCGTGACTGAAGACGAAGACTGCTTGAGTATCAACGTCCAGGTACCGGTAGGATTGAAGTCGGCGGCCGGCTTACCCATACTCCTTTGGATTCATGGCGGCAGTTTTGGCACGGGAGTAAGTGCAATCGGAACGGAAACGACTCTACTGTCAGCAAGTCCTTACAGTAATAGGTCTTCTTATATCTGCTGTTCACTGATATATCAACTTTTCCAGAATATAATATACCAAGGAGTAAGAATTATAGAGAGGTCGGTCCGGATGGGTTAACTAATTGTTTTCGTTTCGGCAAACTACAGACTCGGCCCGTTTGGAGGCTTGGCTTCTCAGGAAATCACGGATGCAGGTGTAGCCAACCTGATGCTCAAAGACCAGTAAGGATCTCTTCCCGCTGCTTCAACCTCGAGACTGATTGGATTCGAAGACGCGTGGCCATGCAGTGGGTCCAGAAATATATCCTCGAATTTGGAGGCGACCCTACGAAGGTTACTCTATTCGGCGAGAGTGCTGGGTCCGCATCTATTGCGATTCACATAGTTCTTAACGATAGCAAAAACGACGGACTTTTTTAAGGCGCTATTATGGCTTCCGGTGGTATTTAGAAGTTGAAAGACTACTACTACAGGCAGGACCTGTTTAACTTTATAGCTGAGCAGTCTGGATGCAGTTAAGCTGAAGATAAGCTCGCCTGCCTAAGAACAGCCGACTATAGTTTGCTCTACAATACATCCCATCAATTGCCGAGCTTGGTCTCGTACCGAGCTACTCAGGTACCCTGGTACCCACGCCCCGATGGCTTATTCCTTAAGGCCTCGCCTCACCGGTTACCCCGCTCGGGGAATGTCGCGAGGGTTCCGTTCATTATTGGCGATGTGAAGGACGAAGGAACCATTTTCAGCATTATTGCCAGCCTCAACCTGACCACAGACGCAGAGTTTCGATCATATTTCAAGACATACTTTTTCGACAATCTTTCTAATAAACAAGTCAAGGAATTCACCGACTTGTAGCCGCAAGATCCGGCTCAGGGTTCACCTTTTGATACAGGCGACGCTTATGTTCTCAGTCCTCAGTACAAGCATCTCTCCGCCGCTATTAGCGACTATATAGTAAGATACTAATCTTTAATTGATCGATTATGAGTTTTGATGCATGGACTAGTTCCAGTCCGGCCGCCGTGACCTCCTCTAATATACATATTAACGCCAGAAGGCCTATACGTATCTTCTTAACCAGCAGCCATTTGACTGATACGAGCGCCTGCCTCGGTTTGGTAACCTTTCTGGTCTCGAGCCGCTTGGCTCGTTCTATACGTCCGAGGTTAACCTGAATACCTTCGGTAATATCTCACCTTCCATCTTAAATAATTTACTAAACATGATGTCGACCTTTATCGCATTTGTGAATAGTCTCGATCCAAATTATCATGGTCTGGCTGATATCTCTAACTGGCTAACTTGGGAGCCGGAGAAGAAATCGATGCTACAGTATGCGGAAAGCGGATGTGAGATTATTAAGGATGATTTCAGGGAAAAGGAGATTAATTTCATCAACAATCATGCTAATGATTTTACCATGTAGTTAGAGAGGGTTGTGGGTTGCCTACTGTTAGTAAATAGGAGAAAAGAGGTGGTATAAGAAATTAAGGTAGAAGAGATTGTATAATCTTTATTTATGTATTTTATCGAGGATAAGGGGTTTTTCTGCTATGGGCAACAGAGATTCTGGGATGGCATCTTTGCCAGAGTATTAGAACGAATCCGGTTCTATGGCACGTAAAAATGTTATTACTTGACCCTTGCCTAAAGAGCAACTCCAAGCACTACAGCGCAACAAACTATTAAACATGCCAACGGCCAGGACGACCAGCACACCAACAATATCTGCCGCCCCGAAGATCCATTTAAGTATGATTCTACAAGGGTAAGGCGCGAGAGGCGTAAACATCCGCCTATCTTCACCCTTATCGCCGTACCTTAAATTCGAGCCCCTTATCGACCTTTATTTCCTTGTGACAACCTCTATAGTAGTGCCAGATATGTACCACTTCTTTGACGACAAAGGATTGCGACCGACGCTAGGCCAGATTTGCGTGGCTCGGCACGACGATCGTGTTAATGACTGACAAGCGAAGAACACCGCTAGTCGCGCAACCCGACGCCCGAGCTGTTACTAAGCGACCCGGCCGTAGCAAGAGTCAAGTGTCACAATATTGTCCGAAGCCCGAGATGCAGCTCCTGCAACCAACCCCGAAGTTAAATGAAAAGACCCGGATTCCGAAGTTAGCGTCGGCAGCCCATACCACCCGACGTCCGTTACCGGAGCTTGCTATTATTCCCGGAATACCACGTATGATAGCCCCTAGCAAGTGAAAAGTTTCTGAGCGGTTAAATCTAAAGGCATGAAGTACTTGCAATAGTAAAAGAAGGAGTATACCTAGATATTACTATAATTAGAGGCTACTGGTCACTGAAAGAGGTTATGTTTACTAAGTATTACTAAATCTGCAGGCTACTCAGCTTGTGATATCGGCGAGGGAGGGGATATTAAGTAAAGCGACTAGGATTGAGTGATGTCCCCAAGGAGTTTCCACTCTGGAGGGGCTCATTATTGGGTAGAGTCGTCTAGGGCCGCCCGATCTCTCTTGTAACGTGCCCCTGGCCCCCACAAATCATCGTCGTATCTTCCTCCCTTCAGTTCAGCGTCCATCCTCTCGGGTGTTTCTCCCAATTCCCGCGGGCCATTTAAGGGCAACAACAGCTCCAGCTGACCTGACCCTCTGTCACCTCCAAGTCCCTCTCCAATTCCAACAGCCAAAATGTCGACGATGCCAGCGCAGTATGGCCACAACGAGGCCTGCTGCAACATTCCCCCGGTTCTTTCCAACGGCTATAATGGCCAGGGCTCCTACGAAGAGGTTGGCGGCCTTAAGAGCTGTATTTCCCGTGTCTCTTCTTGCCGCTCTAGACCACCTAGCTAACTGCTCCCCTCCATAGATGTGACTGGCCCAGCCGACGCCAAAAAGGGCATCCTAGCTATCTACGACATCTTCGGCTACTTCCCCCAGTCTATCCAGGGCGCTGACATCCTCGCCACCAACCACAAACAGCAGTACCGCGTCCTTATCCCCGACTGGTTCGAGGGCAGCCCCTGTCCTATTGACTGGTATCCTCCCAACACCCCCGAGAAGCAAGAAAACCTCGGCGCCTTCTTCCAGAAGAATCCCCCGACAAAGGTCGCCGGCCAGGTACCAGAATTGCTCAAGGCCGCCAAGGCCAAGTACCCTGAAATCATCGACTGGGCCATTATTGGCGTGAGTGTCTTTCGCCTCTTTGACTTTTCATACCTGCTAACCGTACACCTGAGTACTGCTGGGGCGGTAAGGTCGTTTCCCTCGTCACCAAGGCCGATAGCACCATCTTCAAGGCCGGCGCTGAGTGCCACCCCGCTATGGTCGACCCTCAGGACGCCGAGGGCATTAGGACGCCCCTTATCCTGCTGGCGTCCAAGGAGGAGGCCGACGACGCGGTCAAGCAGTTCGAGGCGAACCTTCAGGGCCCCAAACACGTCGAGACGTTCAAGGACCAGATCCACGGCTGGATGGCCGCTCGTGCCGACCTCGACGATCCACGCGTCAAGGAGGAGTACGTTAGGGGCTATAAGACCGTCCTCAGTTTTTTTGCCAAGCACGTATAGGGGAGTGTTATCGGTTAGCGAGCGGCAGATTGACACAGATTATAGCTAGTAGTTCCTAAGTTTGAATGAATCCATAAATCTATAAGCCGATTTGTAAGACTTTTTTCCTTCCTCTCTGGATGCGATTCACCCTGCTGCTGGATTGTTGCTACCCTTGGATTCTCTAAACGCAACCACGTCATGCACGATATCAACTCACAGCATCCTAACTTCAAGGTGAGGCTATCCTATACTTACGAGGGCGTCCTTATGGCCACGGAGACCATAATCCAGCCCTAGCGACCTTAGATAGTTACTAGCATCCATAACCCTCGCGCTCTCGAAGTAAATATCGTGATCTCGTGTAATTCCGTTCCTTCCCCAGCCTGTCATATTAACTAACACAATCCTGTTCAATCTAGCAAGATCCCGATCGACTCACAATTGTTCCATCCGAGATGTTCCTGACGTCAACCCACCAGACTCAATCCCAGCCAGTACGTCATATCGTTAACTGACAACATGGCGGCTATGATCTATCGAACGACATCAAATATACAAGCAATGTGGCCTATTGGCGGCCCAGTGGCTGCCAAACTAATTTACTCGTCAGTTCAAAACTTGGCTCGAGTTAAATAATCGATCAGAGCCGGTACTCGACGCAGGCCGCTCTATTGCTGGTGAGTTAGTGGCAGAACACCGATGGTAGAGTCAACTAGAGGGAAGAGCGGGGTAATCTATATTCTATCGTACACTAAGTTACATATTGCCCCCGAACGGCGGTTTTAGTACACAATCTATTCAGGTCCGCAGGACTCTTAATTTAACTCATAGCCAAGGCAATCTGTTCCTTTTGTACGGCCAAGAACCGGCCCTGGATGGCCGATAGTCAGACAGGTTGCCGCCAAACACATAATACTATCATTGGTTGATTAGCAAAAGTCGCTACAGGATCAAGAGTGAGTGTTACTTACGCCGATTCTAGGCAAATGAACAAAGTCTCATCTCTAAACCAGTGACTGAAATACCCATCGTGTAATTCAACAATGCGGTAGACACAGCGCATAAGAATGAAAAAGAAAGACAGAAATAGAAAAGATAGAAAGTTCTTCATAGGCTTGTCAACATTGACCCAGGACAGGGACTTTTTGCAGGTCGTTAAGTAGTCGACAAACAAGGCGCAGAAGCAGAAAAGAGTGAAAACCTGAAAGAGAAGTCCCGCTAAGGAGATGTTGACACCGACTTGGACGTTGTCTTGGGTGGTACTGACACTTGAAAGCGCGCCACCAGCAGCTTGCAAAACAAGCGATATAACATCCACGGGAATAAAGATCCAGTAAATGAGTTGCGGCTTGAAGCGAGAGATGGACGAGTCTATTCGGTTGATTCTGAGCCTGTGTTAGCTTGACCATCCGCCTCCTGGCGGAAGGGCTAACTTACACCTGAGACAGCAAGACGTAGATGGCAGAACAGAAGAAGATGGGCGCCACAGTGATACAGACTGGAATAAAGAAAGTGGTCAATAATAATCCCTTCAAATATGCAGACTGTTGCGACCAACCGATTTGCGTTATGAAACCGTTAAAATCGAATGGGTTCCCGTGGATTATTATGCGCCCTGTGTATCCAGCGATCTCGAGAATGCAACCAAAGATCATGCTGAACATGAAACCCCAGCTGCATGTCCATATTCCTTGGATAGCTTGTACAATAAGAATCAGACTAAAGATGCCAATCAAGGTCCCGCTGGCGGCTAGAGAGGGCTGATACTGGAGAATGCTAGCTTCGAGAGGACAAAGGTCGAGTGTGCAATTCGCGCTCGGCCCAAAGGCAACGAGGCCGTTTGGTAATTGTGGCATTTTCGGACGTTATGAGAATGCAAGGGGTAAACAATAGCTCAGGTCAGCGAAAGAGACAGTTGTTAAGTTACATTTATAATAGTTGTAACCTTTTCTTTCGGGAATAAAGGGGATTTCGGGATCACTAAAAACGCCGAGTCTCTAAAAAGCTGTGCTTTATAAAAAGATAGAGTATTTCGTCCGAAGTCCGCCGCCCCGCAAGTCTGTCGCCCCAAGGCAAGGGTGGGTATCGTATCCGGGACCCCGGAAGGACGAGTGCCTATCGTAGTACTAGTGCAATGAAGCTACCAATGAGACCTTGGCGTCCCACCATCCCCCGAACACCGAAGAGCAGATTTAACCCCGAGGGCATAGCCGCTTCGATCTCGGAGAGTTAGTCTTATTAATCTCACTGCTGACACTGCGAATTTCGGTCAAGATGCACTAATGCCCCGAAATCGAGATAGCGAGACGCAGAGGCGAAACCTTAAGTGCTACCTCGGGTGAAAGTTCTGGAAACATTACCGTGACCATTTCTTGACACTTGACATCTAAATGGCCAGTAAGAGAAGGAGGTAACTTGATCACAGACTTACCTCAGCCAAGCTTGCCTAATGTCTATAGTGTCCCGAATAAACGAAAGTCATACAGGCAGGTCTTTACGTGTATCGCGATTGAGAACTTGCTCTTCCCGGACTAAGAGGTGCCGAAAGATCGGCTACACGCACGCTTCCTTGACTTGCCCAGAAAAGCCACACCTCCCGGCGGGGGGGCTCTCCACGCCATCCTTACGGCAAGGCCTGGCCATGGCGACTTCGGATGGCATCACCGCAAGCCTGAATACGACAGCCCGACAAAATGCTCACGCGGTAAGCTCAGGAACTCAGAATAGTTTGTCCACTGAAAGAAAACCCTTTCTTTGCGCGCCGAATGCCCAACATTCCAGTCCGCCCACCTCTGTGAAAGACTATTGGCTGTGCCTGGTCACAAGCCCGAAGGATTTTGCGGCTTTTCTGAAAAGTGCCTCGCTTCTATGAGGCGATCCGCCCTCCCAGGCTGGATAAGCCAGTCAAGGACATTTCTCTTCACTTCCATCTCTTTGCTTAAAGATAGCCAATCACATACCACACGATCGGACGGCCGGACATGAGCTCAATGGAGGAGCCAACGGGGCACGGCTAGATACCTTCTAGTTGTTAATGGTCCGAATCAGTAGGATATCTAGACTTGATTAGATAGGCTCCTACCGCCGCATACCCCTGGGGAGGCCTGGATCGCTCCGCGCTTCCCCGTCGTTAAATACACCACCCACCCACTCACACAGACCCGACCGACGAGCCACTTAATCGATCTACTTCTGAACCCTCTTAACCCGCACTCTCGAGCCGTGATCCCTCACGCGGGGAACAAATCCTTCGTATTCCTCCCACTTCCAGTTCTGCCCACTTCATCAGGGCCTTGCAGAGCGCAAACAAAGAGCAAAGTTGTCTACTGCTCTTCTCTGTCAGTGTCAGGTGCCGGAATGCAAGGGAGGTCTATGGAATGCAAACGCTGGATCCGGAGCTTCCTGAGCGCCGGACTCCGCTTAGCCTGTACTTGGCATTCCAAACATCGGCGATCTCGCAGCGATCCCACCGGCGGGTCTCGGCCTGACGGCAATTGGATTACCAATGAGGAAGCATAAATAGCTATCTTCGCCCACAGATATGATAGGGGCTAGAGATCAATACAGTCACAACCCCACCACCACCTTCTAGCTGCTATCTAGTAGCGTGTCTGCCCTCTTCACTCCCTATTGTGCATTTAGTCCCTGACAGTCAGTCTTGGAGTGAGTTGAAGTGCGATCAACCGCATCCTCCGTCGGTACTGAAATTGCCTCCATCCTCGACATGAAACCCAGCTAAATCGGAGAACCCGCTCGCGAAGAATGTACGGAGGTCTAACCCAGGAAATAGCCTAGGTGATATGGTGTTTGTGTCCACGCACGGCATCACGTTGTCAGGCCATGGGTAGTGCAGGCTGTCCATGCTGCTGGGCGTGTCTCTCCTTGTGTCCACAGGATTCTCGCCGATCCCATTGCTGCCGTGTGTGCCAAAGGGGCCGAGGGTGGCCTGTTGGCCTATCAGTGAACTATGCCAGACAGTATGTCCGACGGCCGGAAAGTGGGGTCAACGTACCATTGCATCCATGTTAACAACCGTACCGGCGAGCTCATGGCCATGGAGGTCGCAAGGTTCGCGTTGCCGCTCAGCTGCTGGTTGTGGGACCCTACTCCACTGCCCAGAGTCTGAGTCCTCGCCCACCCGTTGTCTCTTCTCTCCGAGACTATTCCCATGCGTCTGTTCCGACTGCGCGTCTTTTCCGCTGTCAGAATCCCGATATTCCCTCACATATTGTCTAGCAATTTGTGCAAATTCGGCGATATACGAAGTAAGCAACGAACCGCTGGACGCGCGCTCGAGGAGGCTAAAGTGCCCGCTTGCAATATCGAGGAGAGAGAGGTTGGTGCGCGTCTCTGGGTCGGTGGGGTTATTGATGACGAAGTCTAAAAGAATAAACACCGCCGAGAGAGGCATGATACCGATGGTGCTAGTACGTAATTCAGGTTAGTTAGTTCCGTTCTAGACCTCCAAGACAGACATCGCAAGTTCCGGGTATGTTAGACACTCACAAGATGGGCGAGTAGGCATCCGTATCAATATACCGTGTTAGCTCAAGAATCATTTGTGCCGCGTTCATCAGCGTTTTCTTGTTCTCCTCCAGACTTGCCTCCTGCCCAGGCTCATTTGCTTCTATGTGCAACCTCAGACGAGCAAGGGCAATGACCAGTGCGTAGTAATTGTAGCTAGTCTGCAGGAACACCATGCGTGCACTCGGGCCCACAATGTTGTGGTTCATGCGTACTGTGCCCGGACGGAAGTCCTCCGGGATGCTCATCCGCCAGACCTCCATGAGGCCTTGGATGTGGTCCATAACGGCGTGATGGTGCGAGCGCGTGCTCAAACTACCGGAGACCGAGAACAGCGATGTATAGGCCTGACTGAGGATACGGCCGAATCTAATGGACGCGAAAAACCAGTCATAGTCACCAAATGTGGAGTCTGAGGATTTGGGGATGGGGCAGCCAATGTCGCAGTCGGCGATAAGCTAACATTGTTAGTCCTCATTATACGGCTACGCATCCTTTTTATGGCGTATAAACATAAAGAGGGAAAGAAATGAGGCATACCGATGTATTATGATTTCGGAAACAAACTTGTTTCTCCATAGCATATATGACCCAGAATGTTCGGTGGCAGGTCGTCTGATCAGCTAAGTCTGCGGTCCTGTTACTGCTCTTGTGATACCGGAGGCTTAGTGCCATGCGAGTTGCTTCCATGAGCAGCACCTCGTCTATCTGGAGACAGCACATGTTCGTCGCAAAGATAGACTGTCAAGGTGCGTTAGCTCGTGCAACTTCCTTGTTCATCTATCAGTGGAGCAATACCATTGCAACCAAAGCCTAGTTTCATTAACTCAACGTCTCAGCACTAATAAGGCAAGACGGACACACCTGTAGGTTCAGCAGACTCTCGCGCGGTACCAGGATGTCCGCCATTAACCCTAGCGACACCTGAAACAAATCCCATGCCTTTCCCTTCCCAGGGTCAAAGCTCCCGCCGCCTCGGTACTGGCATCCGAGGGCCAACACGGCGTGGTACAGCGCCGAGAAGGAAGGGTTAACAGCCCACAACTGGGGGAGCCTAGAATCGAAGGCCTTCTTCTCGAATTCCGTCTGATCTAGGAAAGGGTACACAGGATGAATGTGCTCGAAGTAGGCTGTTGCGATAGGTGTGTTAGTCTGCACAGTTTTGCGGCGGCACTTGGGCTTCTGGGCGGCGCTAAATGCAAGCCAGATTGCACAAGTCCGATTGAAACGGCATGAGGTATGAGGGGGATACAGACCATCCACATACTCTCTCGCGACATCATGAGGTACGACCGCTGAGGTGGTCGGTTTTTTGAAGGCAATCTTTCCCGGCGGCAATGCGCCCTGGGCCGATATGCGCTCCTGCATCTTGCTCTCAATTACATCGACCAACTCCCGGAGCCGGTTGTTGCCTATGCGCTTCGACAAACTGGATATCATATCATCGGACCAGAAAGCTAAGCTGGACGACGAAACTGTGACGAGACCACACATTGGCATTTTACCATCCACTAAGTCGGGGATCTCTGCATGGGTTGGCGTACCGTATTGTCCAGACTGCTGGAAGAGGCAACAGGATTAGCTGTGTGGAGATTGTACCAGGGAAATGGGGAGGGACGGACCTTCAGAATGGGATGCTCATCCTTCAACGAGCCGGCCCCTGGGTGCTGGTCCAGCAACTGGTCGATGAACAGTGGCGCGCCATCCGTGGCCAGCGTAACCGGGTCCGGCAGTAAAGAAAAAGCCTGGGGCTGCTGGGAGGCATCCCGGCGGGTTGGAGATGTATACGTTTGTGCTTGTGAAAGTATGATCAGCCAGAACGTTCATTCCTTCCCGGCATTACGATCCCTACTGTTGTCTTCGTCACGACTTTGGAACCGTAGTTTCCGCTTGAGGTCTTTGAACTGGCAGATTTCACCGCGCTTCTGCGTGTTTGACCGAACAGATAATATCAGATTGTGGTTATGATTGGTGCAAAAAGGGCAGGGTGTGCCATGGGAACGAAGGGAGGCTGCGCAAGCAAGAACTCACAAGGCAGTGGGTACACCTGTTCGCCTCGCCTGGCACCACGACCACTGGCCCCACAACCAGGTTAGCCTTGTTATATGGGTAGCTTGGCAACTAAGCTCGGGCACAAGAGGATGGTGATGGTGACATCCGTGTGGTCAGAACATACTGGTGCACCGAACCTTCCTGTTCCGGCATTGGTCGCACGACTTGCACGTCTTCGGTTGTTGGACCTCTCTGCCGATTTCCATTGTTCGTTCCTAAGGTCTACCGCCGTGTGTAGTAGGTTGAATTCCGGTGTCTCGGTGTTGGAAGGGCGTGTGACATGTCGTGGGCTTCGGAGACCGGGCTTCAATTGGGAGAACTGGTAGCAGCGGTTAAAAGGAGGGAGGGCGAGAGAACCACCGAAGGCCGAGGGTGATTGGAGTATTTATGGATATGCAGGATGCCGTCTACCCCTGACTCGCTTGGCGTTCACTAGCGCGTGGGGGAAATTAACATGGATATGACTGTAAAGGGAACTCGAGTTGAGTCAAATGCCTGTGAGCTTTTCTTGCAATGGATATTTTCATTTTGGTTACGTTGTCACGGCAATGTACCCAAGAAATCTTACATACACGACTAAGGCAACACAATAGCAGAGGCAGATGCCACAAGCCGGGTGTCACAACGGAATTGAACAAAGTGGATTGATTGTTGTTGAGGTACAAAAGGAGACTTCCCGGAGTCCTCCCACGAAGACGATTGGCCGGGTCCCATACCAATACAACGATGTGGCATCTTATCGGGGTGCGAAAGAACAGGGGAAATGCATCAAATGAGGACTCCACATCCGGGATCCAGCCCACACCTAAAGTACCCCTGGGTCGCAGGACAAAACCCTGCCTGATCGGCAACACCGGGATCCTCAGGATGCACCTCGAGGCATGGAAAATACAGGAGATACGCAGCAGAGAAATCAGGCAGGGACCAGCCAGGTCAAACAGGACTGCCAAGAGATTAAAGGCTGACTTCCAAACGGTCAAGCAGGAAATGGGTAAAAAATCAGGAAGATCCATGGTCGGGTAGTCCAGCAAAGATAGTCGAGAAAGATACGTGCAACCGACCAGCACGTCACTCGGGTGGCAATCTTCGGCCTACACCTCCGAGGGCTTCTTCTTATGGTGGGACAGGCTACTGTTCTCGGCTAGGTATCAGGCCGGCGGACTACGCAGACAGAGGCACTGGCTGCAGTTCGAGGTATCGGGACCTGTCCAAGCGCGATACCACAAGCGGGCAAGCGACGATTGAGATACTTCGAACAAATCCCCAGGGGCACAGGCCACGAAGAGCCCCCAGTGTTGAAGCCCACCTGGCGCGGTACGCACAGAACGTGAATACTTACCACTACAACCTCGTAAGAGCCAGGTGTCATGATTTTGCCCGAAGCCCGAGATGAGGGTCTCCGGAGTTCACTATCCGCTACCGGAGCTTGCTGTAAATTCGGAATATACGGCTAGCGGCAATAACCCCTAGCGAGTGACAAGCTCTGAGTGGTTAAATCTAAAGGCGCGAAGAGGAGGAGTACGGAAGTTACTACGATTATGGGCTAGTTGTTACCGAAAGGGGCTATGTTTACTGAGTATTACCGACTCTACAAGCCGTTCACGTAAACCATTTTCTAGATGCGGCTATTACTGATAGAGACGTGCCATTCATACAGCCCTGTTTTGCTAATGGCACAGCTCGTCACGTGAAACTCGGTAATTTCTGCCTTCTTTCTTCACCTTCCCCTTTACGTACCCAAAATTCTATGACAGCTAGAGGTGACCAAGAATCACACAAAAAGTCCATTAGCCTAGGTCCAATGACCTGACCACGATCTCATCCCGTAGGGACGATCGAGTGACCGGGATGAGGTTATCGTCAGACGGCATTGGTGTTGCTGAGATCCTCGAGCTAGCCCGGGTTCGCCTTCCACGTCTGCCTTGTGTTCCCCTACCCCTTGTATTTGTAGCTATTCGTGATCGACTCGATAATGGCGTTGAAGCCTGTGACGGCGTTAAAGCCCGTGATGTGGGTAAGTCCGCCTTGATCTCGGCTTGCGTTAGGTCTTGGCGGATACTCAGATTCAGCTGTTGTGTGTTGTGACGACTTCGGGGCTGCCTCACAGCGGCTGAAGCTGTTGATGATGGTGTTGATGGCCGTGTTGATGATGATGATGATGATAATGATGATCTCGTAGTCTCGCTACTATACGGAGAGCTAAGATTCAACAGAATGGCTGTCTTTTGATTCATTGTAGATCGGGGTCGGCCGCGAAGGTTCTGAACAACATAGGGATCTCGGATTCGGAGGAGTGGTTCTTCGAAGTCCTAGGCAACAGAAATTAGGATATTTTGCATACAAACACACAGGTTTCTCACCAGAGGCTTCTCAAGCCACCAACATGGAAAATATCGTCATCAATGAAGAGAGACTCAGTTTTGCTATTCATTATAAAATTTTGATGAAAATGACGATATTGGTAATGTTATTGAGGAGTGATGTTGACACACAAGACTAGGTGATGTAAAGGGGAAGGAAATGTCGGGCCGGGAGGAATTTCTAGGTCACGTGATATTTCGCGTGAAAAGCTGTGCCAATAGCAATATTGAGCTGTATGAATAGCACGACTCTACTGATAATAGTCATGACATCTGCAAGAGACGGGCTTAATCACTACGGGATTAGTGGGCTGCCCACTATAGAGTTCCACCGTCCCGGGTCCGGCCCGTAAAAGTGCCAATCGCTCTTATGGCAGGCAGTAATTATGTCAGCGACGACCATTTAACGGTCCATTTCCCACATCTTGCACGAGTTAGATTCTCCCATTATTCTATTCAACCAGTTCAACGCTACGGAATGTAAAACGACCCATTTTCCCACCTTATTGTACTTTTTATCAACAACCAACCCACTCCGCAACGCTACATCTCGTATCCGAAAGTTCAGAAGATACAATCGCTCGCCATTTCACGAGCTGGCAGTGGCGCTCAATGAGATACCGATGGAGGAGTTGGAAACGGTTAATCCATTCACACTGGCACCTTGGGCAGAACGGGTACAAACTATCGTTGTCGACAAGGACGAGACAGAGACGAGACAAGCAGATCTGGGATGGGCGATACGGGTTGCAGTGAGCAGTTCAGCACGGAACGGTGTAGTAGGAGTCGGCGGGGTCATCGAGATCCCTGTATCGGTGCGGAGAGGACCGAGACTGGAACGATTTTCCTTCACGCTTGGCATGAGAACCGAACAGAACCCGTTTTCTGCGGAGCTGGCGGCGATGGCATACGCATTGAGGCACTTACCTGGCCTGAGATACCGAAGTGTGGCACTGTTTGTAACGGGCTAGGCCCTGCTGGACAAGGCAGTGCCTTGTCCTCTTGCTGGTCTGAGCACTGTTGCTCTGTCGACGACTTAGTCTATTTTGTCGAAGGATTTTCTGCCCCTTTCTCTTTCTTCTTTCTTCTTTCCTCAGCTCGTATGTAAAACGCATGAGGACTATATAGCTGTAATTTACACTATTAGAACCCTTTACACTGTTAACGAGCAACAAAGCTGCCGTGCTTACGATCCGAAACCCCCGCCAACAATCCGGCCAAGAGTATGTTGGATGCATATACAACTCTATTGATACGTTAAAGGCCAATGGAAATTCAGTAACTGTCATATAGGTGCCCACCAGTACTAAACACAAGCTCCTGAAGACTGCTAAAGAAGAGGCACGGGATACAACCCGAGACGGTGCCATCCCGGCTCTGAAGTTTCCCAGAATGCGATCGACGACTCTTAATATAGCTCGATTGAGCCACTGCACTAGTAAGCACCTACCGGACAACGTCGGAAGGTTTTCGAAGAAAGTCGATGCTGCACTACCAGGCAAGCACACGCGACTATTATACGACGGCTTGTCGTGGAGAGAAGCCAGCGTGCTGGCGCAGCTTAGGACAGGCATGGCCAGACTGAATGGATACCTCTTTCGGATCACAGTAGCATCATCACAGCAAGTGTGTCTGTACTTTTTATCATCCCTGAAACACCGCCTCGATTGATCCCAGTGATCGATCGATCGATCGCGTACCCGACCCATCGGCTTCGGTCCTACAGTATAGACCCAACTGCTGAGACTACGACCCGCACCCTTGCATCTGGAATTACGACAGCAACAATTTCTACTATCATTCAACCCTGGGTGATCTGATTTTAACAATCCATCTCATCGGACGTCATGGAGACGGTCTGTCGATTTCTTATATTCAAGCACATTTCCGGTCACAGCTGACAATATCATAGACTACGTCTCCGACTCATCGACTTATTCTTAGTCGTTTCATCGAGTTTATCAACTCGGGTAACCCGGATATCGGCAAAGAAGTAATCTCCGAATCTGCTGTATTCCACGTTCCTTTCGGGGACGACCCTTTGACGGGGCTGGATGGATATCTTCAAATCCTTGGGATGATGCGCAGCGCGTATCCCGATATTCAGTGGGCGCTGGAAGAAACCGTGTCGGAGAAGGATAAGGTGGTCGCACGGTTTACGACTCGTGGAACTCAAACGGGGTCTTTTTTGGGGTTTCCACCGTCCGGCAAAGCAGTATGTATGACTGTAAATAACATTTATCGATTTGCGGAGGGGAAAATCGTCGAGGAGCGGGGTTTGCCAGATCTATTCGGCATGATGGTTCAGATTGGAGCGATCGATGTCGGAAGTTAAAGGAGGACGTCTTCGGCTCGTGGCACCATGTTTGCAATATCGTGGAAGTATTTAGTTACCAGCCGGGGGTTGTTCCTTAAATGACTTGCACCGCGGAGCGAACTGGTGTGTGTATTCCGTTCTCTGCTCTCAGAAGTCGACACATTCGCATTACCGCACGTAGGATGATATATCGTCCTGGCCGAGCTTCTGGAGGGGAGATCCAAGGCGGGGTCAAGTATGCTTTGGAGGGCCAAGACCTGAGCTCGGAAGCGGATTACGTTCCTGTCCCCCGGTCCTGACCGTGACCATGCCATACGTGCCTCCAGACCGAGACCGGCTACCCATACAAAACGTCAAGACAAGTCATCCTGTCAGGCCAGGACAAGCCTCAAACCATCCTTACTGGGAGCAATGAGTGAGACGACGACTTCGAGGCAATTCAGGCGCTGCGGGCGATGCAAGCAGTTCCAGCGCAGGCAGTTCCCACTCCCACGACCCGTCCCTCTTTGGCCAAAAGTCTGAGCAGGCTCTTAGACGCTTCCGGGACCTCCACGAATGCCATAACACAGTTACAAAGGGTTCACCATACGGATAGTTTTCTGTTGCTCCCTGGCAAAGGCCGTCGCTAGTTCTGCCGACTATGCTGGCTACTGCCGGTGACAGAAGGGTCCCCATGGGATCGGAACTGCAGACGCTACAGCCCAGAACTGGGAGGAGCCTTCACGATCATCAGGAAGGTCCCGGGCACAAGAGACCAGTTTATGATGCGGAGCGTATGTTCGAGCACCGCCACCGGCATAATACATTTATGCAACCATGCTGGCTCTCATGACCCAAGGAACGACGGGCACACGACCAGAGCTCGCTCCAGTGAATACACGGGATTTTCGTCAGCGGAGCTTTGGATGCTGGCGAATTGCCGAGGGCAGGTGAGGCGGCAATTGCCAGTCAGCCCCATGCTCGTGTCGTACTACGTAATTAGAGAGCGATACTCGGTGTTCGGTGCTCGGGGCCTGCGAGAAGGCGCGCACGAGGGCCATCAGACTCGGGCCTCGACCAGCTGTGGAGTTTTATTGGCCTCCCTTGCTAGCAAAGGCTGCTCAAATGGCATAACGGCAGGGATGAATTTCCCATAAGTACGACAAGGACGCATTGCCTCCTGTTTGCAGGTTTAGCGCTGCTGTTAGCAGGTAAACTCGCCGTGATCGCGATCGAAGGACTTACCCTTCCACTCAAACCCTGCTTTTACTGGCTATTGTTTCTATTGCCGAAATGCCACCCAAAGACTTCAAAGTCCTCATTGCTGGAGGAAGTATTTCCGGGCTTTCTCTGGCCCTGATGCTCGAGAGGAATGGCATTGACTTTCTGGTATTGGAGGCATATCCCGAGATTGCCCCTCAAGTTGGTGCCAGCATCGGTCTCCTGCCCAATGGTCAGCGTATTCTGGACCAACTGGGCTGTTACGAGACTCTTCTCAAACTCGCTGAGAAGCCTGTTGAGAATGTCTTTATCAGGAACCCGCATGGGGAGGTGATGGCATCTTTTGAGAACTTCGCCAGCCACTCCATTGAAAGGTCTGTTTCGGTCATTCGGTCTCGGTGTTGGCCACCATCTTACACTCTGATAGGCATGGATATCCCATCATGTTCTTAGATCGTCGGATGGTCATCCAGGCGCTCTACGACACTATACAGGACAAGTCCAAAGTCCTCACGTCAAAACGCGTCACAGCCGTCGAGAACATGGACACAAGCATCATGGTCACGACCAGGGATGGATCAACCTATTCTGGCGATATCCTGGTTGGAGCTGACGGTATTCACTCAACTGTCCGGCAGCAAATGTTGTTGGCCGCCAGGCTAGAAGCCAACACCATATACTCAGAGGAAAATGGTAAGCGGCTGATAGTTTGGGTTGACAGGTGCACGTGAATTTGGAAAGCTGACTCCCAGACCAGCGGTTCCATGCTCCTACGCTTGTATTTTCGGCATATCTATGGGGGATACTGGCATTGGCTCTGGGACATTACATTCGGTCTACAACGAAAAGCATTCCTTTTTGGTTGGTGGTGGCCCGGGAGGTCGAACCTACTGGTTTCTTGTCGTCCACATGGGAAAAACATTCCATGGTTCCGAAATTCCCACCTATTCAAAAGAAGCAGAGGAAGAGCTGGCTGAAAAGTATTGGGACAGCCCCATCACCCCGACTGTCCGTTTCTCAGATCTATACAAGCGGAAGGTCAATTCAGTTTACACCACTTTGCCTGAATATGTCTACAAGCAGTGGCATTTTGGGAGATCTATAACGATTGGAGATGCCAGCCACAAGGTGTGCAATGCAGCATTCTGTCCCGATGAAGCATCGTAGCTAATGCCTAAAGCAGTTCCAACCTCTGACAGGACAGGGCGGCAATTCTGCCGTTGAGACGAGTGCGGCCCTCACTAACAGCATAACCAGGGCCCTGAATCAGAATCCTCAGGGTCGACTTTCCCCGAATGAGATCAAGTCTGTGTTCCAGTCTGTCCAAGAACTCCGTCGTCCGAGAACTAGCGAGCTCGTCAAAGAGTCCCACAATCGCCAGCGACTCGAGGCGATGGAAACACCACTTATGAAGGCACTTGCACTCTACTACGTCCCGCTGCTCGGTATCGACAGAGTGACCGAGAGCTGGGTTGGAACATACGCTCCAGCAGTGTCACTCTACATGTTGCCGGTGCCATCACGGCCGAGAGCAGTCCCATACTATGACGAGCTCTTCCGGAAACCAGCTGGACGGGGACTCCTTGCCATTCCGATTTACGCCACTTTCGTCCTCCTCTCATACCTAGGATTCCGTCTAATATTCATTGCAGGCAGGGTGAATGGCCTCTGGATGTTCTTGAGCGAGACCCTACTGTCAAATACGCTTCTTGGCTACGATCTACAGTTGGAGAATCTGTTTGTGGGCATGGACGCTGTCAACAGTAAATTACAAGCTTTGGTCGCCCTTTTCCTTCCACCATTACTAGATCCCTGGGATCATCCGCGAAAACTGCAATCGGTCTACTTCCTGTCGTCTATGTTTCCGTTAATGGGAATTTTCGCCATCGAGGGCTACCGGACGAGGAACTCTGGGACACTTCTTCACAGGTACGTAAATATACGTGAGCAACGCATCGCATGAGTGACTAATATTCCTGCCACCGCAGTACCCTTCTATGGTGTTTCCTCTTCCACTCTCAATCATTCGGTCTCGTCGGGCCGCTTTGGTTCTTGGCAAGCATCTTCACGTCACGAAAATTGTCCTATCACGCCCCCACCAATCGAGCTGTTCCCACCGCCATCGCTAAAATTCTGCTTCCCGCCGTACTGATCGGGCACGTCCTTCCGACTGTCCTTCTTTTCGTCCCATACTCAAACCTAGTGTTCTTGCAGTATCTGGTCGCCTTCTGGCAGTTCAACCCAATTCTTATGGTCGCATTGATCGAGGGCCTTGCCCGATTCACGAGTTCGACGACGAGGAGGCCGGCTGGAGACTTTAACCAAGACCTCCCATACTTAGCCAGGACTTACGGGGTCCTATCCGGCATATCAGCGCTTATCAGTATTGCAACGGTGGTTGCTGCTCTATCATCACCGCACCTGTCGCTAACTAGCATAATTTGCCCGAGAGATTCTTTCGCCCCCGTTCATAGCTTCGCTGATGGCGTGTTTATCTTCTTTCAAAACGACTTTCTCGTCACTGCAATAGCCGCATTCTTGTGGTGTGTGGTCAGTATCTGGGATTTATATAGGATGGGCCTAACAAACCATGGAGTCCTCAAGGGCGCCGCGGCAGTCATTTTCGGATACATCATTGTGGGCCCAGGTGCGACTGTCGGAGGAGTGTGGTACTGGCGGGAACACGTGTGGAGTGGGATGCATTCAAACAAGAGCAACCTGGTAGGAGAAGTCAAAGGAGCAGCGAAATGACCTTGTCATCGTGGCATTAGAATTCATTGTCTGAAGAAGGAATAGAGGAGAGCCCGGTCGCGGTCTTTTTAGAGTCGTGCTATTCACGTAACCCCTCATTGCTAACGGTACAACCCGTCACGTGAAATTTGGTAATTTCATCCTTCTTTCCTTACCTTCCCCTCTACGTATCAAAATTCTACAACAGCTAGAGGCGACTAAGAATTATGTAAAAGTCTCTTGGGCTAGGTCTAAAGACCTAACCACAATCTAATCTCGTAGGGACGATTGAGTGACCGGGATGAAGTTATCGCCGGATGACGTTGGTGTTGCTCAGAGCCTCGAGCTAGCCTGGGTTCCCCTTCCCCTTGTATTTGTAGCTTTTCGTGATCGAGTCGATGACAGCGTTGAAGCCCGCGTCTGTAACGGCGTTGAAGCACGTGATGTGGGCAAATCCGCCTCAATCCCGGCTTGTGTACGGTTTCGACGGATACTTGGATTCAGCTGCCGTGTATTATGACGGCTTTGGCTCTGCCTTATAGCGGTTGATGAGCGCGTTGATGATGATGTTGATGAACGCGTTGATTCTATGATAAAATAGCTCGTATTTGTATTGCATTTTGACGTAACTTTAAACGGGCAGTCGATTTTCTGGCTTGCTGGCTGTCGAAGGCCCTGGATCAAGACTCCTGCATCGCACGCTGGCAACCACACGCCAGCGTAACGTATCTCAATCGAGGGGGTTCCATCAGCATCTCGCTTCTTCGTAGAGCCTTCTTGATAAGCACAGCGCCGTTATCCCGATAGAAGTTTTGAAGGGAGTTGAAAAGGTCGTCAATTGTGTGAAAATTCGGCGATCGGGGTGGTGGGGGGATTTCTTTTGGTCTCGTTCTGTTGGTCTCGATGGTCTAGGATAGGTAGGTAGGTAGGTTTTATTCGCCCGGGGGGACACACCCCAGAGGGCCTTTGCACTAAGCTGTTTCCGTTTCGTACAGAGCTTCCATAATCACCCGAAGCCCAACAATTTTCACTTTGAATGACTGATCCAATCTGGTGTATATGCCATGACAGGCCTGCTTGAAGGCCAATTTCTCCAAGTGTTCAGCATTCTATCCTCAGCAGCTGAAGCACGGTCTGCCAAAATGAGACTGTATGTTAGTAGGATTCAATCTGAATAGTTAGTGTGTCTGAGGCTTCTTATTCATGTCAACCCTCCCTGTTGCAATGGCGAATTTGATCGTCGCCCGTACTGCCTGTATGTTTGGCGCCTATTTGTCACTGTCAGATGCTGACTTTCCTCCCAAGATGAACGAGAGGTTTCCCAGCTTATTCGTGAGCATTTCAGCATGCCTTCCCGTTGCATTGTCCACTTTGTGCATCTGAATAGAAAATGTTGAACTGTCTCGGATGCTTGGCCACATTCGCACGTGTCCGATTCCACTGCATCGATCTTGTGCAGAAAGTTGTTTAGTCTTGCCACTCCGGTGCGGAGCTGGACCAATACACCCGCTTCCTTCCTTGTCAGCAGGTCATATAGAATGCGGGTATGCTTGCCAGGCAGGCTGGCGATCCATTTCACGTCCACCGTCCACGTATCCATGGCGTGGAAATGGATAGTCCTTGCGTCAATTTCCATCCATTCCATGGAGCTGGCCGTTACATAATCCATCCATCCACGCCAGGGCTCCGTGGAATGGATGCGTGGAGATGGAAGCAGGGGTATGGACTGGTAGAGGGGTTCCTAACCTAGTCCCCAAAATACCTTGTAATTCAGGGTAGACTAACTTGGTTATGGTCGGTAGAGATCTCAAGTACCTATATACCAGGTATTTTCATATATAAATTAAGGTATCTTTAAACAGAACATAACAGCTATGGGGTCGTGGATATTTCGCGTCACGGTGCCACGTTCGAGCGTCACCATACAAGCAGGCTGGCGATCAATTCAATTCCATCAATTTCGCCTTCGTGTGGCGTTGCGTTGACAGCTTACTCAGCATTTGGCCCGTGGAGTTGATCCACCACATCCCCAAATTGAATTGATAGCGTTGAATTGAAGTAGTTGAACTGCATACGCGTGTCGAGATCCCCAACTCGTACTGGGATATAGGCGGCACTAACAGCAAGTCGAAAGGTGTTAGTAACAACCGAGGGCAATCTTTCCGTCTCTCCTACCAATATTGGATGGGATCCTTAATAAGAGGCTCGTTCTCCGCGTCAGAACTCGAGAACCAGTAGTCATATTCGTCATGGTCTGCATTCAGTGACCTTTCCAAGGAAGGACATCCACCTGGCAGCTCGCTCAGTGTCACATTCAGGCCATAAGCCATTATTAGTGACCGCACTATTAGAGTGCCAAGCGGGGGCCAAAAAACATGGCACACCAAAAAAAATTTGCCCTGCCACACACCAAATTTCCTTCCGACACACCCATCCAAGATGACCGGCACACAGCATGAGACCCCCAAGAAAGCCCGGCTCAAAGGGGCCTTTGAGTTCCTTACAGCTAAAGGCATTCCCTTTCAGAAGACCGATCTTTTCAATCACTTTGAGATTCCAAGACGATCCGGCTATCGGATCCTAAGTACTGCGACTGATCGTACGCGTCACAATCAGCCTGATGTTCCAGAAACCCGCGGCCGTAAGAGGCTGCTATCAGAGACAGACCTCGATTCCTTAGAAGAAATGTATGAGGAGGAGGGATTTGAAGCCAAGCGCCTCCCTTGGCCAGCAGCTGCCTTGGAAGCCGGGATTGAGACAGACGTCTCGGAACGTACGATCCGACGGGCTGCTCATTCAAGAGATCTGTACAAGCGACTTGCGGTAGACGTTAATTTCAAGAGTAAAATTGATACTGACCGTCGATACAAATGGGCTATAGCTGCCCTGGAAGAGCGACCAAAGCCAGAAGATTGGTCAGATGTCTATTTCTCCGATGAGAGCCACTTTGGCTATGGCGACGAGCGCAGACCGTATATCGTACGGAGGCCCGGAACCCGGATTGAGCCGGACAATCTGTAAGAGCGCAAGCAGCCGGCATCCAAGGATGAGAAACGCCTCCATTGCTGGGCTGCTATCGGTCGCGATTTCAAGAGCCCGCTCGTCTGGTATGAGGTCCCTACGAATAGCAACGGCAAGTTGACTCAGACGGTATATATCAACGAGATCTTGGAGCCGTATATTAAGAAATGGCTCGACAAGGGCCGGCATTTTGTTCTTGAAGAGGATAATGCTAGTGGCCACGGGCCGAGCCAACACAATGCCGTACGGGCTTGGAAGGAAAAATACGGCCTAGATTACTTCTTTAATTGCCCAAGAAGCCCGGATCTATCGCCTATTGAGAATGCCTGGCGGGTTCCAAAGGAATACGTCCGCCGATTTCCACATTGGGATGAGCAGACCCTTAAAGACCTAGTAGAAGAAGGCTGGAAGGAACTGTCAATAGAGACAATAAATCGCTGGATTGATACAATGCCAAAGAGGCTGCAAGATGTAATAGATCTAGAGGGGAAAATGACCGGATGGTAGCTAGACCTAAGTTTTGGTGTGCCATGTTTTTTGGCCCCCGCTTGAGTGCGCATTCCCTTTTGCCTCAGCTCCTAATACAACACTCAGAAATCGAAAAAAGTCAGGAACTTATTCCATGGAAATATTTTCTATTCATCTGGCAAAGAACCCAAGTTCGTAAACGGCATACTAGTTAAGTTGCTATCCGAAGTTCGCCGGCGCTTGGTAGGTATGTTAATTTCCATTTTAATCGCAGAAAGTGGATGCAATGTTTTGGGACTCGGAAAGGCAAGACACGTTCGAGCGCCTTAAGTACTGCATACATTGCCGCATATGCAAGTAGTGTGGGTCTAGGAAGTACTAGTAACTAAGCGGGTTGGAAGCGACTCTCAAGCGCTGCTAATACTACCCTAGACCGCCACCCGTCTCAACCGGTGGTTAACGTTGAAGCTATCGCGATGGAATTGAGGCTTTCAATTTCGAGGCGAGATTGAATTGATTAAATTGACGCACGGGCCTTCCACTTCAATAATATTGAAATAGTTGAGGTGGAGGTGGAATTGATCGCCAGCCTGCATGCAAGTGCATTCTTGCAACTGCATTATATACCGCGTGGAATAGCTGAGAGCCCAATTATCAGCTCTATGGTGCTCGAGCCGCCGGACCAAGAGGATAAGAAGAACTCGTAGGATCTATTCCCTTGGAAAGACTTCCCTGGCTACATGCAATCCCAGTGCTGTGCTTCTATATCGTCGTGGATATGGCAATTCGGCTACGATATCGAGAAGAGCGATGATGATATAAAGCGGTGATAGATTTATAAGGTCTGTGTTAACAGTTGCAGGCTAAATTCTTATTTGACGGCCTTGAGCGGTATGCCGAATGCGGAGATCTATTTCTAGAATAACTATAAGGTCTGGAACTCTTCTAGAAGACGGAAGCAGCCTAGTAAAGTAAAGTAAAGAAGAAGATACTATCGAGGAATATTACTGAGATAATAAAGTTAAATATTTATAATATATAAAAGCAGTAAATTATAAACTAGATTATTAGCTATTTTAATTAGCTAATTTTTTAGTATTTAATTATCTTATAAATAATTAATAGTAACTTTTTTTTAAATAAAATAAAGATTTATATTTTTATACTATTTTTAAATATCTTAACTTACTTATAAAAATAACTAAAGTATATATTATCTATAATATTAACATACTTAATAAGCAAGTGTCTTAGACAAGCAAGTGTCTTAAAAATCCCAACTCTTAAGATAGAAATCGTAATAAAAACACCACAAACCATTTAATCAATTAAAACTACTTACTATACTCTTCCCCAGATATCTCAATCACTACCTGACAGATCCTTGTATTATGGCCGGGCTTGCCGCATACACCATAGCGCCGAACACCTAGTCCGACCGACCTTCCTCGACCACCACTCCTCGACGATTCGGCCACTACCTGCGCATCCACATCCATTTGATCAATTGCTTGCCTTCCTTCTTCTACCGTCATAACCCCTCTTCTCTGTAGTCTAGTCCTTTTTGCCCTCCGGCGCCGGCTTAGTATCTCATTCGCCTCTCGAAGGTCTTTATTCTCAGCGGTTAATAAGGCAACCCGATGCATAACTGCCTTTGTCCCCTTCGCAAGAGACTGTAGAGCCTTTAAAATTGACTCTGGAGAGCTGCTTTAATGCCTTCTAATCTGCCTTTTAAGGTATTCAGACTGAGATCCGGCCTCAATTACGGTCTTTGGGGTCCTTGAAGCCCAAGGGGTCGACGGCTCAGCTGCCTCCTCAACTGGCGTTGGCGTCCGTAGCTGAATATCAAGCTTTGAGATTACAGTTTCTGGGTCAAGAGGAACAAGGCCAGCTCCTTTAAAAGCCCCCCTGATATTTCTTTCCGTCATAGTAGCCTTGTGTGTAGCGTGGAAGGCCGGAAAGAACTCGGTCTTTGAAACGTGGGTTATAGAACATCTAATTAGATGCTCTATTTCTCGACCATAAGCCTTTTTCAGCACGCTAAAGCACCCGACGTCAAGGGGCTGGAGTAGATGAGAGGAATGAGGTGGCATACAAAGCCGGATGATCTTCTTTTCCTCGCAATATCTCTCAAATTCGATAAAGTGGTGACTTTCGTGGCCATCAAGGATTAAGAGACGATAGGAATTGATTGATCGATTGGTTGTACACCGGTTAAAGTGCTTGAGCTACTCGAGACTGGTCTCGTTATTGGTCTAGCTATTTTGGGTCGTCGCAATAGCCCAATCGCCCGGGAGGTTGCTTTCTCGGTACCAGTTGGCGAGGTGATATTGGCCTGCACCGATGATAAATGGCTGGATTGCCTAGCCTTCCGCATTGATTGCTTGAATGACTGTAATCCATTCCCAGTTTCCAGGCTATACTGATTTTAACTTTGAATGCCTTTCTACACCTATAATAACCATTCCGTTTGCAATTATACTTATAAGAAAGCCAGTCTTATCAAAGTTATAGATATCATTTAATTGAATACTGTACTTCGCGATTGTATTCGCCACAAGCCGAAACCAATTGCGGATAATGGTTGGGTCTTTACATTTGGCTCTCTGGTAGTTGTATTTACGAAAGAAATGCGTCTTAAGGTCTGGGTGCCGCTTGATGAAGTTATAAGCCCAACGCGTGCCAACTGGTGGCGCATCGCGGTCGGCAAGCAATTGATCAGCCATATCTTTAACACCACGTAGCCGGGGGGGAAATCCTCGCGAATCTAGGTCGAGAATAAAGTAAATAAGGATCTATTCCTCTAGATCAGATAGCCGACGTGATTTCTGGATAGTATCGCGTCGAGATTGGATGCCCTTCTGCCGGCGGCCAAGGGTCTTCCAGGAGACTGTATATATGCTTGCAGCGCCCCGAAGACTTAAACTCGGGTTATTTTGAAGGGCATGAAGAGCAAGAAGCATTCTAGCTTCATAATTAGACTGTGATATACTGGGTGGTTGGGAATTAATTGATTAAATGGTAATGATAAAGGTTGAGGGATTTTTAAGATACTTACTTGTCTGAGATACTTGCTTATTAAGTATGTTATCTATAAAAATATTTTTTAGGTATATAAGAAAAATAAGATTAAGATTAAGTTAATATTAATAATAGCTTTAGGGTTATTAATACTCTTTAAATATATAAATAGATATTTAATTTTATATAATATATTATAACTTTATTATTATAATAGCTTTAAAGCTAAAAAAAGAGTTATTAAAATTAGGAAAAAATATCCTCTTATAATATAAAAAATAGTGTTATTAACACTATTTATACTGTTTTAGTCGGACTAATATTAGCCCGATGATTGGAAATTAAAAATTGCTTTGAAATTAATTTACTTTAAAATCAACTTAATTTCAAAGCTGGATATCTCGGGATTTAGAATATAATAAGGGACAATTCCAATACCATCTAAAAGCTGATTTTTCAGGCTATTTAATAGTATATCTATTATCTAGCTGCAATAGCTAGATTTTGAGAAATCGTCTATAAAAAGCCTGAGACCTTTAAGCTATTTAAGACTTAAGATTCTAAGTATTATATACTACTATACACTATAATACACTATCTTATACTATCTTATACTATCTACTTTCTATCTATATATACCCCTTAATTTTATATCCTTTATTAGAATATTCCTCTTATTATAATATTATTTTATTTTACTGCTTAATAACCTCTAACAGGAGTTACTTTATATTATATTTAATAGTTAGAGGTCTAATAATTACTATACTTTATATAAAATCTATTACTATTTTTTTAATATTATTAGCTAGCTAGAAAAACTTATACTTAGCCTTTTTAAGCTTATTAATTACTATTTTAGAAATAATATTACTGCTTATATAGTTAAGGTTTTTTAAAGCTATAATATAACTTATAAAATAGGATATTTTATACTTAATAATACTAGTAATAATAATATAGTAATAGAAGAAATTAAAAAGATATTTAGTTTTAAGAGTAAAACTTAATAATTATATTACTTTAGCTATATTCTTAATCTTATTATTAAGGTACTTCTTTTTAACTATAATTCTAAGACTTTTAAAAATAATATCTAAGAGAATAAAACTCTTAATATAAAGATTTATAAGATACAAAAGTTATTAGAAGTTATAATATAGTAGAAGAATAAAATTAATTATAAATAAAGAGATATTCTTATAAAGAATATAAAGATAAGAAATAAGATAAGAATAAGGGATAATAGTGTATAAGATAGTATAATATAGTATATATTAATAGTGTATATAGATAAAAACAGAAGAAATATTTCCTAGGGGAAGCTTTTCTTTTATAGATAAATACAGCTAGTAGATATATAGGTATTAGGATAAAAATAATACTATTAGAAAGCCCAGAAATTCAGCTTTAAGATGGTACTGGATATTTCTTTTTAGGTTCTCTAATTGCCGAGTAATATTGATTTTAAATTATGGAGGAATTAAAAGCTTAGCTTATAAATTAAACTACTTAATTTCTAAGCTTAAATAGATTAATAAGCCAATTTGGATAGATTAGTTATACAGTATAAATAGTGTTATTAATATTGTATTTTAATATTATATTATAAGATTTTATCTAGAATATTTAAGCTTATATTTAAGCTTATATTCTAGCTAATAGAAGTTATATATATTTATATATTTATTAAACTTTAATAAAAATAAAAAGAGCTAGTTAGAAAACTTTATAATTTTACTTTTTAAATTTACTACTTAAACTTACTTATTAATTTCCTTTAGTTTTTTAAGCTTATTATATATAATAAGTATTATATGTGACGGCTTGCCTGCCTCCGGAAATGGTGGTCTCAGCCCACCATTTCGGCGGTTGCCAAACCGGGAAATCTTCGGTCCCACAATCACTCGCTGCTTTTGCGCCGCCTATAAAGCGGCCAGTCCCCGGCCCCGCATCCCTATGTACCTTTGTCGTCTCTTCCTCTCACTTTTTCTCCTTCAACATTACAGACCTTTGGTTCAGCGACACCACCTCAACTTGCACCGCACAGGTCATTCTTCTTCGTCAGTCCTTCGCCAGGCAAGACATCTTTGTCGCCTACATTTCTTCCTTTCTTCGACATCTTCGCGGTATCGATCTTCATTGACGGTATGGCCTATCACTCATCGCCATGATGCAAGCACAATTGACCAGTACCCCGGCACTCCATCCACATCATCCCACATCATCCTACCCCTTGGCGGTCGGCCCCCTTTAGCTTTTACCAAATTACTGAAAACGGCAATTCGACAATCAGACGAACCGAGCACGGCTGTATTTGTCGTCGACTTCATGCGTTGGCCCCATCATCCGCCAGCCGTTTGTCTGCAACCCCTGGCTTATGGTCGGGATGACCGAGCGCGGGCGTCTGGTCTACCGTGGTCTAGGCTAGGCAACCTGGCTGACAAGGTGGTATTGGGTTTCCTCTTGGACGGGGCGACGAATGATCGTCGAAGCTTCTCGAGATTGCCGCTTCAATGCCATGGGGGAGGAGATGAGAGGGGCTGGCGGGCTTGAGGAGTGATGCGGCTTGCTGAGGAAGCAGACCAACGACTACTGGTGGCAGCGACAGGGCTTGGTACGCCGGTCTCACGTTGAGTGAACCTTGGTCCACAACAATCCATGCCCGGCGCACCCGTTCCGGTCACACGGAGGCTTCCTCGTGTCCAACGGGGAGCCAGCCGGTTGTTGGTCGTCGGTTGCCTCATCTCATTTCCCGAGAAGGAAGGTGGACGTGTTGAGACGATAGCGCCAGTGCTGTGACAAGGCGACGGGGGGTGTCATAGCCTCGGGGGATGACCGATCATCACCAAGTGGCAGTGCGCTCTCGTCAATTCATGCAAGCCGTCGGACTTCTGTGGCACTCCTGATAGCCTCCACTGCAAGCGATAGGCTCGACTGCCCCTGGACCTTGTCAAGTCTGCCTTGGCCGCGATCATGAGACGGATCTAGAGCTGGCTGAACTGCCCGAATGGAACATGAGGGTGTGCTGGCCGCATAAGGGGGATGGAGAGGATTTCCGCGGCAAGATGCGTTATGACTCAACTGCAACAGCGAGGGGAGTGATGGTGTCATTCTTGCCGAGGGATTGCCAGGCATGCTCGGGGATGACGCGTTCGTCTTCGATTACGATGCTCGAGCGCCCGGATAGAATCGCTTCCGGGCGATGCCATCCAATGGAGACGACGAGAGGTAGCCAGCTGATCAAAGTCTGCAAGCCGTGTTGCAGGATGAGGAGAAGGAGAAGGATGTGATCCTGCCAGGTCGTTCATCTCTGCTCTGGTCAAACCAACTGCCTTGCCCGAAAGGTAGTTCAACCGTCAGCTCGCGAGCCGGCCGGCGAAAAGGGGGCTCATCAGACGAATCACGCCTGAGCTCACCACCAACAGAGCCACATCACCGACGTTTCTATCCATTTCCGTGCGCATCGAGTCGGTCCGACCCTTCTCTCCCAAGTCCAGCTGAATCAAACCCTTGTTTTGGGGGTCGCTAGTGAGTCCTGTTGGCTCGACAATCGAGGCGCTCTCGTTCCCCGTCGAAGGAGGGTGGCTCTGCCCTCGTGGGTGCAGAGGAGAGAGCGACTCGATAAAAGCTGGAGATCTCCGCTCCTGGATCGTTCTTGATCCTGCAATGCTTCCTATCCATACTTCTCATTCCTAAACAGCTCTTTGCTTTACGCTCACCATTATGAACCATCCCTTGAAGATCAAGCAATGGAATCCTTCGAAGCCAAAACGAAAGCCCAATCTTCGTGCAAGGAATCCCGAGCTGCGGCCAGTCCTTTCTGATGCCTCCTTTGCTCAGTCTATCGATGTGACGCGGAGAATCCTTGGCCTTTTGTAGGCGGGGAGGACTTGACCAATGTCGATCCCTACGCGGTTCCCGTCGATTGAGGAAATCATTGACGAGGTGATCCGTTCTGCCACCAGTGACAGCGCAAGGGACAGCATCGACACACCGAATCATACCGCTACCCCGAAAGCTATCTCCAATTCCATTCCCCCCTATCCCAGCGACGAGAGAGCAGGTGACAGCGTCAAGACAGAAGTCTTCGAATGACACGCCTAAACGCGGCAGTAATAGTCAAGGTAGTTCCCAGAATCCCTATCCGAGATAAGAAGCTTACAAGGACTGATAGAGATTGCCATTGCCATGGAAAAAGACAAAGAGCAGGGTATCTGTGAGATGTCTCCCAAACCACCATCGCCCTGGTGGCCACTCCCGACTCCATTCCGGGCCGACAAGTTGATCTTGATGATTGGCTGGTGGAATGCCGACTGCATCCAAAAATGTAGTCCCCCTCAATGCGCCGTTGCCATTGGTCTTAGGTGGGGTCCGACAATGATCCTCAGTCCCTGTCCGTCCTCGCTCAACTGCCTCCCGCGGCAACCGAGGTTGAGAATCATTCCCCGCAGGAGGAGCATAGTGACAGCACTGAGCATGGAGACACCCTGGAGGCTGATCATTGGGGGACATTGTTGAATCGACCCCTACTGAATTGGGCTTTGGGTATGCCACACCCTACCCAACGGATGCGTCTCTCTCGTCAGGCTCAACCGCACCGTCCACGCCTCCCTCACCTTCCTTACTTTCAAAGGATGAGACGCTGCAAAACCCTACCAGGTTCAGGCGGAAGGCACTTTGGGTCAGAGCGGCCTTGTGCCAATGGCCATGGATCTCAACCAACACGCAAGTAGCACTCAGGAGCCTGAAGTTTGCTCTTCGTCGAAGCAACCGGTTGATGACATGATTGGGGGCCGAGGCCGTTGTGGAGGCGATGTTGAACCTGTTCTACGGGTTAGGAGGCTCCCGTGCACCGACCCCTAGACGAAGAGCCCGAGGTTCATATATCCTCCATGGTGATTACTATGAGAGCGACGACAGCGACGGCGACAACGAGGACAACAACAACGAAAGAGGTCAACAGTCTCCAGAGCTCGACGGGGCCGACAGGTCAAGGCGATGCAGTGGGAGCGTTCCTATTGAGGCCTTGCTCGACAATGCCAAATATCGTCCTGCTCAGAGCACAGAGGACAGCGAGCGGCATCATGATGGCGACGAGGATGAGGGTGAGGCTTATGGACAGCGTCGACGCAAACGACGTCGTTCCCATGAGCCCTTGGCTAGCATCAAGCGCCGTCGCTATGGGCATACCACTCGCCAACGCCCTACGAACACTACACGATCGGTACTAAGTGATCGGACGCCAGCACCTCGCACGCTCAGCCCGTCCTCGTCATACACCACATCAGACGATTCAGATACTGGGCATGATTTTACGACATTTCAGGAATGGCAACTTGACAACGTCATACTGAAGCGGGTTGTTCTCCATGGTGTAGCCACCTTTCAGTTACAGTTCGACTGGGACATGTGTTCGAAGCATGACAACGCGGACGATGCTATTCATGACAAGCGCCGCCGAACATTTGCAGGCTCGACCGGCCGAGTAAATCGCAGCGAAGGTGCAAAAGCCAAGTTCACACCGGAAGAAGATAGTTTCCTCCTTAAATTGAAGGAGGGCGAAGACGGCCAGTCATCTCAACAGCTCACCTGGTCAGAGATTTATCGGCGGTTCAACGCGAGATTTCCGGGTCGACGATCATGTGGTTCTCTTCAAGTGCATTACTGTACGAAGTTGAAGGGCCGAGAGGAGCCTTAGCACATTGTTGGCAGTATTATAATTTATACATTTGTTGGACTTTTACTATCTTGGTTACGTGTTTTGTGATTTTGCAGCTAATGACCGAAAACTTAATGGTAACAAAACAACTGATCCTATCAGTTCAAAGCCCCCTTGAACAATCGCCCTACCCTATACCTCAGGATAGACCAGACCGTCACACCAGCTTTGTTCCCCGCCCTTTTCCTCGCAGTCTTGCGACCACGCGGGTTTACCCCACAGCAGTTGTCATGGAATAATTTCGATCATCCGGCCCAACCATATGAGTTATATGACAAAGGAATAACGTAATGGTAGAATCCAACATACCACACCCATCTCTGAGGTGCGGACAAATAGGGCAGAGTTGGTCTTGGTTGCATAACTTCTAGTCAAGACATCTAGTTCTTCAAGATGTGTTTTCCTGGCTCGCCTCTACCCGCTTCCTGTTATGCTCCCCCAGAAGTCCTAGTTCTTTTTGGCTAAGGCCCGTTGTTTTATCTCTTCCATAGCGGCTTCCCTTTTTTCTGGGGCGTTCCGGCCACGAGGCATTGAGCTAGAAGAGGCATCCTTTTGGTCCTGAATAGCCTCTTTTCGTAGCCGGCGGAATAGTTCTTCCTGGCTACGCTGCTGCTTCTCAAATTCCTTATTCCATTTGTCTTGAAGGGCACGATAAGTGAGATACAACGTGTTTAGTGGCCGTGTTTCACGGCTACCGATATCGCTGTTTCGCCGTTCTCGCCAATATTCGGGTCGGCTCCAGCATCCAGCATCCAACACGGCCACAATGGTTTCGTAACATGGGGCAGCATTGCCAACATGGACGGAATATATCCATGACTCCTGGGCATACCTACAAAATGCGCTATCCTGCAAGGTTGATTCCTCCCGTCACGGGTACTAGCCAAATTACCGACTGACACATCATGATCAAAGACGGCTTTCTATCAAGGTCACAAGGCTTACAGTCCTCGCCTCCAACACGCTAGAAGCACCCCATCTGTGTCAGGACGTCCGAAACTAGGATAGAAATAATTCGCAGCGGACATCACGAAGACACGGCTAGAAAATGAGCCACCTAGGGGGCATCGCGGTCCAGGACATAAATTCACAGCGACTCCTACGACCTTCTATTAACATAGTTATAAAAGAGAGAGAAAGAGAACGAAAGGGCGACGAAGCGCTTATGTATGCTGCTTCCCGAGCTATTATGGAGAGGGTGGCTCCGAAAACTCAATTACTACAACCCTCCCCGAGGCACAACCGAGTACAATTATTGCGGCCGTTGATGACGCCGAAGACGATGACGAATATGATATGGTCGAGGCTGTAAGGGCGGAGGCCGGGAGGAAGCCATAGGATATTGTGTTCATTCGACGTAATCCACCGGATCATAGACTTGATTAATCTCAACCGGAGCTTGGGACTCGATTCCCAGTTGTAAGCTAGAGGAGCTAGTCCAAACCAGCATCGGCGCCCTTGTCTAGTAGCATCTCGACAACCTCCTTATGGCCTTCTGCCGATGCCGCCTGGAGCGCCATGCCGTAGTCTCCGCCTTCAATGTTAACGTCAGCACCCTTGTCTAGTAGCATCTCGACAATCTCCTTGTGGCCTCGTGCCGATGCCGCCTGGAGCGCCGTGCCGTAGTCTCCGCCTTCAATGTTAACGTCGGCGCCCTTGTCTAGTAGCATCTCGACAATCTCCTTGTGGCCTCGTGCCGATGCCGCCTGGAGCGCCGTGCCGTACGCTCCGCCTTCAATGTTAACGTCAGCACCCTTGTCTAGTAGCATCTCGACAATCTCCTTGTGGCCTCGTGCCGATGCCGCCTGGAGCGCCGTGCCGTAGTCTCCGCCTTCAATGTTAACGTCGGCGCCCTTGTCTAGTAGCATCTCGACAACCTCCTTGTGGCCTCGTGCCGATGCCGCCTGGAGCGCCGTGCCATAGTCTCCGCCTTCAATGTTAACGTCGGCGCCCTTGTCTAGTAGCATCTCGACAACCTCCTTGTGGCCTTCTGCCGATGCCGCCTGGAGCGCCATGCCGTAGTCTCCGCCTTCAATGTTAACGTCAGCACCCTTATCTAGTAGCATCTCGACAATCTCCTTGTGGCCTCGTGCCGATGCCGCCTGGAGCGCCGTGCCATAGTCTCCGCCTTCAATGTTAACGTCGGCGCCCTTGTCTAGTAGCATCTCGACAACCTCCTTGTCGCCTTGTGCCGATGCCGCCTGGAGCGCCATGCCGTACCTTCCGCCTTCAATGTTAACGTCGGCGCCCTTGTCTAGTAGCATCTCGACAACCTCCTTGTGGCCTCGTGCCGATGCCGCCTGGAGCGCCGTGCCATAGTCTCCGCCTTCAATGTTAACGTCGGCGCCCTTGTCTAGTAGCATCTCGACAACCTCCTTGTGGCCTTCTGCCGATGCCGCCTGGAGCGCCATGCCGTAGTCTCCGCCTTCAATGTTAACGTCAGCACCCTTGTCTAGTAGCATCTCGACAATCTCCTTGTGGCCTCGTGCCGATGCCGCCTGGAGCGCCGTGCCGTAGTCTCCGCCTTCAATGTTAACGTCGGCGCCCTTGTCTAGTAGCATCTCGACAATCTCCTTGTGGCCTCGTGCCGATGCCGCCTGGAGCGCCGTGCCGTACGCTCCGCCTTCAATGTTAACGTCGGCGCCCTTGTCTAGTAGCATCTCGACAACCTCCTTGTGGCCTCGTTCCGATGCCGCCTGGAGCGCCGTGCCGTACCTTCCGCCTTTAGTGTTAACGTCTGTCTTTTCCTTGAGCAAGATATCTTCGACGACCAGTTTTAGACTAAGGAAGCTCGCCAAAGTCAGGTCCGTCCAATCTCCCCATCGCAGATACCTCTGGCTGAGGTAGGTAGGCGCCCAAATGCTCGCTTGGTGCCCGGCTGTATTACAGAGCATACGCGCATCTTTCCGGGACCGGTCAGCAGCGGCAGCTTCCTGAGAGATATAGTGCAAAGGCCAGTGGGTAGCGGCGTAGGAGAGGAATGGGGGTTGTTTATCCTCGGGACAGTCGTCTCCAGCTGGTATGTCGATATCGGGCAGCATCAAGTAATCGAGACATGATCGTGATATCGCAGTGTGCGATTCTGACATGTTCAAGCGCCCCTGCCATGTACCTTGTCGTTTCTTATGAATGAGAAATTCTCTCGCTGTCTGATGAATGAATGACAACTTTGAGTCATAGACGCTGATGAAGAGGCCGCAAAGATTCGTGACGACACTTCGGAAGTTGTCTCTTGTCCACAGTCCGGACTCAAGTTCCGCGTGTGATGCAAAACGTGCTTGCAAAGCTAATGTCAACGCAACGTTCGCCTCGTCGAGAGTTAAAGGCCGTGCCGCAGCGAGGATAAGTTGAAGAAGAATCTCGGTTTCTGCTTCATCCTGGTTTCTGCTCAAGATCTTTTCGTATGCGTCGTGCAGCTTGGACGGAATATCGGACAAGAGTGTTTCTATGCTTGACAGCTTCGAGTATCGACTCAGTTTCTCCTTAACTGTGTCGAATACGAGATAAAGCCAGAGGTACGTGCGGCTATTTTTGCTCTTAAGGCATTCAGAAATTTTGCGTCGATCGTCAGGGTCAAGATTGCCTGTGATTTCATTCACACGCGCATCGATGACTAGATTGATCTCGCGACCGATGTCGGCAGACTTTTCGTCGCCATCAAGACGTAGATACTCTGTTGTCGAGAATGCCCTGAAAAGGGCCTCTAGATGATCGTATGGACGGCTGGTGACGAGAAACTTGAGCTTCGAGGAAGGACTCGATAGTCCCTCGCTCGGACAATAGAAGTCCTTAAGTTGTTTGATTAATTCCTCCCTGCTGCGCCACTCGCATTCATCCAGAGCGTCGAGGATGCAAACGATTTCTCCGACGTCAGATGATCCGGCACACTCTAACAGGATTCGCCACAGCCCGGAGAAGTTCTGCGCAAGAGCTTTCTCAAATTTCTTGTGACTGGGCAGCGCATTTCCGATTAGGCTGCCGCTAGGGTCCTGAGCGAAAAGCTGGTGGAGAATTGCACATAGGGCATCGGCGCTGTGCATGCGGCGTTCGTCTCCGTCTTTGAAGAAGAAGTAACAGACGGTCGAGGTCGCAACATTCGTGGATAGTCGCTCATCGATCAGAGCTCGCGACAGGACCGACTTCCCACAACCAGGACCGGCAGAGACCCAGAGGAGGCTGGACGTGTTGCTGTCTCGCCATTTGCGGAACCTGTCGTCGTTGAAGAACCACTGGCACGTGCCTGGCACCCTCTGTGGGTTGAAGTTTTTGTTGCCTTCATAGTCGGACGCGAGATCCCGAAGGAGATCTCTTTCCTTCTGGTCCTCGTAGATTTTCTGGGTCTGCATGCCGCCCTCCTTGAGGATCCGGCGAATTTCGTCGAGGATGGTTCGCGATTCTTGCATCTCTTGCAGCTGGCGGTTCCAGCGTTCCCTGATTTCCTCCTCTTGGAGTGGAGGGATGCAGTCGCTGCGCCGCTTGCTCAAGTCATCAATATCGCGTGCCCTCCCAGCCCAGTCGTAACCAGCCACGTCTTTCCACGCGCGGGAGAGTTGGGCTTTAGAGAGATGACATATGACGAGGGCCTGATATTCGATGATGTGGGAATAGAGCTGGGCTAAGGGTTCTACGAGGTCTTGGTACTTTTCTCGGTGTGAGGATTCGAGGTAGGTCTTCTCGCAGAATTTCCAGTAGACTTGGACGTCGCCGATCGAGTTGAAGCCTTTCAGCATGGCCTCGTTTTGCGTGGTGCCGCTCGTGAGAAGCTACCCGGGTTAGCATGCGCATGGGAGCGTGGAGGACCATATACCTACGGGGAGAAGCAACAAAACACCGGACCATGCCAGCGCTGCGTATGGCTGAGTGCTCACAGCAGTCTTGACGATCGGGTCGGACCAGAGGAGGAACTTTGCAAGCCTCTCGACTTGTTCTCGGATCTTTACATCCTTGCCGAGAAGCGAGACTCGCCACTGCCTTTTCTCTCGATCTTCCAACAGCTTATTGATCATGGATTCGACGGACCGCGGGGTTGAGAGATCTCCGCCGGCTGCAGCGTCGTCTTGCAGGGAGGCTAGATGCTTCTGGTAGTCTGCCATCAGCTCGGGTTCTCGCCCCCGAAATATCTCGTAAGCCCGAGTCCATGGATCGGTGTCGTTGCTCGTCAGCGGCGTGTCGGAAACGATTGGCTGTCCCCGCGTATCGGAGGATGCTTCGGGAAGGGAGGCAGCCGGGGCAGGAGAGGGAGGCGAGGGTTGCGCCGGTGGAGGCTGCCGAACAGGCGAGGCCGGGCGAGCTGTAGAAGGCGCGGCTTGTTGGGGCTCGGGCTCGGGAGTCGCAACTTGCGTGGTTTGGGTCGGCTGCGGCTTGCCTCCAGGTGAATCAGGAGTGTCCGCGACGCTCCGGACCTGCGTGGTGGGTGCGGCCGTGCCGCTCTGGCCGCCCTTTTTCTTCCTTTTCAGTTTGGAGAGCTTGTCCTTCAGCCACTTGCCCGCCATGATTTCAGGACGCGAGAGTTTCGAAAGGGAACTGTTAAGGCGTCGGGAAACTCGCTTGGGAGCTGTCGAGATCGCCGGCAACGGCGAACACAAGGGGAGATGATGATGTCGAGAAGCTGGCCGACCCCGCGTCGACCGTCGTGCGGCTGAAAGTGCCCGTGTGTCAGACCACCCGAAGGTGCATGGTGCTAGTGGCTGGAAGGAGCCACGACTATTTGCGGAACTGCAATGTTCTGCGGCCAAGGTGGGACGGCAACCTATGGGGCTGCGCTGATAGCAAGTTCTGCGAAAGCGGTGCGTTGTCCCCGAAATGGAGGCGGTTGCCTGTCGTCCAATTCTCGTCTATCGCGTGGAAATGAGGCGGTGTCAGTCATTGCCCCCAAACACGGAGGGCAGTTCTGGCCTGGCCTCAAGAGCCAGTCCCGCTGCATGGGCATGCCAAGTCGCCGTCGTGGCCGCTGCAAGAGAATCTCTTTCGCCCAGCGACGCGGTCCTCCTGGCCAGGTACCCTCAGGAGGTCCCCGTGAGGAGCAGGTACGATGGAACCAGGCCGTGCTTTTGTTGGCCGCAGGAGGATCGGCCAGAGCCCGTGTGCGCGGTAGAGTTATGAGCACCGTAGAGCTCACGTTTGGGCTAATTAGTCCAGCGCCGCTGCTCCCGTGAACGTTGGTTCCCCTTTTTGCATCCACGGCGACATTAAAATAAAGCTGGCGTGCTAAACGCGGGCCGGAAAATCGCCATCCTAGCGCTGCGGGCCGCACATGATATGAACCATATTTGGAGCCGAGGCTCGCTTCTCTTCATTGGCACAGGGCGGCAATGGCGTCCAATTCGGGAAGCTTTTGGTCAACATCGCGTCCATGTTTGTGGCGGCTGACGACCACCTCCTCGGGCACCTGGAGCGGGACTCGGAATGGCTCCAGCGGCAGCTTGGGCAGTACCGGTATGGCCCCTGCACTAATGAGGCCTAGGCGCGCGGCAACAGTTTTGCCGCCTTTTATTCCTGTCACCTGCTTTGGCCGCTCTCCGGCCCTGAGCCCCCACCCAATCGCCTAATTATCTGCGCATAAGTTGTGATCGTAGCCGCCGGCCTAACCCAGTTCAAGTCCGCCCTGTCAGTGCCGGGAAATGGCTGATCAGGCTGCCCGGAGCCGTTCTACTCCACAGCCGCCTACGGCACGGGCCGGATTTAAGCGCTGGAGGCCTCCTAGTTCCTGTACGGTGATAGATGACACTAGGCGTGTTGTCTGAATTGGGAGTCAATGCATGGTTAGCGATTGTAGGTCCGTTAGCGGAGTCGGTGGGATGCCAAGAAGAAGAGGGATTGCGAGCTACTTGGTATGGCTGCGTCGCACTGGTACGACCTGTGAAGCGCTGTGCATAAGAGCGACATCATTGGGAACTACGGCGACTCTCAATTCCTGATGCAGCTTCGCATGTTTGCTGAGGCAGTGTACGGTCAAGCTCCCGGGGGGACAAATGGGACGGCAATGAGCCAAATGATGGTCGCAATGGAGCAGGGCAGAGCAGGAGGCATGCACTCGCACATGATGGATATGTCACCAGCTATGTTTGGTCGACGTTGAGGAAGAGAGCGACGCGAGACTTTTTGGGAAGGTCGGTTGTCTACTGTCTGCTCGCTTTCGTATGGGGTTACGAGGCCCCAGTACCGCATGCGTATACCAAGCGGCTGCATATACGAGCTGCAGCCGTGTATATCGCCAGAGAAATCTATCCACCCGCAATTCCTAAACTTCAGGCTTCCTCCCGTAAACTGAACGGCTAACAGAGTATCAGCACATTGAGAACAAAAGCGGGGTGGCGGAGAATACATTGACCAGTAGGCATGGATTTTCGGATTGTTCAAATCCTTCCTGACGTCAACCAGGAAAACGCTAACCTCCTCAGGAGTCCAGCCAAGGCAGCTTGTAAACAAAGCCATTGAAAGCCCCTCAAGAAGGTCGTCTGTGTTCACGTTGCTCCACTCTCCAAGCTCCTTAAATCTTTTCTCCTTGGGCCAGCGATTTGTCGGCCATTTAAATGGCGTCTCCTTGACATCAACGAATCCAACCTCGGCCATAAGGTGTTTGAGTCGATCGGTCTCTATGAAAGGAGTTCCGTGCTCTTGGGCAGCTTTGGCTAGAAGAACACACCATTTCCGAAGAGCATGATCTTTGGTAAGAGTGTTGTCATCTGATTGCATAAATATATCGACGTCCTGGAGCTCAGCGTAGCCACCCGGCGTAAGATTTCTAGTCAAATCAGGAGTTGCCAACTTATTCACCAGACCATAAAACAACTCACTCAAAAATCTTACGTAAATACTCTGGCCAGTTCTTGACTGAGACGTTCATCATTCTGCTGTGAATATAGTCAAAAGGCTGAGAATAAGTCCAGTCCTCGTCGATGTCGTCGATCTCGAACTTTAGATTCGGGGGCACGCTGCTCGAGTTTGAGTCGTCATCCGTCTTTCATGTGGGAACTCATCTCATACAATTCCGGTTGGGTAGGAGACAGATCGACCCCTATCACCTACGCAGATTGTTAGCCTTAGTCGCTCTTTGCTCTGAGATACTTCCTCTCACCTCAGTCTCGGGATGTTCGTCAGCAAAGTCGATCGCCCAAATGCCTGTACCGGTACCCAGGTCGAGAACCCGGCCGGTCTTGAATTCGGGAAGGTTCGGCGGGGAGAGACCAAGCTTGTTGTCAAAAGTCAGGAGGAACAGATTGTGCTGCAAGTCTGAAAAGATCAAGTGTAAGAATTTTGGACAGTGGAGGAGCGTTCTATATTACCTAGTCTGTTGTTCTCTGTTTCGTCATTGGGCATATAGTATTCTACAGCAGGTAAAGGCTGTGAGTGCCAGAAATCTCATAAGGGACAAACGCATAGCAACCTACTTCCGTCCTTGTATGCGTGGTATGTTCTCCCGTTTTCGAACCGATAATTGAGAATGGAGCTGGCCACGCTAGCAGTTGATGACGCATTGTCCTATGTCGTTGGTTTGTATCAGCGATTGTGTTCTTTCACAGCACGTCAGGGTAGGCAAGATGTCATGCATACATACATCTCCAACTGCTGAGTCTCGATCGTCGTCAACCTCGATTGAGGGTCAGCTCATGTTCGTATCGTACAGAGTCGTGGAGAAGAGGATGTACATCAACGTGTATGACAGGGTCTGCACCGGGTGTGGCCATTTCGCCAAGCATGAAACAGCTTCAGGTGCGCGCTGAGGTCCTTCGTCGCTCAGTGGGTGTTGAGGTTGGAGGAGATTGCCCTGGGTTTTGTCCCTCAAGGATGGAGGGGTGTCGCATATCAGCCCTACCCCACTACAGCAGCTGCCTATCAGGCAGCCGCTACTGCCTAAACAGGCAATGCTTTCATTTGTGTATAAAGAGCTGCACGACTCAGTGCGTCCTGTCATTGAGTTCTTGCTCCTTAGATAATTCTCATCAATTGACTGGCACCATCAATGATCCCTGTGGAGCCAATTGTCTGACAAGGGGCGGTCGGATTTAATACCGCGGCCCCCCACCCTTTGTCACTCGAAGGAGCCAATGATGCTTCATTTAGGTGTGGCGTTGTTGTCTCTCCTCTCATCGGGAGGATGTGCTCCACCAACAGTCACACCAGGATCACGTATCCCAGCCAATCAAGTGTTCTGTTTCTATGGAGACTGCGGCCTTGGCCAACACACAACCACTGCGAAAAAAGTACCGACATGTGATGCACGCGAGTAGTGAGGTCTAACGATTTCCTCCCGCCAACAATGCTCTACCGTATGTAAGCTAGACGAGCATTGAGTTTGGAAAAGACAAATTCGCAGCGACACCACGCCGTCTTTCGTTTTCTGTTAGGTAGCCTGATTGAGAAGAGGGCGCTTCTTGGGTGGTGGGGAAACATGACTCCCTATCATCCTATATAGGGGACCTGTACTTCTATTTTAGTCGGCCAATCACATGTTGAGGCTGCCTTTTAATGGCCCCTAAAATGACCACCCCCGCATGAGCGCGAAAAGAACGACCCAGAAGACAAAACAAGGATGCCCACTCCCGCACGCGGCTCTTCATTACACACCTTTAGAATGCGTAGTACTGTACATACAGAGTCCAGAGCCTAAAGTTCGCGGCACTTTCTCTTCAGGACCGATTCTTTCGTTTACTCCTGCTTTGCTCACTTGACGGTTGAATTACCATACAAGGCAACCTCTGGAGCTATCTCCGCTTTGATGCCCCGAGGGAAATATTATCAAGGCAGTGGGACTCAACAGCCGTCCCCAACTTCTCCTGTTGTCGGTTGCTTTGCCTGCCTTCACAGATATCTGCGATAGAAACTGCGTCGTCACTGGGAGAGCTAGTCCTTGATCTGTCGAGTAGGTGCTCGTAGCCTCGCAGTCTCCTAGGTGCTATCACAGAGAATCACATCAGGATAGAATTTGAGATTCTTGACTCCAGAAAGAGGCTCAATGAATAGGCAAAGGATGTGGTTGTTGTCATCGCGAAGATCTCTATACCAGTACTGTTTTTTTCCTTGTAGCTGGTCATAGAGCCATTCTGTGGGCGTTCTCCCTTGAAACTCCGGAAATGGCGGCACGCCCATTTGGGCAAGGCGCCCTCGCCGCCCGCCACCCGCACAGTGTCACGTGACACACTCTTATATAAACGTTCCCCCTGCTACCCAACGTCCATCCATCCTCGTGAACTTTGTACTCTCGACTTCTGCCCCCTTCCATTGCTCCTCATTTCCGCCCTAACCTGAGTTTCATTTCTCTAAGCTGGCCGCGTCATCCACTCAATCGCATGGAACCGCCATCATCGCTCCAGAGCAACTTGGCAACGGCGTCGGCCGCATTTTTCTTTTCCCACCGATTCAAGACGACCGGTTGCATCGTATGAATGCTTTCCAAGAACTTCTTCCTTCCCCGCCTGGAAAACTTTTACGCCCGTATCAACCTTCCCTTCCCGCTCATGGCCTTCCGCTGTGTACTGACTAATACCTAAAGCCGCTGTTGAAGCCATCCTCCTGAGACGGATGGTCTGACGAGATGGTAGCCTCTCGTTGCGCTCCATTCTTCCAACTAGGTTGTTGGTCCTCGTGAGGCCTCCCACGGAGAGCGACCACTCGCGAAAATGCCGCAAAGGTTGACTGCGTCTGTGCGCAAGGCAGACTGAGGGCGATGCTCTGTCGACGTTCACTGGATGGGGCAGGGATGGCTGGCTCCCGCGGGCTGAAGCATGGCCCCTCTTTCCCCCTTGCTTCGCAATGGACCAGTGACCGACCTATCGCGAGCGGCGAGAACACATTGCATGACCAGGCATGATTCACCAGTACAGGGGCTGTGAACTGGCATCGTTCCGGAGACGCCTCTTCCATGGCCGGCGGCCCCTATTGCTGAGCCCCTTCGTCCCTCTGATTCGCCATGGGTGAGGCAAGAGCTGAGCGGTATGAAACGGAAGGAGCGTGGTGCATATACGAACGCATAGATGGGTAACGCAATGGCTTTTCGGGTTCTGCAGGATGGAGGCTGGGTGATGTTGCATAGGAGGAGGCTGCGGGGCGAAGCGAGGCGAGACGGAGCTCGTTCTACGCTTGGTCTCGGCCTTGGCCACCTCCTCACCCTCGGGTATTCGGGCGATGACCATGTGCTGCGGGTATCAGGAGCCTGGGTGACCGGAGAACTCGCGGGCCAGGGATGATCGGCATCTGCTTGGCCGAGCCAGACGACATTGTCAGAGTCAGGTGGGCGAGCAGAACCCGCCGGCTGTTTAGGATCCAGACCCCGCCCATCCAACACGAGAATACGATTCGTGCACGGAGACCACGAGCAACCAACAAGTGTGTCTCGGGGTTGACTCCGGAGTCACCGGGGACTTTACCTTGCCAATGAAAGAGTCGACTTCCTGGTAAGACATTAGGTGACGAGGCAGTGAGAGTCTTCTCTCCATGCAACTAACTGCGTTGGTCTGGCTCGGCAGTTGGCTGATTGGTAGAGATAACGGAGACGGGGATGCAGCGGCCTCCGTTCGAGCACCTCCTTTGTCTCGGATGCACGGGTGGTAGGGAGAAGCCGGGCAGCACATGGAGGCGGTAGGACGGCCATGATGTGCGGGCCAGCTCAAGTATTAAAGCTGGACAGTGCCCGCCTGCCTAACAACGCTATCCAAGCAAATCTCACCTCTTTTTACCACAACGGGAGCACGCGCAATCCGACCATGACACCAACCACCACCCTTGATGCCAGCCGGCTGAAGCAGCAGCAGGCGCATCCTTCTTCTCCTTCACCAGCGGAAACCTCATCCCCGTGTGAAGACAAAGACAACGGCCCGTCAACGTCTGAAGTCGGAGCTTCTAACGAGCCAATATGGATCCCCTCTGACGTCGACTCCGATTCGGAGGATGACGAGGACGACAGTCAAGATTTTGATGACTCGCGATCCGACGCCACGCTTCCATCGATCAACAGTCTTGCTGCACGGTCTCAGCCCAGGAACACCATCCATGCAGGTAAATCCTCAAAACCGTCTGCTCTCCAAAAAAGCACCGGAGGTCTAACAGCCGATCCAGACAGTCCCAGCAAGGCGTTTGATTACATCGGTGTTGTTTATGTCGACTTAACTACAGCCCGCACGATTGAGTCAGATGTTGTGACCAGCGTGATCCGTGGATCCCCAAGATCTTCATCGCACATCGCCGTAAACCCTCCAACTCCAGCACGGCCATCACAGACATCACAGACATCACAGACGCCCGATCCCGCGCATTCTACCCTGGATCAGGCTCCTTGTCAAGGTGATGATGCGGCTGCGAGCGGTACCCGTGCATGCTATGATGGCATTCCTGAGACCCCCTACGAATACCCTCAAAGACACCTATCTCAAGATACTCCTGAAGGGCAGGGCCTTGCTACTGTCGACGCAATGGAGCCAAGCGCCATTACAGGCGATGCTACGCACGCCGCAACACCAATTCCTTCATCACAGAGCACACCGGAATCCCCAACGCCAGCATGTGCGTCGCAGCCGTCCACCCCTGCGCCGCTTAACATGGACGATGCCTTGTGTCGAGGTGACGACACGTCTGTGAGCGCTGCTCCTTCACGCCACAACAGCATTCCTGGGACACGTGACGTGTCCCCTCAAAGACAATCATCGTTCGAAACGCCTCCAGGGCGGGACCACAGAACGAGCGGTCGTCGATCCGAAGACGCCGAGGCCCGTATATTGTCTGAGGGCGCACCTCAACCGTCATTAGGAGCCTGCGCATCCCCTTCTCAGCCACTGGGTCCGAAAATGCGCCGCCACGCCCATCGTCAGGCCATGCATAGACTAGTCCAAGACGACGATGATAGCAGCAGCGACGCGGGCAGCCAGTCCCAAGGAGGCGAATCCCATGTTGCGAATTTGCGGCGTGATAAGGACTATTGTCCCTCTCACACAGAAGCCGAAGAGATGAGCTTAGGCGACGAGTCTAACGGCGAAGACCAATGCCCACGCAAGCGCCGTAAGGTCTCGAGGTCTTCTGCCAGTTCGCCGCGCGATGCAGCAGCTAGTGTTGAGCGCCCTCGTCGGGGAAGACCGTCTTTGAGATCGAGATCTACGCGGTCATCCCAGGCAATGTCCGATGAGACCGAAGTCAGGGCGGTTCTCGCCAGGTTTGAGGAATGGCCGCTTGAGAATGCTTCGCTCAAGAGCATAACTGAGAACGGCAAAACCACTTTCCAGTTACAGTTCGATTGGACTGTTCGGGATGGAGTTGATTCACCCTCGACACAGACGACGGGCAAGGTCAAGCGAGCTTCAGCTCCAAGAATCAAGTACACCCCACAGGAAAATGACCTGCTTATTAAGTTGAAGGAGGGGAGGGAGATGATTGCGTGGCCCGAGATCCACAGGCGGTTTAGCGAAACCCATCCAGGGCGGTCTGTCGACAGTCTACAGGTGCATTACTCTACGAAACTGAAGGGTCGTACGAGACTCTAGGACTTTATTAGCGTTGGATGTCAAGTCTGCTCGGTGACTTGGTCGAGCCGTCGTTGGCTGGGAATCAGACGGGGGTTTGCAAGCTGGGTGTGAGGATTCATGAGAAGTTGAAGGATACCATGTTTTACATTTGAGCAGAGGAATAAGCGACTTGGGATCTCAAAGCCCTAGAGGTCATGATTTTGGTCACGGGCGTCATGGGCTACGCAAACAGGAGTAATTATCTTTCGTTAGCCTCATAATCAATCAACCTCTTTTTCCTATGACCATCGTCAATTTCGACCACCTTCTATTTTAAGCAGTGTCCGTATTTTCAGCCACCCTTGCTGTGTCCAGGAAGCTGTTTTTAACCGCCCTTAAGGCTACTTTCTCAAATCCGATGCGCCAACTTATTATAAGCAGAAATTTCGGAGCGAAAAAAGCAGTCTATTTTTAGCCAAAATCTCATATGAGGATTGTCGTACGAAGACGCTCGGAAAACCAACTAACTATACAGAGCATCTTACGTAATCAAGAGAATCTAGTAGTTAACTTAGTTACGAGAATCTATGAAAGTTTCTATTTTTGTCGAGATTTTCGTACGAAAACTTTCAAAAGAATATGCCAGTGAAATAGCCAAAATTTAAGTAGAGAGACGGATTACCTAAGAATGGCATGCTGCAGAGATATCATATGAGATTTAAGTAGAGAGATGGATTACCTAATAGCATGCTGCAGAGATATCATATGAGATTTAAGTAGAGAAATAGATTACCTAAAAATAGCACGCTGCAGAGATATCATATGAGATTTAAGTAGAGAGACGGAATACCTAAAAATAGCATGCTGCAGAGATTTCATATGAGATTTAAGAGACGGAATACCTATCTTGGAAAGAGCACTCACTGCAAAGAAATTATCTATTTTTAGCAAAATTCTCATACGAAAATTTTGGTACGAAGAGGCTCAGAAGATTCTCCAGATCTTATCTAATCAAGGTAGAAGATCCCGTACGAGAGGACTCACTGTATTATCTATTCTTAGTCCCACTTTCGTACGAAATCTTTCAAAGGAACTTTCTCAGTGGGTGAAGATTTCCATGTAAAGAAGGTTGAATTTCAGTGTCATTTGAGGTACATTATATGATAAAGGAATGACATGATGGTAGAATCTAACATAGTGCACCTAGCAAGGCGCGGACCTGAAGGGCAGAGGTCTCGGTTGCATAACTTCTAGTCAAGGCATCTAGTTCTTCTCGGACGGTTCTCCCTGGCTCGCATCTAACCGCCTCTGGTTCTGCTCTTCCAGAAGTCTCAGTTGTTCCTGGAAGAGCTCGAGCCCCCTCTGTATCCCTGGTGGAACTGGCCGCCCCGACGTAGTTCTTGAGCTGTTGCCATGTCTTTGCGACCTCTCTGGCTTCTTCTTTTGGATCTTTCCTGAACCTTGAGGTTCCCTGGCAGGTTGACTTGACTTCCTCGCATTGCGCCTCCCCCGAGGTTTCTGATTTGGGCCGGTGCCATGACTCGGCCCTTGAAGGGGCTTGGATTGGGGTCCCGAAGTAAAACCATCATAGTGTGTGGGACTGTTCATTTCAGGGTCTTCACCGTCTGGGAAAAGCTCAGGTCCCCGTCCTTTCTCGCTACAACTTTCACCCCTAGAAGACTGATGGTGACAGCGAGGGCCCCGATCACGCACGAGATGGTCTGCACTTTCAGTTAGAAGCTTTCTCGTAAATACCTAGTAGAGAGCCAACCTGGACTATCTCCATCGCCAGGAGCGACTCGATTTGGATCGGTGGGAGTGTTCGTCGGGAAATTAGTATTGTGCTTTTCGAGAGGCGTGTCTTTCAGGTGCATTTGCTCCCTCTCAGGGCGCTCATGTAGAGAGGGGCTGTCCCCTGGAATAGGGGAAGACATTGTTTGTAGGTATAAAACCCAGAAGGCGAAGTCTAGGATGCGATAGGATGGGAGGATCAAAAGCAATGGGGAGACGTCATGAATTTATGTTCTCCTGGGACGAGCTAAGCCCGTGAACAAAGCCCCCGAGTCAATCAGGGCGGCCTGCATGAAGAGAGCGTGTCACACATGTGATGTTGTGAACCTGGAAGGAGGCTGTCTCAGCCCGCATAGCCATCCCCGGCTAGGCAGCATAGAGATACAAAGACGGATATTCGCCCCATGCGGAAAGGATCCGGATATGACGATACCACTTGACAAAATGAGGTAGCGCCCGCAAGATGGTCGACCCTCCTCGCACGGCCATTTTGCTTTGCATCCCGAGTTCGTTGATGACGACATCCTCACCACTCGAGGTGCTGCTGAAGCCGGCCTGACATCCCTGGGCGTAAGTCAGCATCCACATATATCATCGACCCCTGAGCCAGCTGAACCAGCTGGAAGATCCTCCACCCCCATGATTCCTACCACACCTCGCTTGGCATGATGCCCTGACCCGTCGGTCTCTCCGTGCTGTTGGCCCGCCAGACCGGCACGACAAGAGTTAGTCTTGTGATCATTTATCTGTGCCTCAGCTGTGGCGGCCTCCTTTAACCATTCTGCCAGCCAAGGTTGGGAGCTGCTGATGGTAAGGTACACTCCCTACTCCACACCTCCCCAATATCCAGTTTACACCAACACCCCCAGGGCCACTGACTCCCCTCCCATCACATTCGACCTGCCCCCGGCCCCAACCGGCGCATCCTGAGACGTACTCCTCCTCAAAATGTGCCTCGTGTATGGGCGGATTAAACTAACGTCTGAGAGTTCTCGGGGCAGTGTACCACACTTTCTTCTTCGGCTTTCGACGCAGTTCCTTGAGTTACTTGGTTGGTGGAGAGGTGGTCTCGATGGCTGAGCCATCGACGCGAGTTGATAACGAGGCCCATGTCCCTTGACTCTTCTGGCTGCCACCCCTCGCTTAGCATGATCATACTGATGTTCTCCTCAGCCTCTCCATGACGTGATCTGACTGATTTGTTGAGGCATAATTCCTGATTCTCAAGTCTGCCTTGCCTATACTTGCGGAGGTGCAGCGAGTGATACCAACTCTAGACAATAAGTCAAACACACATAGGGGGAGGGGATCCAGCCATCTAGTAGCATGAGTCAAGTGAGGCAACCTGGCCAGCTTGTTAGACAAAACATGCCAAGGCATCCTCACAAAAGTACTCTATTTATCTGTTGCAAGGATCTCTTTCAAGTCTTCTAGAATATGTGGAAAGCTATGCCCGAACTCCGACGGAACCTTAACGCAAACCTTGACGATGAGATCATCAGAGTTGCTGACAGTAGTGTACTTCAAATCCCATCCCTTGCCGCGCATTGGATCCTTAATGCGATTGATTGAGCGAAAGGAGGTGTCAAAGGAAATCTTGTACTTCTCCTCTCGAACAAGCCTCTCTTTCCGCATGATTTTCCACGGCCCTTCGACAAAGGAGCTCGCCTTCCATGGTGTAGGTAGCGAGTCTCTGAAGTGCGTTTCTTTCAAACGCTTTACTGCTAAATAAATTAGATTTATCACTACAGATGAAAGGGCTCTCGTACCTGCTTGTCGCTCTTCACCTTCTATTCGCCTCTTTCTTGTGTCCGATGCTTCGTTGGAAGCATCCGCGTCTTCTGTTTGCCGAATGCCAGGAAGAATTTTGGTTGCCAATTCCTCACCGATGAATGACTCCCCCAAGACTTGGTCGGAAGCAGGCAGGGCGGCAATAAGACTCTGCGGAACGCTCATGATATCGGTCATACGAACGTGTGACAGGTTTGAGAGATGGATGTTGAGGGACTGGGACAACTGGAAAATTCGTGGGCTTTATAGTTGCACTCAAGATTGCCAATGCAGCGAGCCAAGGATGACAGCTGCTGATGGTAAGGCATACTCTCTATTCCACGCCTTCCTCGATATTCCCTTAGCAGTGAAGCCTGCCCAGTATGCAGTACCAACACTCACCCTCCCCCTTGGCGACACACAGCGCAACCACTATGCAAGGTAAAAGGGGCTGTGACTCTGGTCTTTCAGGGATCATGCTATAATGGAGGCGTCTCCCCTCGGCATGCTCGTGGCCGCTCTTCAATGTCTCAGCCAACAGATACCATGGCACTACCCCGGAGGAGTGCCCTATAACGATCTTAGCGGCCATGCGCGACTGACAGGTGATCATGCAGGATTGTTGAAGGACTATGGATCCGCTGACGGCTGAGTTCTGTGTGACTGTCCGAATGCTCCCCGAAAAGGCCACGTACTTGGTGTGTGGCTCCCTGATGATCTTCCCCCAACGCTAAATCTCATCACAGATAGCGAGAACGACTTGCATGATTCGTGGTCCCAATTAACCTTGACGCGAGAGGGGTCTGTCTAGTGGAATGGGCGTGACATGCATAGACGAGAACTACCCAATGGTGCAACATGGGCCTACGGAATATGATAACAGAGGCTATTGACCTCGGTAAATGCCGCAAGATCACATCTTCACCAGTGTGCATCACGATACACTTCCCACGCAAGGATCAATGAAACCTGGGTGTAGGCTTAAAGGGGGCGTTGCCGAAAATAGAAGGACATACACCCAGGTTGATCTCTATTTATATGTCTGATACTCCCCAACTGTTCTGTCTTCGCGATTGGAAACTGGCTGTATGATTATGATTTTAACTTTTATCACAATGAGTCTCACAAATTTCGTATCGACCGCGTTGACCACGGCATTCGGCCTCAGTGCCGCAGCGAATTTATCAACATCTGTCAAGGCCAGCCTGTGGTATCTAAACATTCAACGAAACCACCGAGAGACAAGCTCAGTATCTGTGGTTCCTCCATCATTATCTACAAGGCACCCTCGTACATTCACAGCGGTGGTGATTACACACTGTGTGATTGCTACCGGATCCTCACTTACATTTGCGGTTCTGATGCAAAAACATGGAGATCCCTGGTCGACGTACCTGAGCTCTTCTATAATTGTCTCTAGCATGATCAGCGAAGTGAGTGCATATCCTAGCTTTGGTGTAATTCTAACGATCGAAAGTGCTTGCGTGTTGGTGGTTCTTGGAGCCGAGGACAAATTGCATTCGCTCCGTGGCCCCTCGCATTCCTTCTGGCAACCACTGGGGTGCTATTTATCGTCAGCACCGTCATGGCTTCCCAGAGCGCAGTGTTCAATGAACTCTCGTCGGCATCCGCTGTTATTTTCCGGTGCTGGATGGTGCTAGAATGGATGCTCATTGCATCGAGCATCTCAGGCCAGTTTACGAAAATCAAGATCATCATATTGATTGAGACCTTGGCGATGATAGCCAGCGCTATGGCTTTCAGAACAGAGTCAGCGACAAGCAGGCGCATTGTACGTACTGAGCTTCTAGCCGAGACTAAACTTACACTGGTAGATTCTTTCGAATGTTTTTGGAGCCCACGACTTTCTCGTGTGCCTTATACCGGTTGTTGAAAAGTTATGGACGAAGAGTTTCAGACGGGAGCCCAACCCTAACCTGCTACCACGGCTCTGGCAAATGACAAGGCCTAGAGCATCTTCACCAGGGGCATCGAGCCAGATTCAACTTCGGAACATGTCCGTCACAAGCGAGTCAGAGGCGTAATGAAGCACGCAGTCGCAAATGATATTGGGAAGGATCAGCATAGCTTTAAAATTTGTGGGCTAGCAAGGGTAAAGGGGTTTGACGCCAAAGTATGCTGGGATTGTGGGAGGGAAGTTATCTGATAGCCAAATAAGACCTTCAACTCTTTGGAAAGACACGCCTCAGTGACCATAACCGCGTCATGATCTGGCTTGAGGATGGGATGCCAGCGCCGCCCAGAGGCGCCTACGTCGGTAATCCGCGTCACGGAAATCGACGTCGTTGTGCCGTCGCCCAGGGGGGCCTCGCAAGATGGGCGGACTACTTGCTCAATACTATCCAAACTCATTGGTCTTCCTCCTGCTCGTCGCCATGTTGTGCAAGCACCTCGAACAGCTGCGCCCTCTGGGCCTCGGAGTTGGTCCGCCAGTCCCCCAGCCGTCTGGAGTACTTAAACCCCTCCCTGCCCCCTCTCCTCCTCTCCTCCTTTCTCGTCCTCGTCCATCAATCCTCGCTCGCTTCGACCTCGCCCGACCATCTTGCCACCCGACCAGCCTGTCACCCGACCGAGCGACCCTCGACAAGCAACGACCGACCACCCACCACTCACCCTAGCCAGCAGCACCACCACCGCCATGGCCTCTCAACGCCAGGTACGCACCGTTGTGACTTGGAGAGCCTGGTGCTGACGGTCTCAGCTTGACCATGTCGACCTCGAAAGTGGATGGCTTCAAGTCTCCAACGAAAACGACCAGCTCCGACCTTACATCACCACCATCGTCCAAGCCAACGCATCAGTCCTTCCGCCTCGACGTCTCACCTGCTTTCACTTTTCCAACGACCTCCTGGGAAAGCTCGCGAAGCGCGCCGATGCCGTTAACGCCTTTCTCGCCTACTCGAGAGGCCAACTTGCCCTCGCACCCTGCACCAACTGTCACGAGAGCGTTCCCATCACTTTATCTGGAACCCCTCCGACGATTGGTCACCATCCGCTTGTCATGGAGACGGTTACACACATTAAGCGAGGCAAGCTCCATGTCAAATCAGGATCGGCCGTCAGTTTCTTCGTCTATTCTAAGCCCCCTGGCGAAGCCAACAGATTCGCGTTCGCAGGCAGGTCACCACTCAATTTCAAATCCAGAATACGGAGGCTGTACTTGCAGTTTGGAAGGTCACGACGTGTGGGACAAACGAAGAGCGTGAGAAGGCTCTTAGCGAGGGTGAGTTCGGGCCAGAGCTTGTAACTCGAACGGCCGAGGGCGCTTAGCACAATCGACTTCTAATTCAGGGAACCCTCAGCAAACACCTAAATATCTACCTACTCAACTAATCTCTAATCCCTCAGCGGACGAGTCATCAGTGCTTCCCAAGTGCGGGCCCTTTCCCTGCTCCTGGAATGTTGCTGGCGTTCTTCTAATAGCCAGAGGATAAGCTCTCTCCTACAATACAATTAGCTAGCAGGAAAATGCCATGAGTATGCGCCCTTACAATCTCAATAAGAGGAGTTGGGAATGAAGGGTCCTTAGAGGAGTTGTAATCATAATACTGATGGTTTCGGCGCACCATAATATAGAAATCAGCGCCATAGCGGCCGCTTAGTTGATCACATCTTCTCATCAGTCGCTGAACTGCCCGAGTGAAATTCTCCTTCGTCCTATCCCGCTTTTTAGATGAAAGGGCCAACTCGAGCACCATTGCACTCGGAGATACAGCAAACGCGGTACTTAGGTGGAAAAGCAGTTCTGCTTGTCATGCGCCATAAATGGCGGATCGAGGTACTATTATTAGATTTTGATTTGGGGGTGCTAATTCTGGCCTGGCATGAATGGGTTGGTGGCCGTTTTCGGCTCCTTATGAAACGGTCCCGGAAGAAGGATCCAAATCCTATTTTTAGACTCAATCGGTCTCAGTAACTGCATTGCCTCCAGTCCCTAAAATAGTCCGCGCAGCAAGCATGCAAAATCCTAATACGTAGCCTACCTTGCAACCCTAACAGGTACCAATTTCAGTCACAGGAGGACCCAGCAACAGGCCATAGGACCAAAAATAGGCCTCACTCAAAAATAGAAAGGCGGCCAGACCTACGCTCTAGATGTATTCAGCTTCATCCAAGATTCAGGCCCATTCGAAGGTCATGGTCAGATCTCGGCCCTAAATTGGTCTTAGAAAGGCGGCCAGCCGAAACTATCGACAAAACCTCACTTAGGAAATTTCGCTAGAGGGGTCTACTCGAGGACCTCGAAAAATCCCAGCTGGTGAGCAGCGGAAGTCCAAAACAGAAGGGAATCATCAAATTAGGCGGTTTGAATGAGAGTAAATGTTCAATAGATATCTGCGTTTGGATGTTGACAAATATTTCTTCCGAGCATGGAATAGGTGGTTTGGCAGAACAGAATGACAGGTTGTTATCACGTGAAAACAAATACATTGACTGTCTGATCTCCTGAACTCAGCCCGGGCGATATTGGCTAATTACATGTGCTACATATGGTAAGGAATGATTCTTTAGCCCCAAAACTTCAAAAACTTCAAAAACCAAAGGAGATGTTGCTCATGGTTGGCGGACGCTTTATCCCTTCTAGACATACCATCATCACCAGAGCCAGCCCCTTTGCTCCTCTTTTCTTGCAAAGTACGCGCTACCCAGTCTTCCACATTCTCCAAAGCGCAGCTGGGAGAGTCCCTATACTGTACGAGGAAGGACAATATTTCGGCCGGGCTGAACTCGTGCTCTGGCACCTTAGCGGCAAATTCATCCGCAAATCGTTCAACCATCAATTGATCTTTAGTTCGCCTCTCTGTGTTCGATCCAAATTCGTCTGGCTGCTCAAACACGAGGTAGTATATTTGAGTGGATAAGTCCCTGTCGACCAGTTGGAACTTGACCTCCCTGTCAACACGCCCAGGTCGAATAAGCGCGTCATCTAACTTCTCGATATGGTTCGTTGTCATGATGAGCAGCCGACCTTCTTGGGACGCCACACCATCGATAGCATTAAGCAATCCCGACAGCGTCACTGACTTCGTGTCCGCGGGTTTTCCCCTTTCACTGGCATTCTCACCACCAGCGTCGCGAGAATGTGCCGCACCAGCGGCATCGATATCCTCTAGCAAGACGACGCATTGTGGAGGGAGCTGGGCGAACAGGTCCTCAAGCGTTTGGTCGCTGACGGTCGATACGCTGACGGCGTAGATATCTAGACCAAAGCGACCAGCCAAGGACAAACTCAAGCTAGACTTTCCAGTTCCAGGAGGACCGTGCAACAGGTAGCCTCGTCGATAAGGCATGGATCGCGTAGAGTACCATCGTCGAGTTCGCAGATTAAGGAAATCCTCAACGTCTTTGATGAATGATTGCTTTTGCGCGTCACCTAGGATGACGGTCGACAGCGGTCTGGCATCTACCGCTGTCGCTCGCTCCCAGCGGTCGTTGCGGTGTTTAAAAACAGCCGTCTTGTTCTTGATGAGATGAAGATATTCATCTCGACACTCGATCAAGAAATTCTTCAATGGCGTGGAAGATCGGCCCAGGCACGTAATGGAGATTTCTTCCTCCTTATGAAAGCCGACATCCCTCAGCGAGGTCCGATATGAGAGGAAGGTGTTATCGTAACGGAAGATGAAGCTGCCATACCAAGGCGAGAAGCTGAGCGCTTTCTTGGCCTCGCCTGTATGACCTTCCCGGCCTCTTTGCTTCTTGACTCGTGCAATGGAGGACCGAGCGGCGTTATCAAGACTTCGAGAGGAGATCCGCTCCAGAACCATGTTGTACGTTTCGTCAGAGCGCTGCACATACACGGTGGATGCTTATAATACGTTAGGATGAGCTGTTGTGGGTTGAAGTGGAATGACTGACTAAAATGGTCTTTGAGAAATACCCTCAACTTATGGGTATAGGTACCGAAGAAGGCAAGTAACCCAAAAAGGCACATCAAGTGAGCATAGCTGCTAAGGTCTCCAGCTAGAAGCTGTTGAATGGTGCTTGAAATGTGGGAGAACCCCGGGAAGAAGATGTCCAAGATGGACATTTGTTGGAATGGGGTCTCTTGGACGAGAGGAGGGCTAGTGTTGCTGGATGGTGTCATCATTGGGAGCTTCCTGATGGTAAAGGAAGGCAGTCCAAAGTTCAATGTGGAAATTTGAATTAGAGGGTAAAGCAAGAGATCGAGAGGCAATGTTGGGGCTGAAGGTTGAATGTGAGGGTGAGTGAATATGTCTTTCCTTCGAGGAGAGTACATGACATTCTTATACTTATCAACGGCCCAGCTTCAGATCACCTTTGGACTGCACAGCGTGCTGAACAGAGCAATGTTTAACATAACCCCAGTTAAACCATCCACACTCCATCCGGCGAGCTGATGGACAGGCATTCAGACCGGGCTGTTCTGCATCAGGCCGAGTTCGACTACCCCCCACACGGAGGCGTTGCCGATGGTTACGCAACCCGTATCATGCATGTTCATAGCACGCATACACGCTAGTGACTGTTTGCTACCAACACGGATGATCATCACGGCTCTCCAGCATGCATATTCACTGTTCTACGTGTCTCCAATCATCAGAGATGGGCACCGGGCCGCGACGCATGGGTCTGCGCGCGCAAAGTGATACCGGCCATGTCTTGCATTAGACTTGATGTTAGGTCACTCCCGGATGGGTTTTCCGGGTGCCTCTCATGTGCCGTGCCATGTATCTTTCTGCGGACAAGAACAATTTACATGCCATAGTAGGAATACCCACGGTTTGATAATAGAGGCCAGTTCCAAGGAGGAAGTCAGAGTAGCTTGTAGCCGGAGGTACGTATACGAGGGGCATCTCCCATTTTATATTAGAGGCAACATCTTCGGGCCGTACCCCTGACCCTGGAAATTGATCACAGTGGCACCATCAGGAAGTAGGATGGAGTTATGGATTAGATAATGCAGCCACTGCCTATATAACCTTGCACCGTTTCGTACGTGTCGAAGGTCCTGCTAGTGAAGATACAGAGTCTACGTCTCCACCCCCCCTCACTTCCGCCTCCATTCACAACGGTCGTCGGCTTCTCTTGGTCACCCACGGGGGGCTTGGGTGGGGTTGGATCATCTTTTCGTGGTTGCTCTCGGACATTTCGAGTTGCCAAGGTGTCTATCTGGTCAGGGGCTACTCTGTGAAGGAGGAACCCAAAACTTACTCGTTTATATTTGTTTACAATAGATCATGAGATTGATTCAGGATCAGGACATGCACTGCCAAATAACTTGCCAGTGAGCCTTCCTTTATAACACTCAATGTGCTCCAACCCTAACCACAGACGCGGCCTGCTTGCTTAGCCTGGAATTTCAGTTCGTTTATGCAAGTGATCAGAGGCGTCCCCACGACAAGCCGTCAGGACTACAGGGCAGTGTTGGCCAATGTGACATGCGCTTTACCTGAGACTACCAACCTGATCGGCAAAGTGGTCGCGTGCGTCTGTCCAATTGGGACATAGATTCCATTCCCCAACCCCTACCGCACGCTATTGACAGCCCATGCATTAGCATGATTTACGGTCAGAGTCGATCACTATCCCGGTGAGGTTGTTGGTCGACACTCACCGATGGTATGTAATTTAATGGACCGCAACTCTGCAAGCCACCGGAACTAAACTCATGCAACCAGATGTGGCTCACTGGTTCTCTTCCGAGCTGAGACCCTCTATCCACACCATGCACACCCATGGTCTACTCATCTTCATCCATTGGGGGCGACCATAGGCCGGCGTGAAGTCGACCACCCTCCATTACCGATCATCTCTGGAAACTGCTGACGAATGCTCAATGATGTATCACTGATGAATGACTCTGATTCCATCGTAGGCTCTATTTAACATTGGGATTCCAGTGGACCAGATATAATGCTATTCGAGGAACCATCAAACTCATTGGAGGTTCAAAGTTTATGTACATCCAGTCTACGTAACTCCTGGGGGTTGTTATCTCCAACACAGGCGTGAATCTGCGGATTGGCGATGACACAGCCGCCCCTAGACTAAAGCTGAAGCTGTCGAACCCCCCGAATAAGATCCAAATGACACTGCATGATGCTCCAGTTCAGTTTATTTCCATTTCAGCTGCTCCATTGTTCAGCAGCTGGGTTCAATTGGTTACATCCTCAGTCTTGGCAGATCGGCTCTGCACCATGGTGAAGCACGTACAGTTGACAACACCCGAGCCTAGGCTGACTAGGTTATTAGCGCACTCACCAAACTGGCGATAAGAAGCTTTGAGGTACTGAAGAACGCCAGGAACGCCAGGAACGCCAGGATCGCCAGGAACGCCAGGATCGCCAAAATCGCCAGGACCGCCAGGACCGCCAGGACCGCCAGGACCGCCAAAATCACCGGAATCGCCAAAATCGCCAAAATCGCCGGGACCGCCAGGACCGCCAAAATCACCGGAATCGCCAAAATCGCCAGGATCGCCAAAATCGCCAGGATCGCCAAAATCGCCAAAATCGCCAAGATCGCCAAAATCGCCAGGACCGCCAGGACCGCCAGGACCGCCAAAATCACCGGAATCGCCAAAATCGCTAGAAACGCTGTCACCTGGGAAGCTGGAGAAATCCCGACTCAGTATCCCAAGGGTGTGAGTAGGCTTGATGCTGACTAGCAATGATTAGAAACAGATTTCTAACTGTTGATGTTGCTAGATACAAGACCGCTAGAGCAAAGCGTGATCCCAATATAGTATATTCCAATACGCTCGTTGAGACCCTCTGCAAAACCATGCACAAAAGAACCACGTTCATGTCTTGGCCAACCTTGCAGCATGATGCTAATTCAATTCAGATATGATCCTCCAAACTAGCTTATATTCCCCATATTGCGTGCAACCTCCTTACGAGTCCTTCTTTTTCCCACACTTCGTGCAAATCGTGTTTTCTTTTGTAATGCCATCATCGCATTGAGGGCAGGCTCCATCCGACATTGTAGATATTCGAGATCTATGATTGTTAGCCGGGTATCGAAAACAGTTTCTTTATATGACGTACCGGACTCAATCGTCCTCTTCATTAATTATTGTAGTTGAAATACGTTATGAAGGCGAAGATGGTTGGGTATGAGATCTGATTTCGGGGTTAGGCACGTCCGGCCCATCGGGTGATTTATAGCCTGCGTTTAGCCGGATGACGTAATTATGGTGCCCGAAACGAGGGGCAAAAACCCCGCCACTGAATTCTCGGCTTCTCTCGAAGCAGCGAGCATCTCTGGTTTCCATCCGCGGGCAACCACCAGTAATGGCTCTATCCATACCTGACTCCTTTGGTAGGTCCCATATCCCAACGAATATACTCACTGCTACATTTGAGGAATTCGGGGTCTACTTCGTCGGAGACAGCGAGATCGCAAAACTCCTGTCAAAGTTGGACAATGAGGAACTTAGCAACCATCTCTCCGAGTACAAAGCAATCCTTTCGAAAGACAAAGTAGGTCCCCAGGTCGGATGTGTACTTCAAACCTGACACTTCTAGCAAACATATAGGATCCTCGAGTCCATATGTGATCTCGAATCGCCCCCATTACTAATCCAGAGGCTTGAGAGCGAGCCGGGAAGATTTTTCGCCTCCACATTAAACGATGATACCGACAATATACTGCTCTACATATGCAGCGACGGGGCAATGTTCGAGTTCGTTCAGTACTCTCAAGGAGAGAGGTGGAAAGGTGTCGCTACATCGGATGGCGTGGTGCAAATACCATATAGCCAGATACAGAGAAGGAGGGAGAAGATTAAGACTCTCATTGATATTCCGTTTAGCCTGGAACACGGCGGCGTGTAAGAATTGTGTTCTAGCTCTTGCATTCATTCCTGACACATCTCAGTGTTTTGTTACATCCGCAACTTGTTATCCAGATGAAGACTGGCTTCACACACACACATGTCCTACCGAGGAAGCATCGATCCCAGTAGACCCGAACCTTTTACTACCCTGACCCACTAGGAGGAAGACTGGCAATATCCCACTGGGTATTTGTCGGTGGATTCGTATGCGCATACGGATATTTGGTGTGTCGATCAAAGACTGATAGTAGCATCGGGTTGACATTCGGTGGATTTGGGACGTGGCTCGTTCCTTCGCCATCCTGAACTTGACAATGTTGGGAAGAGCTTCGGTCATAGAATCCCAGGGATGTGTTTGACTGGGCATTCGGTTCATATTGAACGTGGCGGTCATAGACTGATTGTTGTAAGATCAAGTTGATGTTTGGTGCATTTTGGATCTCGATGCCGTGATTTTGTGAGGCCCTTTGGTTAAAGAGTCCTTGGGGAGTCGCGAGGGTATCTGTTGGATTTTCGGCTTGACGGATAGATATTGATTGTTGTAGGTTCGAGTCAACAATTGATAGGTCTTGGACATGATCGATTCTTTCATCACTCTCGGGTTCGTAATCTGGTGGAGTGCCCTGGTCCGTAATATCGTCCATTGGTGGTGGAATTTGGATATCTTCTGTTCCTTCTAGGTGCCCGAGGATCTCGTTCATTTGATCGAGGTTCGTGGACTTGGGTTCCTTGGCTTTTGTAATCGCCATCGCAACGTCTTCGCGAAAGGCCTTGCGCTGTTCAACATACTTTCTTTGTTCTTTTTTATTGAGCACTCGGCCACATTTGTGGTCCCAAAAACATCGGCCTCCATCGATCGATTCATTACAAGCTTCGCATGGACCATCAAAGCCATAGTCTAGAGAATTAGTTTGTGACTATTGTGAAACATTATGCGAGGGAAGCTCACGTTGACAATAATGGCGAACGAGATCATAGTGTGTCTTAAATTTCTTTGGTTTTGAACGGCACGTAGGACACTGCCAAACCTGATCCTCTGATGAGTTTACTCGCCTTCGCTTTCTAGATGCTCTGCTATCCTGCTTCTCCTGAATATCACTCAGATCGGCGTCACTCTGGAATTCAAAATCATCGTTTAGTCCCTGATGCCGGAGGAGACTTAGTAATTTCGAGACCGCGGATGCAATCTCAGACTGTGGCGGTAATATGTTATTTATAATGACCTCTGCTGGCTGCTGACGGCTTACCTCATAACGCCGACCATGGTTAAGAAGTTCGTTAATAGACCGAAATTCTTTAGTGCACCCTGCAGTACGACATTTGTAAATATTCAATGCCACATCGTGCGGCTGAAAGTTTGATATGCAATCGCCAGTCTCGTGGTTAGACATTGCGCAAGAGGAATCGTGATGAGGTTTGATGCAAGACTTGGGCTGGGGTGCCCCACGTGGAACATTTGGTTTTGTCAATATTTTGGCCTTAGGCGAAGAGTTTTGCTAGCCGGGCAGTGTCACGTGATTCAGCAGCGCCAGTCCACCCTTACCTCACCGTACGCCGCTGTTAGCTCGGATAAATGCCGGCCTCTGCTTTTCTTTCGAGACCTGTTTTCTCTCCTGTTGCTGGGCTCCTCACCGCTTCCTTGGCCCTGCCATCCGACTTGCCAGGATTTCAACTGTCCCCCTCGGCCTATTATTCTGTCCAACACCTTAACGTCGCTTCCTCCCGTCAACGAAGCGGCTCTCATCGTCCCGAGGGTCTGCACAGCTGACAGAAAAGCAGTGGGGGTGCACACTTTGACGCTGCTCCTTCATCATCATGATCGGCCACGTCCGCAACTCAATCCACCAAGTCGACGAGAACTCGTGGCTCATCGGTAATCAATTCATCCTTCAGCGGCATGCCTCTGCCCCCGTCGAGTATCTCTGGAAGGAAAACGAGGGTAGCTTCTGGTACACCCTCCAAAAGGCGACGGCTCTGTAAGGAAGAAATTCAAGGACTCGCAAAGAAAACGTTGGAGAATTCTATTTGTCAGTCGATGTAAATACCTAAGAAACTTAAGCAGCAAGATCCAGCCCCAGCTTCGAGCGACTTCGATGGGCGAACGGGAACAGCCCGAGTGCCTTCACAATTGCTCCAGATTTTAGGCGAACCAAGTCTCTGATTCGCCTGACCATTCCGAGCATGTCTCCACACAATCGCGGCTGTGCATTGTTACAAGTTGACTGTGACAGCAGCGGCGGCGTGAGCAGACGCTGTCAAACACGTCCGGGACCAAGTGTTTCCGGAGAAGGAAGCAGAGACAATGAAAGCCTTCATGGGAAGGACTTCAAGCCCTTCTCGGACGATCCCCGAGATGCTGACGGCCATGTTCGTGCCTCAAAATTGAGGCATCACAGTAGCATTCGGCCTTGGAAAACGCCACGTATTAATTTACCACACTCGCGCGCCCTAATTGTTCCGCTCTTGATCTTCCGCACTCAGACCCAAAAAAAAAAAGGCATGAATACAGCGGGTTCTGTGGCTCTTCCCGAGGGTACAGCAGACGACAACGACACACTGTTTGAGCGTATCATTTACGAGGTTTGGTCAACTTTATTTCCTCCCGGGTCTCGCAGCCCGCTGATTTGTGCGCCGCTAAGTTTGGCGATAGCTTCTCCGCCTCACAATGCGACGTCTCTAACTTCACGCGTGTCCTCATCCAGCTTTTTGAGCCGCACCCCACGAACCGGGTTATCGTCTTTAGGAATCGAGAGGGGACCGAAGGCTTCGGATGCATACGAGTACTAAAGAGAGAGTACAACGGTGAGGAGAGGCATAGGAAGGTGGGAACCGTGTGGGAGAATGTGAGAGGCAAGGGCAGCTACATGGGCGTCATACCCGCTGGATGCCGCTTTGAGGCTATGTACGTTGAACTGAGGCTTGTTACCAAGCGATAGGATAAGACCAGGATGGTTCCCACCCAATTTCGTGCGCATATGCGAAGGCAGTCTCGCGTGGCACAGTGAAGAACACAAACGCTGGGGTCCCGTCAAAGGGGACCGTCAGTGTAGACGGCGGGAGCCCATGATCAGATTGCGTGGTCCGGAGCCCCAGCAGATCCACCACCTTTTCGTCCGGCACATCGAAACGCAATTGATTCAGGGGGAGGGAGTCTTTTCCAAAACTCCACATCAGCAAGCCAAATTCCGCATCTTAAGGGTGGGAAGTGAAGCCAGAGCTACTCACAGTCTTGTGCATCGTTCAACTGCAACTCTTGGGGCTCTGCCCCAACCCAAGGCAACGGGCCTGGGCCTGAGGCGCTCCAGGCCGGGTCAGCGTCTCCGCCATGCGAAGCCGGATCCGGCACCGGCTGCCGTTGAGCACTCCCATCCTCATCGAGCCTCTGTCTCTTTGATCCCTGGTGTTCCGGCGGGCTGCCAGCGAGTTCTTCGATACCTATGTGGGTTTCCCCCGTTTTCTCAGCAATTCCTTCCACCTCGCGCCCTATCAACACGGGTAGCCCACCTCGTATGAAATTGTGGTATATCGCGATACTGCAGAGAGGCTCTTCCTTCCCCAGAGCACTGATAGTTTCTCTTACGCTCGGCGGCAGGTCTGTGGGCGCCTCCTCAGTTACCTGTTTGATGAGATCGTTAAATACAAGCCGGTCCATTTCCTCCCACGTGCTTGGGGGCAATGAGGCACCCCATGCCAGGATGACGGCAGGTTCCAGACCGCGAAGAGTCTCGCACTTTTGCGTCCTTCTTTCCTTCCTCACCCTGACGTTGGGAGAGTCGATGCTCGAGGCATGCCGACCCTGGAAGATGGCTACCAGGTTTCTCTTGAGGATCGGCCCTTTGACCTGGCCTTGCGTTATAGCCTGGATCGCTGGTCTGGCGCACGACATATGCTTATCTGCCTTCTGGTAAATTTCCGATGTCCATCCTGCCACGCAATTGGCGAGCTTCGTCTGGAGAGTCTCTGCGTGCTGGAGTATCTTAGCCGCCAGCTCGTGGAGTTGGGCGACCTCCTGGCTCGAGGGACGAATCTCGGGATATTGAAACTTTACTGGAACTGCTTCGATATAACCGGCGATGAACCCCATGTCAGCCACTAAGTCGGTGACCCCGACCATGGCGTGGTTTTGCTTCGCTGAATTTGGGGTAATAGATGGCCTCGGAAGCTCAGAACGAACTTCGAAGGATGAGAAGGGTGGAAGGGATCGAGTCAAAGTTCGACGCTCTAAAGCTGCTTGAGGACACTGCGCCAAACACGGGGCATCCAGGATAGATATATGGAGTGACCTAACTCCGCGACCCCACCCATATTTCCTCTTTTGTCAACCGGATAGGCAGCACCAGGCGGCTCGACATGCATGACCATAGTTTGACGAACAGGGGCCAGATATGCAGGCTGTCCAAAGTCCCAATCCTTTCCTGCACCCTAAAGCACCAACTGGAGTCGCCGCCGCCTTAGGAGAGAAGTCTCCTTTTGGGCAAGTCACTATGCATCATCCGCAACGAATTGCTAGGCTTAATAGAACGTAATTGAGAGCTCTTTCGCAGACAAGTTATAGGAATTTCTGCGTCCATAGTCCCCGTGACCCCCATGGCTGCTCGGGCTAGTGCCGAACAACCCAATCCGAACCATGCACTTAGGATAGTCGCTATGATATCAGCAGCCTGTTCGCCATCCTTGGCCCATAGCGTCTTTGATGCCATCCATACCCACCAGGATGAACGATATCCGATAGATCCACGAGTACTCCGCTCTTCCAATTCCTTGCAGCAGGGGAGTTGGTGTGACTGAAGCCGGCGAGCCAAAAAAAATTGGCGACTTCCTCCACAACAGCGGGGCGGTTTTCGCCTTCCTCGATATATTCGTACACAATAGCAATATACTCCTTGTCTGCCGACATAGCACGGGGAATTTTGCCGACGCGGAGACTTGGCGCCCTCAATTTCGTAGGTACCTCCCGAAATACCTGGCCGCTGAGCCCTAACCAGCCGTAGCACTTCCTTATGCGTGGGATTGCCTTAACTTCCAACGCTTCAGCAGATAGATGCGATCGGCGACCTTCGTTTGAAAAGGCACGGAGGTTGGCCAAGGCCTCATCCTTAGTGCTTGGGTTGGCTTTCAACTTGATTGGAATGGCCTCCATGGCGGCCTGCTGCGCCGCCGCTTCTATCATCTGAAGAAGGGCAGCGTTCTGGCATTCCCGCTGGGCGGCAAAGTAGTGACTGAAGTCAGGCGGCTCTGCGTCCCAGAACTGAAGAAGTGAGTAAGAAAACGCTAGCCACAGTGAAGACACCATCGTACGCTTACCACTTTCAAGACATAGGGGCCATCCTCTCCGAACCACACCCTCCATGCATATCCATCGAGTCCACCGTCAATACGGGAGGAGGATTTCCAGTCAATAGTGGCCGGATCAAAAGGGCATCGCCGGAGCCGAGGCGTCTCGAAATCCGCAGCAGAGCAACTCGGGGGCCCGGACATCCACCCATCGTCGCGGAATGGGACTGCTGACGCTTCTGACCGTGCCTTGTCGATGGGCCTAATTAGCTGTGCGAGACGAAGTCGTGATACGTGATCCGCCATTGTTGGTGGGAAGAGAAAGTAAAGGTCTTGCTCTATTAAATGTTAAGTGTAGGGCGGGAGCGGGGGACTTTGTCACGTGCACTTTCGTTAGAAAGTAAAGCGCCAGGCTACCACCTCGTGTTTACAGAGGCTCCCTCACATTAATAAACCTGATAGCCTTACCCTTCCTAAATAGACAGGTGACTGAGTCCACTTTTAGGGAGAAAACAACCTACCGTCGTCCAGATTTGTAATGTCAAAGTGTATCTCAGCACCCCCAAGCTGCATGACTGCGTAGATGGGTTGTGTGGAGGCACATGTCAATGCCATATGACGAAGGCCTGCCCGAGAAGAGCGAATGACTTGACGGATGTGCATGAGATCACTGAATACAGACGGGGTGGCTTGGCCGGTAGGGGGTTGGCCCCTTACCCGGCCGAACTTCGACGGCAAAGGGTAACTATGCAGAGTTTCCCAAGTTCGAACTACCCACGCATTTCCCAAGGGGCTTCCAACTTCGAATCCCCTGAAGAGACACATTACCATTTCCGACAACTGATCAAACTCTACTATAACAGAGTGAGCTAGAATGATAGAAAAACGCCGCCATAGTGAAAAGCCAAAGGAAGATGAGGAAGGGAAATGGATATAAAATAGCCCCTTCCTCCCGCCTAATCCGTTATTTCACCGCGACTAAGCACCCAAACACTCCCGAACTCTGAGACCCCTGATAGAGACCATTCTTACCAAAGCCCCCTTACCTCATACCTCCGCATCCGGGTGGATTTATCACGCTTAGTATGCAAGTCGCAAAACAAGTGGCAGTTGTTCGAGCTAACCTCTCTAGAAACCGGCGGCGATACAAAGGATGCCGACCCTCCTCGAGGTCCTGACCCGGCGAAATGTCGCAGTCAACTCTCAGTCCGTTGTTCCGGGCAGCAATACCACCACCGAAACCCACCTTGAACCGGACGGTTGGTCACCGTGGCCCGATTTCAACTATGATACTCTGACTCGAATTTTCTGGAGGCAGCTTGCCTCGGAGTATCAAGGCTCGCCGGAACAACGGCCCCTGGAGCTGGACTTGTTCATCAATAACGAAGAGACTCTAGAAGACGTCTTGCGGAGATTCTTGAGCTCGATCGTCAACTACGCGCTGGATGGCCAAGAGGGACAACCCCATCTCGGACGGGGAAGTCGGTGCGGAAGTGAGGACAAGCCTGACTGGTCGGCGGTCTCGGGTCAATGCATCGACGAATACGGACGGTACGCCAACATCCTCCCGGGAGACACTAAGCTCGACGCGAAGTGGTGGCCCACGATGTCAGAAGAGGCTGAGGATTTTAACGAGTGGCAAAAGGTCGTGGCCCAAGTGCAGACCTACATGGCTAGACATCAAACCAGATACGGCTTCATTATCACCGACGCCAATCTTGTCGCCCTGAGGCTCACTCGCGAGCCTATCAGCACTGGCCTGGCCCAGGAGCGTCCGCGACGGGAGGCCGCTGCTCTTGCTGGCCATCAGAGGCATAGTTCAGATGTTACTATGGCGTCGGGCGACGGTTCGAGTTCGTTATACAGCGACAACAACCCCTTGGAGTGGAGCTACTATAATCCTGAATACGCCGTCATTGCCTGGGACGCGCATGGGAATGGACGCCTCACTATCAAGCTGGCTCTTTGGTGCTTGGCCATGATGGCTGCAAATGGCGACAGATGGATCGATTATTCATATCCCCAGTTGGATAGCTGGCGCAGCGCGGACAAGGGATACGCCCACAGCACTTCTGGTACTACCAAAGCGAGGCTGTCTAGAGGTGACGTCTACCTAGAACCTGATCCTGACAGGGCCAGGAGAGAAGAGGCGACTCGTGAAGCGGCGCACGAGTCCAGCCAGGTACCTCGAGATGAGCACTACGACTCCGCACAAAGTCAGGACGTCGACGACGCCCCGCAATTTAGTCAGGCTGGTAGCACATTCGGTGATGTTCCTGGTCAAGTGTACCAGGAAGGTGACGATGAGGGTGACGAGGAGGAGGAGGCGGTGCCTACTGGGGGATCATCTCAACACCCGGCTCCGGAGCCAGAGTCAGACGATGACGACCGAACGGAGGTTGGGTCTTCCCGCCGGCGGCATAGACGCAAACATGTCAAGATTCATCGCCACAAGAAGGGCCGGGGGCTTTACTTTGTGAACGCCCATGGATCTAAGATCGACACAACCAAGAAAGAGTGGAAGAATGTCGAAGACGGATACGAGTTCGAGGGCCGGAAGAACGTCTACTACACCAGGGAGTTTCCACATTAGCTGGGCTGGACCGGTGCTAGTACCACCTCCAGGCCTAGTCATCATACTTCTATCTTCTTCGCACTTCTTTCATTACCTCATCATCTCCCATTTAAGTTTCCTTCTCTTCTCACCTTCCCCTTCAGTTTTTTCCCTCTGTCGTTTCCTTTCTTTTGCAGGTCTGCAGTAGGAGACTGAGGACCGGGATACGGGGTTAGGGCTTAGGTGAGGGGGAGTTGCTGGCATTCTCTGGTTTGCGAGTAACCTTAACCAGAAACCGGTTACTAGTTAGTAGCCGCCTGTGGCTGTGACAGATGTTATTATTAGGAGCAGTACTGCTGGCTACGTCAGCAAGAGCGGCTACTCGTAGCAAGAAGCTACTGGTGGCTCTGACATCCAGGTCAGCAAGGGCGGGTGGCTCTAGTGTTTAAGTTCGCGAGGGTGGATTGTCAATGACCCAGAACGAGACGGCCATCACTGAGGAGTACAGTCGCCTCTATCATCTGTTCTTGTGGCTAAGGATGGCTTACGCACAACTGCGCCCTGACGCTTGTGGCTACTAGCTCTAGCTCAGGTATTCCTAAATCGCATCAATGAGTTTTACCAAAGGCGCATATCCTGGCAACACGTCGGAAGCTTCTGTGAGTAGATTCCGATAACTCATAGCTTTCGGTGCATTTCCCCGTCTAAGAACGCCGTCTTCGCCATCAAAATATCCTCTGGAAATCCTCGACTTGATCGGCTTTGATTGCGTGAACCTCCAGTCGCCTTCTTGATATCTATTGTCTCTTGCTTCCATGCTCGCTTATTTGGCATCAACTGCGCCAACGGACGCCGAGGCGGCCTGAGTAGCGAAGCCCGTTCAAAGTCAATTATTATGACCCCATTGGTCTCGGGATTGAACAACATGTTTGCGACGCGCACATCCTTGTGGACCACGCCCTCTTGATGCATTGCTCGCAACGACCGCACCGCCTTATCCTCGAGCAGCCTCCCCTCGCTATCCACGGTTTCTGCTGGATGAATATGATGCCCTCCCCATGACAGAAATATCATATACACCACATACACCCGATGGTCATAGTAGTAAATCTTGTTCATCGATCGGAGGTCGATAGCACCCAAGAACACAGGTACGTTAACGCCTTGGATCGGCCGGAGGCGTTCGTAGACTGCAGCTTCGTGCTCGAGATCGGGGATGAACGCCCGCACCGTACCCTTGCTGACGAATGTGTAGCTATACGCAAGCAGGGTCACCGGGAAGAATGTCATCTGTCGCAGGTCTTGCCTCTCTACCAATCGCGAGTACCAATTTGCATCGCTTCCCCAGTTCGAGTAGTGGCACCACGTTACATGATTGCTACTTCTACGTTCTTCTGAGCTTCACGAAGAATGTCCTTCATCGATTGATACAGTCCCGGCTCCGGTTTTTTCCACCTCTCACCATTTGGGAAAATCTTTCTCCTCAGTCTGTTGACCCATGGGATCAATGGTTGGTAGTACGGCGTAAAGTTGGCTTCCGCACTACTGAGAAAATCCTCTTCATCAGAAATCACACCCTTTTTAGACCCGACCAGCTTATTGTCGCTCTCATAGTTCCAGCTCTCAAAGTCAGTTGGTCCAATATCTTTGCCCGGTCCGTTGTAGTGGATGCATATCCAGAAGAGCACCCAGAAGAATGACTCAAGGTCGTGCATGAAAGAATGATCCTGCCCTAGCAATGCACCGATGGCCATGAATGCCCTTGTGCCTGTCTTCCCTTTTGCTCCCGAGGCACCTTCTCGTTGGGCTTTGATGGCGAGGTCAAGGTCAATCAGGAAAGTTCGCCTGGAAGGGTTTTCGTCGTCTTCATTGATCATAAGGTTGTTGATAGAGATGTCTCTGTGAAGAAGGCCCGCCTTGTGCAAAGACTGGTGACCTTCAATGCAGCCCTCCAGCGCGGCAAGCAGAGCCAGTCGAGAGCTTGCCTTGTAGATCGGCTTCCCATAGTCCCGAAGAATGACCCTCCGATGTATCCGATTTGGCAGCGCTTCTATGCTGGCCTCTGTTAGAGATGCTGAACAGGATCGCTTGCTCGGCGGCAGAGCGGCGTCAGTTTCGCTGGACGGTCGCTTCACGCCCGCGCTGCTGCTTCGCCCTTTGCGGGAAACACTGGGTGCGCTCGCACTTGACGGCAACATCGGGCGTCCCCGTCGATAATTCGTCGCTTTTGTGATGTCCAATCCCTTTCGAACATTGCCTCGAACGTCGTCATCAGCACCGTGGACGCGAACAGTCTCGTGATGGTAGTATCGGGCAACGTTAACCACGCCTTTCTCAGTCGCTTCTTGGACGAGTATACCCTCTTCGTCTCGGTCCGTGTACTGCCACGAGTCCTTGATAACGAGCGGCGTCTGCGGGTCCTCTTTGCGATGGGCCTTCCAACATGTTGTTGCCCGACCGGCAATGCAAGGCGCACGGTTCATAACCTCGTCAATGACGAGGCGCTGTGTCTGGCCGTCTCGTTCGATCTCAATATACCGTTCACCGTCGGACGTGATAATGGTAGGGTCAAATCCAAGCCCGTCTTCGTTCATCCAGAGAAATCCGAGGATTGTGGTCACGAACTGTAGTCCACCATCATTCTTGTTGATGTCGAATTGTTCAGAGGCGATCCCCCCGAGCCGGTCGAACTCCCATACCCTCATAAGAGATCCGCAGAGAGTAAAGCCCAAGACGAAGCGACGGGTGTCTTTAGCAGCAAGTATCTCTCTCGCATACGTTGCGAGGTCAATCCATGCTATCGAAGCTTTGTCGGCCTCCGGGTTACTTTTCAGCTCCCCGGCCACGAGGATGTGTGACCAACGAAATCTGCCATCCTCCTTCGACGGAGCCTTGTATGCGATGTCGCTGTTGACGAAGCCAATGTCCATGCTGCGTTTGCCTGTAGAGCCTCGCAGTGGCGTCTTAGGCTGCGCCAACAGCTTTCGTCGACGTGTCGGGATCGAATTGCGGTCGCCTGCAAATGCTTCCAGCTTTGGGATCAGGTCGCCAAACCAAGTCAGCACGTCGCTTTCTTTAGCGCCTGTCGGCCATCCCCTCCACCCTTCGCTACCGAAGAGCGGATTGTCGCATTCGGTACACTTGCGAAAGACGGTGGCAGCGGCCGCCTCGATATCTGGCACGCCACCGAAGAAGGTTTTGCAGAAATTGGGAAGCCCGACATATAGACGCCCGAGCTCCAACTTAAGGACCGGGTCCACATGTTGGCGGAATTCCGACGAGTTTACGAACCCGCTCGTGTTCCGACTCCACGGCGTTTGTTGGATCGACGAGGGTATCGGTCGGGGAGGCGGGGTGGATTCGACGGCGGCAGTAGACACAAGATCCCAGATCAATGTGTCCTGAGGCTTGTCAGCAAGCGCTTCCTTGAGGAGAGGTTTGACACGGTCGAAGTCGAAGTCGCCTGACGCGACGGCGGAAATGAGTATCCGGAGGTCGTTTCGAAGGGTACCTCTACCCGTCTTCGAAAGGAGCAGACCTGCAGCTGAAAGGCTTTGAAGGGTGGAAAGAAAAGGGAGTGCAAGATTCCGCAGATCTATGTGCTGGTTAAAGAAACACATTGCAATGTGGCCAGTTAGGATCCCATACCTTCTTCATCAAGCGCATCAATTGCCTCTGATGAGCGTGCAATGCTTCTGTCTTGACAGATCGAATCGAACCAGGCGCGGAAACCATACTGGCTGATTCCAATAGGATTGTCCCTGATCACGTTTGATCGAATTTGATCCGTCATGGTGTTCTCGCCTGCCCAGCCGTCGTCGCGCACGTTGAAAGGGGTAGATGGTTAACAGAGAAGCTTTGGTGGCTGGCAGGGATCACGGGCGACTTGATACACGGCGGCTGGGCGTGCGGCCTGACTAAGCAGTTAATCATGCGGTCCCTCATTGGCGCGTGCGAGATGCGCTCTACATCGCCGCCAGGCAATCGAACAGAAATGGGCCAGGCAGCACTTGTCGACGATGTCCTCCCACCGGAAGTCACATGCGAATCATGGGAGTCTTTCTTTATAGCCCATGATTTTTTGGGCGAAGGCTTGAGGATATGCATTCACGACGGGGAAGTCTTCGATAGATGTTCTCGGGGTAGTCTCTTCCGATCGCATGCGTATACATTGACTCGACCATTCGTGGTCTTCGAACGAGCACGCTGCCTGCCAGTTTTCGGTCCTAGCCAAGCAAACATTATCTTGACCACAAAACACCGGTATCTGGTCCCGCCTGTCGGATCTCGTGCGCGGAATGAATGGCGGCCTGTGACTTCGCTGGTGATCTAAGGATGCTGAGGGTCCCACCGCCTAGAAAGTGGGCAGGCTGGTCCCACGAGTCGGGCTAGCTGACGTATTAACTAGCCACCTGCGGTAGTCGTCCTCCAGAGTGACGGGCGACTTGATTGGGCGATACATTTTAATGTTTTGGAAATATTAAACCGAGCTAAGGGTACAAATAATAGAGTCAATGAGATGAACTGGCTCTTTGATTGCTCCATCTTGCCAAGGATGAGAAGCAAAGACTGGGAGACAGGCTTGAACGCAGGCTATCGGGGGCCGTTGGATAGATGGGGGATTTATACTTGCGCTCTGAATAATTACTGCCGGGAACCGGACCTTCGCTCGCAAGCAAGATGCATGCACTCGCTCTAGTCGCCAGGGGTGCTGAGGCAACGGATGTTGCCTGGTTATAGCATGGACATGGAATCTAAGACCTCATTCGACACCTTCAGTAGAAGTACACGCCCGTCTGTCTTGGTAGTATTGACCTCGTCCGGCCATCTGCGATAGTGGTAACTCCTGCTTCTCACTTAAGCCGAACGTCCTATTCCGGAGTGCATTAAACAGGTCAAGGCAGGGATCGTCAATACGGTCATCGAAGCTTTACCGAGTTGCACAAGCTGTGTATCCTACACCACAACGTAAGCGATGTGACACTCTATACAACTTACACTATAATAAAGTGATGGTTGTGGACTTTAAACAGGCAAAAAATCGGAGGAGGAAACATGCGGTCAAGCAGCCAAATAAAGAACTGGCAGTTGGAGGGTTTCAGTGCCGACCGGAGGGTTCCACTTTTGGTTCCTGACAGTCTGAATTGGCCGGAGTGCTGGTTGACAAACGTTAGATAGCAACGATCTTCTCCCTTGCGCGTTGGGATAGTGGGACTGAATGAAACAACACAGAGAGCAAGGAGTTGATTGATTTTGCACTCCCTTAATAGGACTTATCAAAGTCTGCGTACCTGGATGTACAGAGTGTCAAGAACCAGATACAAGTCATCTTGAGCTATTGGTAGGGTCAGTCTACAGTCCATCCTGCTCGTCACTCGGTGTACAACAATGCTAGAGGCCTCCAAGATGGAGGGCTAAGGGAGCTGCTACTAGTAGCTGAAGAGAGGTCAAGGAGTTGCTACTAGTAGCTAAGGAGAGGACCCTTTCTCTCAGCTACTAGTAGCCACCCCTACTAGTAGCAAACTTCTTGCCCATCTTTTGCCTTTTTCTCAGCTACTACTAGCAAGTCCTAGCGCAAGGAGTTGCTTCTAGTAGCTGAAGAGAGGCAGTATTGAAAATGCTACTAGTAGCCGTGAACAGGCATGGTATCATTCAGTAATAGCTGGTGGCTACTAATAGCTACGCCAGCAAGAACGGCAAGTGTCTGGGTGCTTACCTATCAGTTGCCTCACAACCTCAATGACTTTCCAACACCTACTGTTCACTATCTACTTATCAGTGATATAAGTCTAGAAAAGACCTAGACAACGCAGGACAATAGCACTTAGGTTAAGCTCTAATGTTCTATTAGAAACAAACACATCTTACCAGAAATACGAGCTGAATGGAGGAGGAGGATAGTGGGGAGGAATGGGAAAGCTGACGAGGGTAGAGAGGAAGGAGTAGAGCGAAAGATAGGGGAACAGAAGAGAGGAGCATGTCGCTGTAAATTGTGAATACTAAGACCTTGACAACACTTCAACTTTATACATCTGATTCAGAGTATAGAATGGATACCTGACTCTTCAGAGGAGAACATCTTTCGGGATAGAGATTACTAGCCGCCCCCGAATCGAGTTCAGAATTGAAGCCTCGGAAACCTTAGTACTTGGTCAGACTGTTCAGATGAATTTGGGACACAGGCGTTTCGCCGTTTGGGAAGAACTCGGAACTCTATTCTGTCTCAACGTTGTTATTCACCCAGAGCGACTTGTGCTGGTATCCGGGTTCATGAACACACGCGGCGTAACCTACACTTCCAGTTAGAAATTCGTCATAAGGCTCGATAAAAGCTAACCAGTGTGATACTCATCACTGAAAGCCACTGAACTCGGATCGATTTGGGTGCCCTCTAAATGACTGCTTCAATGCTCGGATGATTTAGACGGACTGGAACCTGTCTGGAGCTGAGCAGAGTAGGTGGCGCGCGCGGTAACAATTTTGGAAGCATTAGAGTAAGGCCGAGAACAAGTTTCACTACCCCAAGGGTTATCATCGGTTCTGTCTGTTGCCATCATCCTTCGCCAATAACAAGCGCTCGGGAGGATTTAAAAGTCAGACGTGATTGTCCATAATGTTAGCGTGTGCACCAACATGGAGGAGAGTGAGGGGAGGACGACCACGAGCGATGATCTATCACACATACGTTAGCCAGACAGTGAAAATTTGACAGGATGAGGGGATATATTTGATCGTTGACCGCGGTCAATCGTCGGCGTGATTTGGTGACATCCGAACCTAGATTCGCCGGACGCCCCCTACTCGGTTCTAATCCCGGCGTCGTCACTTGTTTGCCTGCGCACCACGACATTCTGTACCAGTACTGTTTGTATTGGTGCAGCCATTTGGCCGAACTGGTCCACCATCTGTACAGGTCAATTAGTCTTTCCATACCAGTATGATATCTATACCAGCCCGCTGATTTCTCCATACTAGTCTAACCATACCAGTGTTTTGTTTTCTCATACCAATCCAACCATACTAGTATGCTACGTGCACTAGCCATCGAAATTTTGCTGTACAGGACAAGTCAGAGTCTATAAGAGTTCACATCAATATCCAGCTCAAAGAAATCAAACTCAAGACTGCTGCATTGCAATCTTTGTCGATAGATGAGAATAATTCCAATATTTCTGATTATGGAAGGACACACATTGATCCGAACGTGTTACCTCATCTCGTCCGCAATCAACTTACCACGGATCGTGGACAAAACGCGGACTGTATGCCGCTCTATCTATTAGAGTTACGAGGGTCGCTCTTCAAGGCCAGCTGTCATTACATGGCTACATGACTGTCGGCGAGGGTGCTGAAGAGAGAGACGGGATCTACGACCGCATTCGAAACCTTTGGGGCCATATTACTATGACAGTGGTGTGCTCGTAAGTTCCAGCTATACAAGCTGCGTATCCTACACTATGACGCAGAGCCACGCAGTATATCATACTGTACGACTTACGCCATGACAAAGTGATAGTTGTGGACTTTGAGCGAGCAGAGGGCCTTCCGCGTGAACCTATTAGACTCATCAGCCCGAGTAGCTAAAACCGGAAGAGGAAATGTATGGCCAAGAAGCCGAACAAGAATACTCTGCCAAGAGGCGGAGCTGCAGTCTTTTAAAGATGCGCGTGTCAAGGTGTGTCTACCTCGACCGTAGCGCGGCTTAATAAAGGTTAGAACAGCAATGATCTTCACTTCCGCGCATGAGGGTAGTAAGACTGGATCAAACGACATGGAGAGCAAAGAGTTGATTGATTTTGTACTCCCCTGGATCAGACCCATGACAAGCCGCGTGCCTAGACGCACAGAGTCTCAAAAACCACATTTAATCAATCGTGAGCCATGGGCAGGGGCAATCTCGGTATCGGATATCACCCTGATGGCGAGACGGCGGAGACTACATACCTGGTAGGCGATGGTGATGGTGGTTTAGAAGAAAGGAAGAAGAAAGGAAGAAGAAAGGAAGAAGAAAGGAAGAAGAAAGGAAGAAGAAAGGAAGAAGAAAGGAAGAAGAAAGGAAGAAGAAAGGAAGAAGAAAGGAAGAAGACAGGAAGAAGAAAGGAAGAAGAAAGGAAGAAGAAAGGAAGAAGACAGGAAGAAGACAGGAAGAAGAAAGGAAGAAGACAGGAAGAAGAAAGGAAGAAGAAAGGAAGAAGAAAGGAAGAAGAAAGGAAGAAGACAGGGAGAAGACAGGGCTTCAATAGGTACTGGGGCATATTAACTACGCAAACGAAAGTGCCAGCATTATTAGGATACCAGGGCCTCGGGGTTTATAAGTTTACTTTTCTGGCAGTTCATATGCACCTGCAAGGAATGTTTTAAGGTCGCAAGAGAAGGGTGCTATCAAGGGGGATAGCTTCAGCGTTAATGCTCATCACACGAGCTGGTAGCATGAGGTTGTCATCTTCAGTCATTGGGATATCGCCGTCGGATCGGGAGGCTCCTCACGATCCCAATTAACCACTTCATCTACATCAATATGGCTTACGCCAATGTTTTCTGGCACAAACATAATTGGTCTTGTATAATATGGTTTGAGAGAAACAGAAAGAAAAAAAAGGTGAGAGAAAAAAAGATATGAGAAGAAAAAAAAAGATATGAGAAGAAAAAAAAAGATATGAGAAGAAAAAAAAAGATATGAGAAGAAGAGAAAAAGAGAAAAAATGTGTGTGAGCAACTGGGGACTCCATGGCTTTATATACTTTTTGGTAGACCCACTTGACTCGCTGCGACAACACGCAAGTATTCCATGACATTCCATGCCATTCTATGGAGCTCGTGCCGACCCTGCACATCAGAGCTGGCCCAGTTGCAGAGCAGGCTGGATCCGGGTAAGGCCCGTAAGGCGATGCGCCGTTTCGGAATTCGATTCGGCGGACTACCTCAACTGCTGATCAACCCTCGTCATTAGATCTTGATGATCATGATAGTCCAGAAAATATGACCTTCAGATGAATTTGTGGACGATTGAATAAGAATTTATGTGAAGATTGGCGCCCAACCTCTTCAGCAAGTGTCGCGGCCCAAGCTGAAGTTACCTTGTACTATGCGAGGTGTATTCAGGGTCGACCAGATTGAGTGTCCGCCTACTTCATTGTGTGAACTAGCCAACCACACAAGCCACGTGTGGCTTATACCGTACTTCTACTGTGTCTGACATGTACTCCACCGGCCAGTAGGGAGTGCGGGGCATAATAAGCCCGACTCGGCTCCAGGACGTTTCTGCCTCGCACGCCCCTCCAACAACCCTCCGCTGGTTCATTTTGGTGAGGTTCAGGTTCAGCGTCCGTCGTTTTAATGCCTAGAAACAATATGCAAGCGCAAGTGGGCAAACGGACAGTGCGTCGGTGCTCGTCGAACCATCGAGTTCCACGTGGCAGGCTGCGAACTTGGCATGGCGCAGCTGTTACGTGGACTGTTAGCTTATAATGTGGAGGGCGGCCCACTAAAGCGCTCCTCTCTTCAGCCTCTCTTTCCAGAACACTTCCCCCCCCCCCTTCACAATTCTTACAATTAGAAACAGGTCGACATACGGCTCTGAACAATCCACGACACTATACGACAGCAAAACACCATCATGCCCGAGCTATCTAGGGACAAAATCGTGGCCGTCAGCGACATTCGTGCGGATGGCACAACGTTGTCGGTACTAGAAACGCACACAGGCGATCTAGCCAGTATTTCGCCAGAAGAGCTGACATTTATTTTGGACTGCCTGCTATATAATCTGCATCAGCGATGGTGCTGGCAGTTTCACATCGCGAAGAATGGACATATGGACAAATTTGTTACGATGTGCAAAAAGGTCATAGACTGCGGAGCTATCCTTGACCGGAACGACGTCGTCTACGACGGCAAGGTACTGGCACCTTGTTCACATGTTTGGGCGAGCAATGAACAGCGACTCATCGATTTGTTCTTGAGTGCTGGGGCTTCTATTGATACCGACCGATTTGGACGGACGCCTCTGCACCTTTTAGCATTGGCGTTTCAAGCAGAAGACTTCGACAACGGGGCAATACAATCACTTCTTGATGCAGGAGTGGACATGAATGCGACAGACAAGGAAGGTCGGACTATGTTCGACATTGCCGTTCAGCCAGATATGCGGACCAAGGGGTCTAAAGAGACGATTCAAAGGTTACAAGCTCTAGGTGCAAGAGCCAGCAAGGCGCATTAGGGTTGTCTCTCATGTACTTTCATCTCCAATTTGAGGGATAATATGGAAGGTGTGCCCTCCAGGGCCAAGGCACGATAAGATATGTCCGTGGTAGTGTATGATGGGTCGGTCGCATAAGATACACTTCCTCAGTTTGTGTACGGCAGAGGATGAGTATCTGCGCGGCTCGAGAATATCTCCGACTTGCTTTGTAGTCATGACTAGCCGTGATGATGTGTTCACGGACCGGAACTCTCACAGTTTCACGGGCCAGCAATGTTGCCGAAGTACCCCGGGTGCTGCAGTTGCCGTAGCTGATGGAAGTAGGTCCGAAGGGTCCTGGCAATGGCGGTTTTGCGAGCCTGGTCCAGGCTGCCCCTCAAGTTTAGAACACACGTGGTCCAAAACCACAAATGCATGCCTTCGTCAGCGGGGTGAGCCTGGTCCGTGACTATAGGGTAACTGGGAAGGGACGCTAATGATTGGGCGACACATTTTAATATTTCGAATTATTAAACTGAGCTAAGTGGTACAATTAATAGAGTCAATGCGTGAACTGGCTCTTTGATTGCTCCATGGTGCCAAAGATGAGAAGCAAAGACTGGGAGATAGGCTTAAACGCAGGCTATTGAGGGCCGTTGGATAGATAGGAGATTTATATTTGGGCTCTGAAGAATCACTGCCTATGATCGTATGGCACTCACCCCTAATCTCACCTGGGCAGAAACAGGGATCCAAGGCGATTTAACGAAAGCACATTGCTGTCCCAGGACTGGAGCGGTCCTGGGACTGGAGTGGTCCTGGGACTATGGCTGTCCTGGGACTGAAGTGGTCCTGGGACTGGAGTGATCCTGGGACTATGGTTGTCCTGGGACTGAAGGTGTCCTGGGACTGGAGTGGTCCTGGGACTATGGCTGTCCTGGGACTGAAGGTGTCCTGGGACTGAAGGTGTCCTGGGACTGGAGTGGTCCTGGGACTGGTGCGGTCCTGGGACTGAAGGTGTCCTGGGACTGGAGTGGTCCTGGGACTGGAGTGGTCCTGGGACTGGAGTGGTCCTGGGACTATGGCTGTCCTGGGACTGGAGGTGTCCTGGGACTGGAGTGGTCTTGGGACAGTGGTTGTCTTGGGACAGTGGTTGTCCTGGGACTGTGGTTGTCCTGGGACTGAAGGTGTCCTGGGACTATGGCTGTCCTGGGACTATGGCTGTCCTGGGACTATGGCTGTCCTGGGACTGGAGTGGTCCTGGGACTGGAGCTGTCCTGGGACTATGGCTGTCCTGGGACTATGGCTGTCCTGGGACTATGGCTGTCCTGGGACTATGGCTGTCCTGGGACTGGAGCTGTCCTGGGACTGGAGCTGTCCTGGGGCTATGGCTGTCCTGGGACTATGGCTGTCCTGGGACTGGAGCTGTCCTGGGACTGGAGCGGTCCTGGGACTATGGCTGTCCTGGGACTATGGCTGTCCTGGGACTGGTGTGGTCCTGGGACTGGTGTGGTCCTGATAGCAGCGCCCATAGCCCACCAAAGAGACCGGGACAGTGCAGTCCACACTGGTAGGTATGTAGCAATGGACTTCCGGAACGACTGGAGAATGGCACTTGTATCTCGTTACCACCCACGTGAGGCAGCGGGATGCATCGCCACTGGCTTGCGGGCAGGTCGGGTTGTGTTCCTCAGCGCGAGAGTCGTAACTGTCCTTCGGAAATGGGTAGTCGTTGAGAGACGCTCTCTGGTCGATCTTTTCGTCGAGTCTTGATGAACTAGCTTGGCGTTAGCGATGCTTTAGGCTGCTCGAGCGCGTGGGGAATCTCGTCCATGTTCGCTGGTTCGGGGGGCACGCGACTGTCGGGATACCCATAACCAACGGGCAAAATGCCGTGGTCAATGAGATGTTGGAAAGCACGATCGTAAGGCCCCGTCCTCTTCGTGGTTGTATTGTTCGGCGTCGCATTGCTCTTCGATGGGGACAACGAGCCTCGTTTCTGACGACCGAGACTGGACCGGCTAGAACTTATTTCCGCATCGGGGCTTGACTGGCGGTGCTTCTGTGGGTCGGTGTCTTAAAGGCAACGCATTCGGGTATCCGTACTCCTCCAAGGTCTCTCGTGTCGGGGCTACCGTGTCGTGCGAAACGCCTGAGCCGCGCCTGGAGCGCTAAAGACAAGTACTGGCAAATCTTCGGCGCCGAAGGGTGAAAATTCTTCCGTTCGGGGACGAAGCGTCGTGTACGGGGCGACGATGTGGGTTCTCCGAGCGCGTTTTTCGTGAGTATACGGATAGGTTTCGAAGGTTTGTTCCAGAATTGCGGGGAATGAAATGTTGGATGATCGAGCTTGTGTCTTTTCGTTCGGCGTCAAGTATCGTGGTCTGAAGTATCGCTTGGTCTTTGACGTTTGAGTAGGCTTGTGCGCTATGTTGGGGCGAGCTGCGGACCATATATCACAACCATCCTTGTGGCATCAGGATGCTTTACGGTTACGTGCAGGAGCACTCACTTAGGCTGGAAGCTTATCAACAAGCCAGCCCTCTTTTTACCAAGCAGCCATACTATCGGGTAAACCATGGCCAGTCATTCCTGAACGCAGGGTTGTTTGGCACACCGTTTGCGCGTATCGCCAGCGGTCCCCTGATATTGGCCCGACTCGTGTCAACAAACAATTCATGGCTCCTGGTAGTCCCCGCCCTTGTATGCGCGTATGAGCGGCCAGGATGATCTGCCTACGTCAGGTCCTCCCCTCAGATGAGATCCACGCCAGCGTGAATCAGATCCCGGCTCTAACAAGCAGGTCTGCCGCTTGTAACCGCTTCCACAGTGCGGGTCCAGAAAACAGGCCGCAAGGATGCTTTCTTACAACCTCCGCTTGTCGAAACTTGCGCCCTTCTCTAACCGCGCGGCTCAGGGAGAGCTTTTATTAGATATGCTGTGTACAAATATAGACCATCATACCATTGCCCGCTCATCTGTCTAGAATACCTGCAACCTATCCTGGCAACTGTTTCACGCTAATGCACTCGTGGCTACTAAAAGGATGTCCTTCTTTCACGGGACCAGAGACTCGATAGCAAGCATAGCGTGTATTGACGAAGAGGTCGCTCAGGGAGCAGAAAACATTCTGCCCCTGAGCGACAATATTTATCTGAGCGTACGCGTGACCTGTCAGGTGGAACCCTGACACTCGATCCAGCACACCCGCTCCAAAACAATTACCCGTTGGCATTGTGGGGCTTGCAAGCATGCCAACCTCTCCGAGGTTGGTCACAAAAACCTGGTCCAGCCACATTAATGTGGTCCACCTCTTTTCGTTCGACCTCCACCGACCACACCGCAAAAACGCACCTTATTTATGAAATTTCAGGTAGACCTTCATCAACGTCAAGATGCTCCGCGTACGCCGTGATTCTAGGCAATCTCCGCCGGCCAAGAACGCTGTGGATAAAAGAAAGGCCGAAATCCGCGCCAACATACTCGCTACGGTCCACCCCAATGTGCGGTATCACACACGGAGGCATATGAAGGCTATGAGCACGCTGCCTTCTCACCGCAAGCTTATGGAGGCCAATGGCACTTCCAAGGGCACTGTACAGCGTATTCTTGCTACTAGTTCCTCTTCCTATGTTCCACCAGGCCCACGAGGCCGGCCGGCGACTCTGACGCCTAGTGAAGATGCGGCTGTGGCAGTATATATTGTGTGGATGGAGAAATCGGGCTTTCCAGTAGAGAAGTCACAAGTTGAAGAAGCTGCCTTGGGTTTCCTGACTGCTAGGAATATCCCTAATGCTAAGATCGGCAAGATGTGGTATCCCTGGTTCTGTGAGCGTTATCCTGAGCTGCGGAAGTTATTCTTAAAGGCTGTAGACTGAGCACGTAAGTCATTCGAAGCATCTGATGTTGAGGACATCACCAAGTTCTTCTCTGGCCTCCAGGATATTATATATTAATATAGGATCGGTCCCTTAGAGTGCTGGAATGAAGATGAGTGCGGTCTTCGCATTGGGTGCCTTCGAGAATGTATCTAGGTCCTCGTTGTATGCACTATACGATCCTAACGCCCAGAAGTTAGTGATCCGGTAAATCGAGAGTTCTGTACTCAGGTTGAAGCTGTAAATGCTATTGGAGATATAATTCCTCTCTGGCTGATCTTTAAGGTGCCTCCTACAATAGATTGGTCTGATATTGATGATATCCCAGGCATAAGGGTTGTACAGTTAGAGACCGGCTTTAGCAACTAATAGATCATATTGGAATGGCTTTATAACTTTAATGCTTATTTCTGGAGAGCCTCTGCGAAGGTTAAGTAAGGAGATATCTCTTTTTAGGACTGGTTTGGCTGTAATTAGTGGCTCTATGATCCCTTCAACTTGGACTTCCGTTATATAGCTCCTCTAGTAGTCTATAAAGAGGAAGAGAAGATTTATCGCCTTCTAGTTATTAACGGCTTTTTAGGCTATCTATCTTTCGAATGCATTAACTACTATATCCAATTTGATATTATTATCTGTATCCTACCTTTATATTCAATATACCTTATGTAGCTACTAGATGTAGGAGTTTTTCAGTTTCTAAAGAACGCACATTAGAAGGAACTTCATAAATCTATTCGGGAAGGAAACCTAGCCTTTAACTGCAAGCAATTTGTAATAGTATTTGTAGAGATCTATAAAGCTGGCTTCTCTACCCACTACATCATGTCAGGGTTCGAAAAATCCGGTATCTGGCCGCCTAATGTAACGCCTGTGATCAACTGCATCCTCAATAAGCAGCAACAACAGCGGAAGGCGATACATCCCTCTATTCAGAAGTATCTGCCTCTTGATTCTCGCTTTCAAGATGCCTAGGATCAGATCAACCGACTCTATAAGAGATACCACGCCGTAATGAGCTCACCTACTCTAGAAGCCGTCAGTAATATCAGTAAAGTTCTCTCTGAGGCGGCCCTTATGCATAGAGAGCGCGAGTCTTTCTCAGTTGACCGGCTTTAGCGGCTTGAGAAATAGGGCAAGAGAAGGAAAACCGGCCAACGCGTAAGACCTGCTGGTGACTTTATCACTAGTGTCAGCTTTCCTGATATACGGGCTCAACACCAAGCATCCCTAGCTGCAGCAGAAGTCAAGGAACAGCACTTACAACTGCAATTTACTCGATCTCTTATTATCCAGCAGATCAACGATCTCAAGCGTTAGTGGAGAGAGGCAAAAGTGGCACGAGATGTTCCTTATCTTCTCCGGCTAACCTTCAATATGTGGCTTGCAGAGAATAACTACACCGACCAGTATGACGCCCTCGAAGCACAGAGAAAGGAGCATAATGATACCCTCAAGCAAGAGACCCAAATCCCGTTTTCTCAAGCCCAAGAAGAAGCCCGCCGCACCTACAGACCGACTCTAGCAATAAACCCCAATGCCTGGCCTCCAAATGACGAAGTGGTCCAGTTCACAGGCATTACAACATTCGAAGATGATGATGATGACGATATGGAGCTCATAGGGCTCCAAGACCAGCAGGAGGAAGATATTCCTGACCTAGCAACCCCCCCAGGGATAACCTTATCGCCGCCGATGTCACCGGTTGACCTGCCCTCGAGTCAACACCATGATTTCGCAACAACGCGGCCGCCGGCGGCTCCAATTCGAAGGCAAACCCGTTATCAAGGCATCATGAGGATATTACGAGAGCCACGGGGTCAATAGGGCACCTAATGCAGCCACAAGGAACACATAGTCAATAGGGTCATAAGCAACAGCCGCGGCGAGACCCTCGCAGCAGGCAGCCCAATTGAGGCCACAGATGCAATTTCCGCTATTTTCATATATATCATCAAATTCTACTATTCTGTAGCTTTCCAACGAGCCCGCTTATGGCCCTAGTCTTCAATAAATGAAGATGTCATGCCGACTGAAACTCCGTGAACAGAAAATGGGTCATTTCACAGCTTGAGGGTCACCAATGTGGGTGGACCACATTAATGTGGCTGGACCAGGTTTTTGTGACCAACCTCGGAGAGGTTGGCATGCTTGCAAGCCCCACAATGCCAACGGGTAGCCCGGCCTGTGTGTGCCACTACGAGCGTGCTAGAACCCAACGCGAGCCAGCATAAGTGCGCTAGCACACGATAGATGAGCCACATTCGAAGAGCCACAAAAGTTCAGGGAAAAATGACGTTATATCCTGGCCCTTGAGACTCACGGTTCGGAGATTCTCTGCTCATAGCATAGCCTTGGATGACGGAGAAGCTACCATGGTTGTAGGCGCCGCCTTGCGACTGTCGCGATGATGTGGTCTGAAACAGGGTGGCCGGGATTCCGCGCCACCAGCGACGTCGTCTGTATCAACATCAGAGGCCTGGACCATGTTACTCTCTGGCCCTTTGGTCGCAGCGACATCTACGTGTGTTGCATCTTTCTGATTGTACAATACGTCACCTTCCGGCCGGATGCGATCTATCCGACCTTCCCATCGTGAGTATTGCTTCTGCGGGAGAGAGGGGGCAAGTTTCAATGTCCAACAAGTACTGCAAGTATTGAAGTGCAGTCTTATGGACCATGGTCGAAGCATGCATAGCACTCCTAGTGGGCATCTGAATAGGATTTCTCTCATCCGACATGTTCAGGTGGTGTAGCGTGATGAGTCTTTTATAGCGCATGGTGATAGATACGAATGAACGGCCAGTTCTTGTGTGTTCTTTGATCGGTGAAGTTAACCCGTCAGTATGGGCGGCCAGGTTCGGGGGTGGCACCGATCCTCGCACTTAATACCTATTTCGGGGAGCGCGAGGACCCGGACAAGCGACCTGAGCGACCTGTTCGACCTCCTGCAAAACCTCGAACTGCCCCCGAATCATGGCGCGAGGGATGCGAGTCAGCCAATCATATTTGACATTCCCGGTGGAAGGTTGGAGAGTTCCTTGTTTCGGGACCACGTCTAAGCCCATGCAAATTAGCGCCTGTCAGTCCCTCCGAGAGATGACAGGACCCACACGCCGACCATTGGTCTCGGGCACGGACGGAGGAAAGGGCCACGGTGCTCCGGCCATCACTGACCAGGGGGTAGTCGAGCCATTCACGTGCCAGCGTGTCGCTAACTAGGTATCCCGAGACCAGTCTCGACAGGCTAACAGAATTCTTGAACCTTCATCAATTTCCAACACCATCTCAACCCCAACTCACGAAACTCGGACTGAAAAGCGAAAAAGTACTTCAACAATGGGATACGACTGTTGCGGTCCACCGGCTCCAGCCACTGAGCCGGTTGCTGCACCAATCGCGGCTCCAATTGAGGAGACGAGCAGTTGCCAGGATTCTTGCTGCGATGGCGGCGACAGCGACGCCGAGCCTCTCGAAACCAAGGACCCGGGTCAGGGAGAGCCCAACCAGGATAAACCGGACGATTGCTGCTCCTCTGGCAAATGCGCGGACGACAAAGCCAAGGATGATACCGACGCGCCTGATTGCTGCCGTGGCAAGGTAGGCCTATGTTGCGACACGTCTTGCCTTGACCGCTTGGCTATGCGGGAATGCGAGATGAGTGCTGTCGCTGCCCCCGGAGCAAACGCCCAGACAAAGAGTGAGTAGCCGCGCTTACAGAAAGCCATTCGAGATTGCTAACTCGTCTCAGTTTGTAGTGGAGCTGCCGACGGCAAGGCATGCAGCCAGCATAGCACCTCTGCCCTCGACCGCTATGGCGCCACTCTCCAGGCCCTGGGATGCATCTGCCGTGCTCTCATTGCTCTCGGCCAGGAAACCTGCTGTGAAATTCGCGAGCGCCATTCGCTGGATGGGAGGCAGTGCTCCAAGAAGTCGTCTGCTCGCTCCCTTCGCACTTCGCTGGATTCCTGCAGCAGCAGCGGCTCCGTCACGCAGGACCAGGCTGCGCAGAACCGCCTTCGCCTGCGCAAGGGCTCTGGCGAAAGCGTCAAATCTGCCAAGAAGTCATCTACGGTTGCCTGCGCAGGCTCTTGTTGCTCCAAGGACAAGCCCGCCAAAGAGCCTTCTATCAAGGGCAAATGCTCCAAGTCTTGCTGCTCGGAGGGGAAACCTGCCAAGGAGCCTCCCCACAAGACCAGCTGCGCGGATTCATGCTGCTCAAAGGCCAAGCCTATCGTGGAAGCTGTAACTGACATCAAACCTTCTGGATCTTGCTGTGCGAAAGACAAGGTCCCAGTCAAAGAAGCTCCAACAAAGAGCAACTGCCCCGGTTCTTGCTGCTCTGACAACAAGCCTGTCAAGGCTCTATCCGTCAAGGACAATTGTGCCAAAAAGACTAGTTGTGCGGACTCTTGCTGCTCGGAAAAGCGACCGGTCAGCTCTCAGGGCTCTTGCGCCGATGGCTGCTGCTCCTCTGCTGCGCCTGATCACGGGTTGGAGGTTGAGAAGGCCCCGATTCAGGCTATCACCGACATAGAGAACCAGGGTACCGGCAAGGAGCATGTTGTTCTCAGCATTTCCGGCATGACTTGTACTGGCTGCGAGACAAAGCTCAATCGAACTCTCGCTACAGTTCCCGCTGTCAAAGACCTGAAGACGAGCCTGGTTCTCTCACGAGCTGAGTTCAACATCGACCTTCGCCTCGGCTCGGTGGAAGAAGTCGTGAAACATCTGGAGCGAACGACCGAATTCAAGTGCGAAAGAGTTCAGAACCAGGGATCTAGCCTGGATCTTATCGTCCCCGATGAGCCCTCGAAATTCATGAGTCAGACATGGCCGGAAGGTGTCATTGATATGGCGCTTGTGGACAAGCAGACCGTACGAGTTGCGTTTGATTCGAAGATTGTGGGAGCCCGAGACCTCGCCGAGAAGATCTGGGGTCCGCCAATTGAACTTGCTCCGCCTCGTGGTGATCCTTCGCTGGAGGCTGGGAGCAAGCATGTCCGTCATGTTGGATACATGACGCTTCTCTCCGCTGTCTTGACGATTCCTGTTCTTGTCATGGCATGGGCTCCTCTTCCCGAGCGGGAGTTGGCCTATTCCTCGGCTTCACTCGCGTTGGCAACCATCGTTCAATTTGTTATCGCAGGACCTTTCTACCCTAAGGCTCTGAAGGCGCTTGTTTTCTCCAGAGTTATCGAGATGGACCTCTTGATCGTCTTGAGCACCAGTGCTGCCTACATCTTCTCTGTGGTCTCTTTTGGGTACTTCGTCGCAGGGAACCCCTTTCGACTGGACAATTCTTCGAAACGAGCACTCTCTTGGTCACTCTGATCATGGTTGGCCGATGGGTTGCAGCTCTCGCTCGTCAGAGAGCTGTTGAGTCCATTTCTATCCGGTCACTCCAGGTATCGACAGCCATCCTTGTCGACGAAGAAAGTGGAAGGGAACGTGAGATCGACGCCCGACTTCTTCAATATGGCGACACATTCAAGGTTCTTCCAGACACCAGGATTCCGACCGATGGCACCGTTGTCACCGGGTCTTCTGAGGTCGACGAGTCTATGCTCACGGGTGAATCCAGACCGGTGGAGAAGTATCCCAAATCGGTGGTGATTGCTGGATCTATCAATGGACCTGGAGTCATGACTGTTCGGCTGAACCGTCTGCCTGGTGACAATACCATCCACGCCATTGCTGCGATGGTTGACGAGGCCAAGCTGTCGAAGCCCAAGTTACAGGACCTGGCAGATCGGGTAGCATCCTACTTTGTCCCCGTGGTGGTGGCATTGACGATCATTACGTTTGTCATCTGGGTCGCAGTGGGCATGACTGTCCGTGGTTATGGAGGATCTGAAGCTACCATTCAGGCCATCACCTACGCCATCACTGTTCTCATCGTCTCTTGCCCATGTGCAATTGGATTGGCTGTTCCGATGGTCATTGTGATTGCTAGCGGAGTCGCGGCGGAACGGGGTATCATCTTCAAGTCCGCGGACGCTATTGAAGTCGCCCATAAGACTTCGCACGTCGTGTTTGACAAGACGGGAACTTTGACTCGAGGAAAGCTCTCCGTTGTTGGAAACGAGTGCGTCGACGAGGACAAACTTCCACTTCTTCTGGGTCTGGTTGAAAACAGTCGACACCCGGTTTCGGTTGCTGTAGCTGCCCACCTCAAGGACATCGGAATCATGACTTGGACTGTTCCTGAGCCGAAGAGTTTGACTGGTAAAGGTGTCGAAACCACCCTGGGCGGTCAGAAACTTCGAGCTGGCAACTCTCGCTGGCTGAATCTGTCGGACCATGAACTCGTCCAGCCGATGCTTGTTCAAGGCTGCACTGTGTTCTGCTTTACGATCGACAATGAGCTGAAGGCGGTCTATGGACTTGAGGACGAACTTCGACCTGATGCTGCGGAAACGGTTGAAACCTTGCAGAAGCGTGGTGTCTCGGTACATGTGGTTTCTGGCGACGATGACGGAGCCGTTCGGACCTTGGCATCCAAGCTTAGCATTCCTGGTGACAATGTGCGCTCTCGAAGCTCGCCTGCCGACAAGAAGGATTACATCCAGACTCTCCTCGGTACTGCCACAGATCGCAAGAAGCCGGTTGTCGTTTTCTGCGGCGACGGCACGAACGATGCCGTTGCTCTCGCGCAGGCTACTATCGGCGTCCATATGAACGAAGGCACAGATGTTGCGCAATCCGCTGCGGATGTTGTTCTCATGCGTCCTTCCCTGGCTGGTATTCTGACCATGATGAACGCGAGTCGGAAATCCGTCACCCGCATCAAGTTCAACTTTGGGTGGAGTTTCGTGTACAACACCTTCGCAGTTCTTCTTGCTGCCGGTGCCTTTGTCAACGCGAGGATTCCTCCAGAGTTTGCGGGACTGGGAGAGTTGGTGAGCGTGCTGCCAGTCATTGCTGCCGCGGTGCTTCTGCGCTGGTCGAAGATCTAGACTCAGAGCGCCATCATTGCACGAGTGACGACGGCTGAAGTTCCACAAACTCTGCTTGATGTCCGACTGGAATCGTTGTCACCAAAGACGGGATGCAACAGCTCCCATCGTGGTCGAATTTTGAATCGCATCGCAGAATGCTGCAGTCCTGTGGCTATCGATCGTTCCATGGCTTGCTTCAGTATCAGAGAAGGCTCCTTTTAGGCAGTCTTGACACCAAACCATATCGTTCTACACATGTCCTATCCTATAGGACGTACTCTTAAACAACCACGACTCCTCGATAGATTGAGTTGCAGAGGGGATTCTGTGAAGGGGCTCACAGTTTCTCATCTTGGCTTCATTCTCATCGTTGAAGAAGTTTTTATACAACTATCTATAGCTGCCTTTCATGATTGGTTTGGAATCTCTGGCAAAATTTCCAGCTAAGATCCAGACATTAAATATTACACTCGCTTACAGGCGAAGCTTTTGATACATCCGCTCATTATCCCCAGAAGTGACTCCCAAGTTATCCGTACCGTAACGCCGTACTATAAGACCACCCGTTTAGAAACATCAGGTATTAAAAGAACTCGGCCAACCACATCCAGCAAGACAGGATAGGTACAATGGCGAGCAGAACCAAAGCTCTCAGCGAACTTCACTTCTAAAACACCATAAGCTCACAAAGCAGTCTAGGATCTGCAGTATGCTGAGAAGGGATTAACTCACCTTAGTCAGCTACAGTACCATATACTCTACTTAGAGACATCTCTCTGCCGTCTAAAATAATCGAGGATGGCAAGGGCCCGGAGGCGGGCGTGAACTGCTGTTCAATGTTCATTGAAGCATCGAACAACGAAGTTGTCGCAGTAGAACTCGAACCACATCCGGCGCGTCGCCATGGTTCTCGCGATAATGTACGTAGTAGAGACTGTGTCTTTCTTGTCCTCGAATAAATTGAACCTGATGTCTTTGCATCTCTGTTTTGACTGAGAGTTCTCGTGGTGCGCCTCCGCAATTGCTGTGCCTGAGGAACGTAATTGAACTACAACCAAACAGCACAGCACTTTAAAAGAGCACGACATTGAAAAGCCATAATGAGCCCAATCCCTTTACTGGTGCCCCTACGTAACCTGAACCCTGCCCTACATCTACCGCTCTCCTGCTTCTATACGCGTCTCCTTTTCGTCGGGGTCGCCGCTGCTTTCGTCGGGGTCGCCGCTGCTACAACTATTGCCCCTGTTTGGTGGTCCGCTATGAAATCTGGCATTTCGCTATTCAGTTGCGCCGCTTTCTCTCATTTGTTCTGAAGAACACTCACTCGTTGATTCTTGTTCAGGCTGCGTGGCGATTGCAGAAGAATTGTCATCCACTGTCTTCTCTTTGCCCAAACCCCATTCATTTGCCCCTCTAACAGAGGAAGGGTTCATAGTAGGCTCTGTTAGGGTCCCAAAGATGGACTTTTGTCGGTCCTGCTCTCCACAAACCCTTCGCAAGTTAAGGGTAGAGGAGAGGCAATTGTCCATTCATCAATCATATTTTGCTCTTCGCACTCTTCGCCGCCACCACAAGGCCAAGACCCATGGTGGTGCTAACTCTGCACTGACCTCAGTTCAGCGCTGTACCGCTTGCGGCCAAAAGCCAGGCGGTAGTTGCAGCCACCACCCTTGCCGATACGGCAGCCATGGCCAAGTGGAACCGCTGAAGGATGGGGAGACTTGTCTCCGGCCTGGGTCTCCCTGAATCACGGAGCCATCCGGCCAATGATGAGAATAGGAGCACCTACCTTAGCATTCGAAAAGGCCACGCTACGGGTCCTGATTAGCTGGTGCAATGATGAGGTTGAAAAAATGTGATGGTAGTGGAAGAAGCAGCGCCAATCGCGAGCCACGTCGAAATGCAATTGCGGCCCCGAATCTCCGAGTCCGTGCATCCATACCAACCGAAGCCCCTCAGTCACGACATGAGGCAGCCGACAGAGGCTCTCTGGCCACGTTGGGCTGAGCGAGGCCAGTGCTTCAGAAATGGACAGCCAAGCATGCCCTCAACGAGTTTTCTCTCCTTATCCACCTCGGCTCGCGTAGTCTCCATGGCAGAGGCTCTTGGGCTTGCCGCAAGCGTCATCGCCATCGGTGACCTGCTTGTTAAGATCGGTGTGCTCTGCTCCGGGTACTGCGCGGACCTCAAGATTGCCCGACGCGACGTTCGAGACATCCTCAACGAGGCTGATAAGCTCTCAGCGACCCTCAAAGATGTCGAACGACTCCACGCCGGCCCGAATGGTGCGAAACTGGAGGCATCTCAGAATGTGCGCCGCGGCGTCGCAGATTGCTGGGTGCAGCTGGGCGACCTGGCCGCCAAGCTGGAGGAGGGCACAAGATATAGACGGATAGTATGGCCACTGAAGAAGAAGGAGGTGGCCGACATAGTCAAGAACCTGGAACGATGCCGGGCCGGCATTTCTTTGGACCTACACATCAATCAGGTGTACGTTAGCTCCCCGCTCGGATTCCTGCTGCTTACAGAAAGTACTCCAGGGCATTGCTTCTCGACGTTCACCAGGAGATCGTCCTGGCAAAGCTGCGTACTGCAGAAGGGGCGGCCTTCGATTCTCACGATGACGCCGACAACGCGAGATGCCATGCCGGCACACGAGTCGATATCCTCCAACAGGTACAGGCATGGGGTGCCGCTCGCGACGGTGAATGCGTCTTCTGGCTGAATGGCATGGCCGGCACCGGCAAGTCCACAATCTCTCGAACTGTAGCCCAGTCGTTGGCCGATAAGGGCATGCTCGGCGCTAGCTTCTTCTTCAAGCGAGGCGAAGGGGATCGCGGACGAGTGGCATTTTTCTTCACCACAATAGCTGCTCAGCTTGTCCGCCAGCTGCCGTCCTTGGCACCGCATGTCCGTAATGCTCTCGAAGCCGATCCTACCATCAATGAAAAATCGGCAAAGGACCAATTCGACAAACTCATTGCAGACCCAATCAAGAAACTGCCCAAACACTCTCAGCCTTCGGTGATAGTTATAGTCGTCGACGCACTCGATGAGTGTGACGTCCTCGAACATGTAAGGCTGGTCATTCATCTCCTGTCGCAAGCGAAACAGTTCACTTCTGTCTGCCTAAGATTCTTCGTTACCAGCAGACCCGAGCTGCCCATCCGACTCGGATTTGAGGATATAAGTGGCAAGTACGAAGATCTAGTTCTCCATCAGATCCCCAAGTCCGTCATCGAGCATGACATCACCGCATTCCTCCAACACGAGCTCGTCAAGATACGACAGGATTACAACAAGTCTGTAACACCCAACCGGCAGCTGCCTCCCGATTGGCCCGGCGCGGATCACACCCAGAAGCTGGTCGATATGGCCATTCCCCTGTTCATCTTCGCCACAACTGTCTGTCGTTTTATTCAGGATCGAAGACTTGGCAGCCCGAAGAACCAGTTGGCGAAAATCTTAGAGCACCAGACAAGCCGGAGGTCTACCCTAGACGCGACCTACCTCCCTGTGCTAGATCAGTTGCTGGTAAGGCTCTCCAAGTCAGATCAGCACGCAGTGGCAGAAAGGTTCAGACAAGTTGTCGGGTCCATCGTCGTCCTCGCCAGCCCTCTTTCGACATCTTCCCTCGCTCGCCTTCTAACGGTTTCTCCTGACGCCATCGAAGATCAACTAGACCTGCTTCACTCTGTATTAAGCATTCCCTCGGATCCAAACATGCCCGTACGGCTACTCCATCTGTCGTTCCGCGACTTCCTCGTCGACCCCAAGAAAGGCAAGGAACAAGAAAGGTACCCGTTTTGGATCGACGAGCGAGAAACCCATGGGCGGTTGGCGGCCCGGTGCCTGCACCTGCTGTCGACAGGCGACACCCTGAGGAGAGACATCTGCAACCTGCGCCTGCCCGGGACGGCGCGGTCCGAGATCGGCCAGCAGACCATCCATGACGCCCTGCCGCCCGAGGTCCAGTACGCCTGCCGGTATTGGGTCTACCATTGGAAGGAGAGCAATTGTACGATACGGGATGGGAATCTCGTCGATCGCTTTTTAACCTGCCATCTCCTGCACTGGCTCGAAGCGTTAGGCCTGTTGGGACGGATCTCAGAAAGTGTGGGTATGGTAGACGACTTGTTACGCCTACTCGACGTATGTGTTCCTTTCTATTTTCTTGCTATTCTATCGTGGAGCGTCCAGTACTAACTCACTTTTACATAGCCGGAAGAAAGCAGCAACGTCTCAGCGTTTCTTCGTGACACGCGGCGCATTATTCTAAGTCATCGCTCAATTATTGATATATCGCCACTCCAAATCTACTATTCGAGTATTGTTTTTGCGCCAGAGCAGAGTGTGGTTCGAAAGACGTTCCGAAACCAATTCCCGGCTTGGCTTTCCCTACTGCCGCAGGTCGATTCGGACTGGGATGCGTGTTTACAGACACTCGAGGGGCATGGCGGAAACGTCAGTTCAGTCGCCTTCTCGCACGATTCGAAGCTCGTCGCATCGGCGTCGCACGACACAGTCAAGCTCTGGGACGTTGCCACAGGCGCCCGCACGGCAACATTTGAGGAACATGGCGGCTCCGCGTCAGTCGCCTTCTCGCACGATTCGAAGCTCCTCGCATTGGTGTCGGCCGTCTACACAGTCAAGCTCTGGGACGTTGCCACAGGCGCCTGCACGGCAACATTTGAGGAACATGGCGGAAATGTCCATTCGGTCGCCTTCTCGCACGATTCGAAGCTCCTCGCATCGGTGTCGGCCGGTGACGCCAAGCTCTGGGATGTTGCCACAGGCGCCTGCACGGCAACATTTGAGAAACATGGCTTCTCCGTTTCAGCCTTCTCGCACGATTCGAAGCTCCTCGCATCGACTTCGGACAACAGTTTCGTCGCATCGGCGTCGCACGACCGCGCAGTCAAGTCGGACAACGGCACAGTCAAGCTCTGGGATGTTACCACAGGCGCCTGCACGGCAACATTAGAGGGACATAGCGGCTCCGTCCATTCGGTCACCTTCTCGCACGATTCGAAGCTCGTTGCATCGGCGTCGGATGACCGCACAGTCAAGCTCTGGGACGTTGCCACAGGCGCCTGCACGGCAACATTTGAGGGACATAGCCACTGGGTCAGTTCGGTCGCCTTCTCGCACGATTCGAAGCTCGTCGCATTGGCATCATACGACAACATAGTCAAGCTCTGGGATGTCGCCACAGGCGCCTGCACGGCAACATTTGAGGGACATAGCAGCACCGTCAATTCAGTCGCCTTCTCGCACGATTCGAAGCTCGTCACATCGGCGTCTGATACATTCACGTCAGACAACGGCACAGTCCAGCTCTGGGATGTCGCCACAGGCACCTGCACGGCAACATTTGAGGGACATAGCGGCCCCGTCAATTCAGTCGCCTTCTCACACGATTCGAAGCTCGTCGCATCGGCGTCGTACGACCGCGCAGTCAAGTCGGATAACGGCATAGTCAAGCTCTGGGATGTTACTACAGGCGTCTGCACGGCAATATTAGAGGAACATAGCGGCCGCGTCAGGTCGGTCGCTTTCTCGCACGATTCGAAGCTCGTCACATCAGCATCAGCCGACCGCACAGTCAAGCTCTGGGACGTTACCACAGGCGCCTGTACGGCAACATTTGAGGGACATAGCGGCCCCGTCAATTCAGTCGCCTTCTCACACGATTCGAAGCTCGTCGCATCGGCGTCGGATGACCGCACAGTCAAGCTCTGGGACGTTGCCACAGGCGCCTGTACGGCAACATTTAAGGCACATAGCGGCTACGTCAATTCAGTCGCCTTCTCGCACGATTCGAAGCTCGTCGCATCGGCGTCGTACGACCGCGCAGTCAAGTCGGATAACGGCATAGTCAAGCTCTGGGATGTTACTACAGGCGCCTGCACGGCAATATTAGAGGAACATAGCGGCCACGTCAGGTCGGTCGCTTTCTCGCACGATTCGAAGCTCGTCGCATCAGCATCAGCCGACCGCACAGTCAAGCTCTGGGACGTTACCACAGGCACCTGCACGGCAACATTTAAGGGACATAGCGGCTCCGTCAATTCAGTCGCCTTCTCACACGAATCGAAGCTCGTCGCATTATCGTACGGCCGTGCAGTCAAGCTCTGGGATGTTACCACAGGCGCCTGCACGGCAACATTTGAGGGACATAGCCACTGGGTCAGTTCGGTCGCCTTCTCGCACGATTTGAAGCTCGTCGCATCGGCGTCGACCGACTACAATGTCAGGTTGGACAACGGCACAGTCAAGCTCTGGGACGTTGCCACAGGCGCCTGCACGGCAACACTCGAGGGGCATGGCGGAAACGCCGGTTCGGTCGCCTTCTCGCACGATTCGAAGCTCGTCGCAACGGCGTCGGACGGCCGCACAATCAGACTCTGGGACGTTGCCACAGGCGTCTGCACGACAACATTCAAGGTCGGCTCTTTCGTCTCTTCTCTCGCTTTCGATGAAACTGGCTCCTTACTCTATACGAACAGCGGCACTTTTGAACTGAATAGCACGTCGCTACCATGCCACACCATGCCAACAGCACTATCAGCGACGCCCGCGTCGGTGGCCGTGTCCACGCCAGGTACTGCCTCGCAACACGTCAAACGTCGAGACGTCGGACTTAGTGAGGATTCGGTGTGGGTCACCTGGGAATCGCACAGGGTATTGTGGCTGCCGCCGGCGTACCGACCGATAGCGTCGGCCGTGACGGCGTCGACGGTGGCCATGGGGTGCCCATCCGGTCGGGTTGTCGTCGTGAGAGTGTCGTCCGGCCACGGTCTTCTCATGTAGCTCGCCCTTGTCTAGTATTTTATTGTACGTATCGGCTTGGATGGATCCTGGTGTACGGCTTGTGACTGGCGCTGCTGTAGCTGGTGCACCTGATTGTGGGGCTGCGAGAGTGGGAGCTTGGGGCGTAGGGACCGACGAAGGCGAAATTTCTGGTTCTGAATCCGTGTCCATGTTATTATCCCATTTCGAGTAATCAATAATCATGGAGAATCATTTAATGCTACTTCCTGAGGAAGATTCAGATTGAATAAATTGGATGCCAAGGCAAAGAAATAAGACACGAAACAGCGTTAAACTACAATGCTGTCGAATGCGGGGTCTGAGTAGCAAGCCAGCGCCCGCCTGTGTGCAAGCGTCTCGAACCCGCAAAAGGCAAAAAACTGGTCACACACAGACGCCACCAGCCTTAGAGTGACCTGCTAAAAGTCTCCCAATCGCCTATAAAGCCAGTGCCAGGTGCCCACGCCCACACTCTCTTCTTTCCTCCTTTCCCTTCAGACACCTGGAAGGCCACCTACCACTGCCTATGACCCCAAGGTCATTACGCGATACCTACCCAGGACTTCGTCGCCACTCACCTGGTGAAAAAACGTGCATTGTTAGGCTTCACAAGATAAGTACTTGTGTCAGGCTCATTCTTTCACAAGGCAAGCGCCTTACTTCTCAAGCTCTCAACTCGTTCCGAAAGGCATTGGCGGACCCCGTAGGGGACCGGTCTCCTGTTGCCTCTCCTGTGGCAATTATTATGGCCAGACGCCGCTGTCGTGGGCTGCACAGAACGGGCACGAGGCGGTACTCAATCTACTCAAATCAATATGCCTTGAGGGACTTTGTTCCGAAAGGTTCTTCCTTCCGTGCTCTCCTCCAGGTCCAAAAATTAAGCTCGGGCCATGAAGTGGTCCGTGCGGGATGCCTGCACCATGCCTGCACCACAACCGCTTCACCACGATCCCCGCGCCACCTTGGCTTCGCCACGATAGAAAGCCACCTCAGCCATAGCAACAAGCCACGGCCCGATTTCGTTCGACACTGGTGCCGGGTCTTGCACGACCACCACGAACGATTTCATGCGCTACGGAGTTATCAATGGTGTTTCCGATACCGGTTTCTTGCTAACGTGGGTTTGCTGAGCAAGTTTGCGGGTGTTTTTGTAATCACGACCTCCACAACAGGATCTGGCAATACGAGAGATGACCGCCAACGCGCTCGGAACCGGCCCGACGAGACCCTGAAGCCACGCGTCCACGAAGCGAGCCGAGTGGGGTCGTTCTTGACGAGACGACCCTACAAGCTCTCCGAGAAACCCCACAGGAGCCGGTCAGAGTCCCGTTTGACGAGATCCAGCGCACGTTGAGGGACCTGGACCGTCAGGATGGCCAAGCTGGCGTCGAGGCTTTCGAACCAAGGGTGATGGAAGGGGGACGGAGGGTGCGAGTGATGGAGACGATGAGGAGCTCGCCAAATCATGCGTGCTGAGTCGCATCCCCGAGCGTTAAACCTCCGAATCTCCCAAAGGCCAGACTACCAAGGAATATACCACCGAGGACAGCGAGGAAATAGCCCACATTCATCGGCATGATAGATAGCATGCTGCTAAACGTTAGCCAAGGTCTTACCAAAGGAAGTGAATTGGCCGCATACATCAAGTACAATACACCAGCGATCGCAGTATCGATCGCAGCTCTGGGTCCGTCGATAGTGATCCTCCAAGTTGGCGCACCTTTCATGTGCCGGCGCACAACCATAACATCCTTCTCGATCCCATTCTCGGTCAAAATGCCTTTGCTGGATTCTGCATCGCTGCTAACATCATTATTTGGATTCGTTTTCACGACAACATATCGACTATTAAGATCGGCATCGATCCAGCGCCTCTCGAGCACGGACTTGACAGCGACGAGGGATCGAGCGATCACGCCGAGAACAATCAGGAAAAGACAAGTCCCGGCATAATTATCGACGAATATAGGCATTTAGGACAGTTGATCGAGAGAAACCAAGATTCTCCTGATGGTGAGAAATGGGGGCCAATTTGACGAAGTTTCGTGGTTTGGAGCTTACAGAAGAGGAGCCGAGCGGTCAGGTGTCAGCTGACGTCGCTGATCCAGTGGGTGAGCAAGTTTGAGGACTTTTGAGAACTTTTCAGAACTTTCTTCACGCCACCGCCAATCAAAATGACTACGTTCTCCTGCATCCACACCCTCCTGACGAAGGCACGTGTCAACAGCAAGTGCAACAGACATTCCGGGCAGCACTCTCCCCAACGCCCCTGCCAAAACACACCAAAATTCCAACATTTCAATAATTTTACATCTGGGCGGAATCCATCTCATCTCGTGCCCGTTACAGTGCAATAATAACACCCAAAGCCGCGGCAACCAAGGCCCCAAGTGCATTCGCCTTTCCAAATCCAGTCAAACCATCTGATGTCGTCGCTGTAGCAGAGACGCTGGCACCACGAACAGAGAGAGGCATGGATTCTACATAATCCAACAATTATCGCCACTGTCACTGAGAAGCCACTTGTTGGAGCTCGAAGGTTTCGCGCGATAACGTCGTTCGCCTAGATAAGAGTTACAACCAGGCGATCTGCAACCATGTCGCCCGCAACCCAGCCAGGTTGCGGTCCTTCTGGGGCTCTGATTACCTCTCTCCTCATCTCCAACTTTCATTGTCCTAGTTGTATTCCGACCATACGCAAAGCGCTGCAGAAGTCATTTACCCGCCACATTAGCTGGATCTCGCCGAACCTTGTCACCTCAGTAGTCACTGTCGAGCATGGCGCGGTCGCCTCCAGCACCGATATGAAATCGGCGCTGGAAGAGTTCGGATTCGAAGTGTCTGCCATGGCCACCTCTCCTAGCACGCCTGCTGCAACGGGGCAGCAAGACCCTGGGGCGGCGGAAACCGCAGAAGATGAATCCTGGCACACCTTCAACTTGGTCGCGTGGATTGCCTGCTCTACTGCCTCCGGCCAGTCTGCGGCCGACCGGGAGCAGCGGGCCAAGGTTCATCTCCAGAGTTGCGAGAAGTGCCAGCTGTCGAAGCGGAACGGAGAGACGCCTGCGGTCGAGGTGGATATGTTAGCTGCACTACACCCCTCGACCTCGACGGCCCTGAACAGGACTAGCGAGGCCGAGAGAGCGGCAAAAGCCTCCTCGAAACACCTTGTCATTGCGGGGACCACCGGAGAGGTGATTCCAGAGGGCAGACGGAGAGCAACGCTCGCAGTCCGCGGCATGACATGCGCCGTCTGCGTCAATGCCATCACGGACGAGTTGGGCCGGCTGGAGGGGGTTGTGGACGCAGTGGTGAGCCTTGTGTCGAATAGCGCGACGGTCACGTTCGACGGCGGCAACGCTCGGGTGCCGCAGATTGTCGAGGCTATTGAAGACTTGGGCTACGAGGCGACCGTGGATAACGTCACCAACCTTGACGAAGAGGGAATCGTCGCCACCGAGGAGCGCATCGTCGATATCAAGCTAGACGGCATCTACTGTCCTCAATGTCCGTCCCGCGTGGCCCGCAGCCTAGCTGGATTCCGGCGGCAGCTTGCCATTGTCGGTATGCCCACCTCGGTACAGAATCCTGTCATGCAGGTGCGCTACCTGCCCGATGCGCCGGGCTTCACGGTACGGCGCATCATCGAGGCCATCGAGGCAAGCGACGAAGCCATCAGAGCGTCCGTGTATCATGCGCCAACCATCGAGGAGCGCTCGCGGCAGATCAGGCGCCGCTACCAGCGGCAGCTGCTGTACCGTGTGACCTTGACCGCCATTATCTGCATCCCGACCTTCGTGATCGGCATCGTGTACATGAACCTCCTGTCGGACTCCAACGCCGGGAAGAGCTACCTGATGGCGCCGCTGGCGTCGGGCATTAGCCGGGGGCAGTTCGCGCTCTTGGCCCTGGCGACGCCCGTGTACTTTTGCGCCGCAGACGCATTCCATGCCAAGGCCATCAAGGAGATCCGCGCTCTATGGCGGCGCGGAAGCCGCACACCGGTGCTTCAGCGCTTCTACCGCTTCGGTAGCATGAATACGCTTATGTCGCTGGGAACTACCATCGCGTACGTAGCCTCCGTTGCCCAGTTGATCGCGGCTGGTGTGAATCACACGACTGAGCTCAGCAACGCGGATCTCTACTTCGACTCGGTCGTCTTCCTTACCTTCTTCATCCTGCTGGGGCGCGTGATCGAATCCCTTAGTAAGGCAAGGGCTGGTGATGCTGTTGAGATGCTGGGCAAGCTCCGCCCGACGACGGCGATGCTCGTTGAGCGGCTGAATGACGGCGAGGAAGGGGAGGAGAAGGTCTCCGTCGTCCAGGCTGACCTGCTCGACTTGGGCGACCTGGTCCGCGTGCCGCACGGCGGATCCCCGCCCGGTGACGGCACCCTTGTCCGCGGCGACAGCACCTTTGACGAGTCCTCGCTCACTGGCGAGTCGCGACCGGTGCGCAAACAGGCCCACGACCTGGTCTTCTCCGGGACGGTCAACAAGGGTGCCCCTGTGCTCATCCGCATTACTGGGGTTGCTGGCCGTTCGATGCTGGACCAGATCGTGGATGCTGTGCGAGAAGGACAGACGAAGCGCGCTCCCGTGGAGCAGATTGCCGATGTCATGACGGCCTACTTTGTACCGGCTATTACGCTGACAGCCATCCTGACCTGGCTGACGTGGATGTCGCTCGGCTGGGCCGGCCGTCTGCCTGTCGACTGGCTCGATGTGACCTCTGGCGGCTGGGTGGCCTGGTCACTGCAGTTCGCCATAGCCGTGTTTGTTGTCGCTTGCCCGTGCGGCCTGGCCCTCGCGGCTCCTACGGCGGTTTTTGTGGGCGGTGGCCTGGCCGCACGCCACGGCATCCTCGCCAAAGGGGGCGGCGAGGCGTTCGAGAAGGCCAGCAAGGTCGATACTGTCATGTTCGACAAGACGGGTACGCTAACTCTCGGCGGCGAACCGAGCATTACGGACGCGGAGTTCTACGTTGACGGCGACGATGCTTGGAAGGCTACCCTGCTTGCGGCCGTCAAAGCCGTCGAGGAGAACAGCACCCATCCCGTTGCTAAGGCTGTCGCCATCTACAGTGCGTCGGAGGCTTCTAGCAGTGTGATCATTGGCAATCTCAACGAGATCCCTGGCAAAGGCATGGCAGCAACCTGCTCGAGTTTAGCCGCTCCCGACGCCCAGTTCGAGATTCTTGTCGGCAGCGAGGCTCTCCTGGCAGATTTCAGCGTAGACATTCCGCAGGCCGTCACCACAATACTGGAGAGGTGGAAAACGGAGGCAAAATCCATTGCCCTGGTCGCCTACAAGAGAATGTCCTCTCCGGGGACTGGAAGCCCTCCGAATCACCCAACGCCGCACGTGCTCGCTGCCACCTTTGCCGTCTCCGACCCGATCCGCCCCGAGGCGCCCGCCATCGTGCGTGCGCTGCACGCGCGGGGCGTGGCCGTGTGGCTCCTGTCCGGAGACAACGTACTAACGGCGTCGGCCGTCGCGGCTCGCGTGGGCATCCGTGCCGATCGCGTCGTGGCCGGCATGCTGCCGACGCAAAAGGCGGCGGCGCTGGAGCGGCTCCGCCGAGGAACCGAGGCAGGGAGTGGTTGGACCGGGGCGCCGCGCCGCGTCCCTGTCATCGCCATGGTGGGCGACGGAGTTAACGACGCGCCCGCGCTGACGGCTGCCGACGTGGGCGTGGCTATGGAGTCCGGCGCCGACGTAGCGCTGGGCGCCGCCGACTTTGTGCTGCTGCTCGCGGACCTGCGCGGCGTGCTCAACCTCCTGGACCTCTCGCGCGCCATCCTGGGACGCATCAAGGTCAATTTCGCCTGGGCCGTCGTGTATAACGTCATCGCCATCCCCATCGCCGCCGGATGCTTGTACCCCATTCCAAACAATGGTCAACACGTGCGCCTCGACCCCGTCTGGGCCAGCCTGGCAATGGCGCTTAGCAGCATCTCGGTCGTGACTAGCTCACTGGCGCTGAGGAGCCCGATCCCAGGGCTGGGCTTTCGAGTCAAGAAGATTGCGGATGAGATTGCGGACATGGCTTGACGATTGTTCGACCTGCTCTGGTCTCTGGTTATGTTCAAACCTCATCTTAGTCTACGTCGAGTCTAAGAAATATTAACCGGCCCCTAGTCCAATAGTACTACCCTGCGACTCCCAGAATAGTTTTTATAGAAATATATAGAGATAGATAGGGTTAAAAGCCAAGACTGAACGGAATCAACCCCTCGTTGCATTTCTAATTGACATTACGGCAGCAATGCGGGTAATTACAGGATGTTTCCCTCCAGCGGTCTAGGGTTTGATCGAATAGTTGAGTAGAGATCGGATTGAATAACCCTTGAGGAGGCCTTAAGTTTCACAAGACAAGTGCTTGTGCCAGGCCTGTTCAGAAAGGCATTGGCGGTCCCGGTAGGGGACCGGTCTCCTGTTTTCAATGCATGACCTGGATTCTCTTCCTCTGCCCCAATTTAATGAACGAAGGCTTCTGTGACGGTCCTGCTTACACTAGAGGGTTCACAAGACAAGTGCTTGTGTTCCGAAAGGCATTGGCGGGCCCCGTAGTGGACCGGTCTCCTGTTTCATATCACGACGATATCGCGACAGGATAATAAGTTCCTACTAGTAGCTGGAAAGATGACAGAAAAGAGGGGCAAGTGGTTGCTACTAGTAGCCAGAGAGATGACAGAAAAGAGGGCAAGTGGTTGCTGCTAGTACCAGGAGAATGGCAAAAAAGAGGGGCAATGCTACTAGTACTAGGGGGGTCTCGTCATTGCATTACAGCTCAACCCCCCGTTCGTCCCTCACGGGGGGGTCGTTGACTAGCCAAAAGTCCGTTGACTGACCAAATTTAGGTACATTGGCTTACACTAAAAACTCAGTGTTTGTGCTGTATTTTTTGGAGAGCGGTTGTTGGAGTAGGTCCCAATTTTCCTTTTGTTAGTGAGGTACATCATTTTACTAGAGTCTCTACCAAGCTTTCAGGTATTTGGTGAGTCAACGGACTTTTGGCTAGTCAACGACCCCCCCGTGAGGGACGAACGGGGGGTTGAGCTGTAATGCAATGACGAGACCCCCCTAGTAGCTTGGAAGATGACAGAAAGAGGAGCAAGTTTGGTGCTACTACTAGCAGGAGAGTGGCCAAAAAGAGGGGCAAGTGGTTGCTACTAGTAGCCAGAGAAGTGTCAGAAAAGAGGGGCAAGTGTTTGGTACTAGTAGCCGACAGACCATGGTCTTACTCCGTACAGTGCGACAGCAGAAGGATTTGATTTGCTTAGCGCCCGACTAATTCTGTCACAGTCCCTGAAGGGCCTACCGTCCAGAGCACCCTACAGCACCCACTCCCCAGAGCACCCTACAGCACCCCCCAGAGCACCTTACCCGCAACCACTCTTCAGGGCACCCTTCAGAGCGTATTACCCGCTCCCTCCAGAGCACCCCACAGCACCCACTCAGCGGAACGTCTCAGACATTGGATCAGATGATACCAGTAGTAGCTCCGGCGGCGGATATTTTGTTATAGCAGAACGTCTCAGACATCGGATCGGAGATTTACCTCTCTATGTGCGACCCGACGGAGCATCTCACACTTGATGACATATTTTCAGACCTGAGCCAGCACCTGAACAAGACCTAAATCAACCTCCAACGACAAGACAGTGGCGAGAGACCATTTTTATCTTGGTTTATCTCTCTGAGCGGAGATTTTACCTGGACGACACAAAAGGCTTGCAAGGATGGCAAGATGGCCAGAGCGGATCGGATTTCTGGCTTGGCTCTTTTCGAGACTTCAGTGATTAAGTCCAGTGGGGTGTATATTTGGCGGGTGGAAGATGTACTCTATCGTGTACTAGCACACTTATGCTGGCTCGCGTCCGGTTCTCGCACGCTCGTAGTTGCTAGGATGTGTATGGTAGAACCAGATCTGAGCTCGCACACACACGGGCCGGGCTAATTGTTTTGGAGCGGCTGTGCTGGATCGAGTGTGTCAAAGCAAGTGTACTAGAGCAAGTGTACTAGCACTATAGATGTGCTGGCACACAGGCACTGGGCTATTTATTCTGAAACGACTGTGTGCTGGAGCGGGTGCGCTGGAACAAGTGTGCGAGCATACATAAGCTAGGCTATTTATTCTGGAGCAAGTTATGCTAGCCTCCGCACAAATCCGCGTACGATTTTCAGCGTACGAAATTGATCGCCCACTCAAATCTGCGTAGGCAGATTGTTGCTCACGGAAACTCGCACACGCTTCAACCCTCGCAGTAAATTTTGAGTGGGCAAAGCTGAGCGAACGCAGAACCACCAAACCAAATTTGAGGCGCGCCACCAGAGTTGCACGCGCGAAGTGAATTGCATAGGAACCACAAACACCACTAGAATTGCAAAAGAACCTCACAAAAACCCGGTTGGCCTAAACCGGGCATAAGTTCATACATGCTACCGTAGCCTCCATGAGCATTACAAGCGACGCTTTAATTTACCAATGCACCCCACATCATTAGAATTCCAGCATCGCCTGCGATGATATAAAGCACCATCACTCCCCCCAATTTATTCATTGTACTTATAGAAACACTGTGATGTACAAAGTAGTGAGTCCGTTTCTGGGATTCTAATCGAAACCAGAAACAGCATCCGTGTCAACTAGTCACGTGCAGGCGTCGTTCTCCAGAGCGATGTCATGCAGGGCGAGTTGATTGGGCGACACATTTTAATATTTCGAATTATTAAACTAAGGGGCGCGCCACCAGAGTAGAGTGGCACACGCGAATAGAATTGCAAAAGAACTACACAAAAACCCGGTTGGCCTAAACCAAGCTCAGTTCATGCAATGCTACCACATCAGCCTCCAAGCGACGCTTTAATTCCAATGCACCCCACGTCACTAGATTTCCGGCCTCGCCTACGATGATATAAAGCACCATCATTCCCCCCAATTTATTCATTGCACTTCAATGGCATCACTGTGATTTGCAAAGGAGTGGGTCGGTTTCTGGAATGTTCTATTCCAAATCTGAAACAGCATACGTGTTCACTAGTCACGTGCCGGAGTTGTTCTCCAGCGTGATGTCCGTGCAGGGCGACTTGATTGGGCGACATATTTTAATATTTTCGAATTATTAAACTGAGCTAAGGGGTACAAATACCCCCTTCGCGACGCTGGTCCACTGTCCTCACCGTCTCTTCCTTATAGTCAAAAACACGTTTCACCTTCTAAGACAAAATGGCCTTTAACATTGAACAGATTAGAGAGAAAATTATCCAAGCTACCCAATCTGCGGACGTTGGCGAGGTTCATAGGCCAACCCAACCGGATTCTGCCTTCATAAATGTGGCTAATCCGTGCATAGATAATTCGAGACATACTGAAGATTCCCGAGGTATCTAATGCGTTTTACAACGATCGCGTATACGAGGATTTCGCACCGAAATTTCGAGATATTCTTGCAATTACGTCACCATCAACCCCATCCCCGCACTTCACTGGCAACTTCACTACAACATTACCCGCCCAGGCTTCCCAAAGAAATAGACCAATGCCCCCCAACGACGATAACAGCTCTTCAACCCCAAGGAAACGGAGTGCTTTCGGAGACGAAGATCATTCTAATAATCCAAGAGCACCGAAGTGCATCCGCATCGACGATGGGAGGGGATCAGAATGCTCATCTCAAGAAGTCTCAGCAGTATCTGTTACTTCAACACCCACGGCTCAGAACACAAATGTTGACGACGAGGGAGAGTCAGAATGCTTTTCTAGAGAGCCCTCAAGTACTTTCACGCCTTTGACTCAGTACGAAAGCGACAACGAGAGGGACAAAGAATACCCAGCCATCAGAGGTCAACCTCAAATTCAATCCCAAGAGACCCTGCCCCACGGTGTCCAGACCCAAGGTGCCCAGACCCAAGATGCTCAGACACAAGATTCCCAGCCACAAGATTCCCAGCCACAAGATTCCCAGCCACAACAGAACCAGCCACAACAGAACCAGCCACAACAGACCCAGCCACAACAGGTCCAGCCCCAAGAAGACCAACCCGAAGACGAAGCACCTCAGAACAATCCACCCAGCTCGCTTGACTTTGGGGAAGGGCTCGTTAAAAAGGCTAGAGGTAATTGGGCTCCCAGGCATCTTTCAAAAGCATGGCATATCAGCTATGCTGCCAGAAATCCGATTCAGCCAACAATTGAGATTAAGCCCACGGACTCGGACTTAGAACGACTCAGGAAACTGGCGGAAACTTATGGTAAAACCCATTTTTGGGCTGAGTCTCACAAGAAATTTTCCGCCGTTGCAGCGGCTCTCTATCGTATAGCAATGTCACGAGAGTACGACGCACAAAAAGCATCCACCATTAGCACCGGCAATTCCAACGATTCCATTAAAGACCTAAATGACGAGTTTACTGACATGGTTTTCCCAGAAGCGTTGGGAGAGGGAGAGCTTTGCCTGATCGGTCAGGACGAAGCTACGAAACGTAGAGTACGTGAAAAGAAGAGGCAAAACCTCTATTACCACCTCGATACAGGACGGCAATTACGGAAAGTAGTTGAACGCTTCGGTTATGGAGCGTTAGTGTACCCTAACCTGTCCACCGATGAGTAAGTTTAAAAAATCGACCTTTATTGAAGCTTCCTAACGAGGCACAAGTCTCCATAACAAATTAAGAGGCGATAATCTTGACAAATTTCTGGATTATCTCAGCAAGTGCCAACCAGGCCTCAAAGAAGAATTATCCAACCTATCTTACGTTCTCCCGAAGATGATAGTATTCGGGGCCCCACCTTATTGGATGGAGATCGAAAATATTATGAAAAAAGATCTCAAGCACCATCATAACAGATCGGTCAACGACCTCTTTCCACTGCCCCAAGGTGTTGATTCAGTAATGTGCAAACTGGAGAACGAGGAGTTTATTAAAACAGGCTTTGTTAAGTTTTGGCCTCAACCTCCTGCAGATGGTACAGATGGTTTTGACGATCTGAACGTGATTGACTTGAGCGGCGCCTCTTCGGGTCTATCGAGTCTTACAGGCGCAGGGGAGTCATATCAAGTGCAGCCACAATTGGATGTGCACAATATGGAGCCTCAACATGCGACCGGCGCGCCTCAGAATCTTGATTACCTTGAAGCAGGGAACACCACACTGCCGTGTCTGCTTAATGACCAATTCACGATGAGTAATGAGTCCACAAGCTGAAGATCGTTTGGTAAGGCGGTTTCTGTCCCTGAGGCATTTAGTGTCCAGTGCAACGCGTACTAGCTGTTGTTATCGATACCTTGCTATCATTACCCCGATCAGTTGAGGTATGTCATGCTATTCTGAAGGGGTAGAACCTGCGTGACAACTCGGTTAGAAGCAGGGTTTTGCTTTCTTTTGCGCCGGGCATCCACTTGATGTTATTTGCGATTTGTTGGCGTTGCGGTTATTTGTTAGAAAAAACCGAGGCTTCACATTCTGGTCCATCATGACTGATGGCACTAGCAAATTGTTGGTCACTAGAGTAGGTACGAATAGATGGGAAAGCTCACGGTGGACCAAATCTATGCAATTTATTATTTCGCGACGATGAGGTTTTTCGACGGCTTGAGGCGCTTGCAGATTTTCGAGAGACTGAAATGGGCACATGGCTGGATCGGATTTACTGTGATGGGACCACAGCCAACTCTGATCAACAACAGGGCGCTTCCCTGTTCATTGTTTACTAGGTTGGCCGAGCATCCTGGTACAGACTCGATAATACATTTTCCGTCACCGCTTTCCTTCCCCAAGCTTATCAAGTGGAAGGATTACACCGTTGATGTATATATAGACCATGCCACAGAGAGAAGATGTCAAAAAGTTCTAGTACGTATAGATTGTCGCAATTTTTTCTTTCCTTATTACTTGGTGTACTCTATCTATGACAGCCCACGGATCTAATTTTCACATCTATGAGCCCCTGACTCATTTACTTGATATTCCTTCTCCTTCACCTGCAATCTGAAATCTGGGTCAACTGTCTTAACTGGCAACAACTCTTAAGTATGCATGGTTTCCAATAGACCTTGACGACAACGTCACGGAAGCACGACCGCTCGGGTCGCAAGTTCGGGGCTACCCCGCACCCATAACGACTGAATGAATGAATGAAATTTATTCCGCCCGGGAGGACTAACCTCATAGCACCCATAACGACCTACACACGTGCTTAGTACTGTAGGAAGCCCCTTAAACCTTACATAATCGGACACCTAATTACATGGCAGGTCCCGCTTGCTGTTTGATCATTCAGTGGACATTGAACGCCGGTTCACGTCGACACCGCACATGGCCAGCTGCCGCGAAGAGGCCAGTTCAATTTTCGGGCGTCCGCCTGCCTATGTCAAAACGTCTATAAATACAGCGCCCTTCCACTTGTCCGTCTTCGTCAAGGCAGTACCTATATGCTTAGACCATGACTACCCTTCCTTGCCTTCCTTCCTCAACCCAGAAACGTGACAGAACCAATGAAAACTTCTCTAGGGCCACTCAACGTCTTATGCGTAGATGTAACCAGTTGAGCGATCGCTATAACGCGGATGTCTACATCGTAGTTCGGCGAAATCATCGACATTATGACTATAACTCTACTAATGACCCGTTGTTTCCCACTCCTCTCATTGACATTGTGAAGAAACCTATCCCAGGCACTTACTGTTCGCTAACTCTGTATTAGGAGCAAGCTTATCCGTTGGCTATTAGAAGAACGCCAGCGAGCTTCCAGCAGTCCAGGACTATCACAACCCCATCACCTACGTCCAGTCCAATGGCTAGCCAGCGAGACTCAGAGGAGGACGAAGATGACAAGCAAGATGAGAGAATGGAGATAAAAGAACAAGAGGAGACATCGCCAACGCAGACCGCTGAAATAAGAGGCAGAAATAGCTCGTAAGTCTAGTGCCTCTAGTCAGTAAAACGCTTTGAATCTATATTTGCTCTCTATGCTAGTTCCAAAATGCCGGGGCGCCCGCACAGTCCTCTTGCAAAAGTTTTAGGCTATTCTAAATCGAGGGAACTCTTAGGATACCGTACCATGAACCCTCATGGCATGGTTCTGTACATGCATCTTATGCTGTAGGTCTAGGTCACAAACCTCACACCGAGAGGGAGTATTATCAGGCAGCTGATTAAGATGCCTTCGGCGGAAGTGCTTCGACAGGTCACCGGAAGTGTAAAACTCATGGGTGAGCTCGCTCACACGAGGGTCGTTTGGTTCAAGAGAGAGTGCAGCACCGATGCACAGAAAACATCTCCTCGGCCTCTCCATCTCGTTTTTGACGAATACAGAGAGCACGGCGATACCCACAGGGCTATCTTCCGATGGGCCACAATAAGAACTGGACACGGCTCCTTCGCTGCCGAGACATTGGTTCGACGTGCGGTACGGCCTTCTACCACGCTGCAGTAAGCGACGATGGCGTCGATGAGGTTGTCCCTGCGTCTATAATATCCTTCGAGAGTGTTATCGACTGGGGCGGTCAGCGCTTCAACTAGGCGCTTCTGTGCTGGACGCTGAGGGGGACAGGTTGCATCTACGGCCATGGTTTGGGGAACCCGCGGCCCTGGAGTTGGGATTGGATATCATCCACAGCCTGCTCATCCGTCCAGGCGTCTTTGATTGTTGTAATAGCTCCCTCTTGAGCCTCTGCTTCTCGTTCCTTAGCGTCCGAACGGCGTCCTGGCGTTTCTTCGATCCAGGTGGACAGTCGTCGGACCTGTTCCGTTAGCTTCCTGATGCGAGGGTGTGTTGACAGATGCAGCTTGCTCTGCCGTCAAATCGGTCGGCCGTCCGCTTGCTGTTCGCATGACCGATGCTACAAGCCTGCTTCAGCAGCGCCTGTTGCGGTCTCTGGCCCCGGATGATCGCCCAGGTATCTAGGCGTAGTTGGCGTCCGAGGTAATGCTTCTGGAACGGAACTGAACTGTCGTGGTCGAGCGCTAAGTTGCGGATAGCATCGCTAGCATAGGCTGCAGAGGGGTCAGCTTGGGTAGCAGTCAACAGGTAATAGTGAAACTTACGGCTTCCGTCGAGCTCGTTGCCAGCGTTGTAGCGCAGGCTATAGCAGATGGTAGTATACAGTCGGCCTAATATTTCTCCAATTCTCTTAATCCATGCCGCCATCATGCCATACGTGATGGGTTCTGTCAGTGACATCTCGAAGCCGGTAGCGGTTTTGACGGCACGGCGGAACAAGGGTACGTCATCCAAGTCATCTCGGAGTGGCAAACGCAACTCCCGCTCGTCAGGGTGGATGTCCAAGTTGTCCAGCTGCGCAGCTGAGACGAGGTTAGATGCCTGAAAGGCTCGATGCCGGAACAAGATGCCCAAGAGGAAGGCATGGGGGCTAAGAAGTAAGGTTGGATCAAACATTGTCTCGGGGACGGTAAATGTCTTGCTGTTACAGGTCAGCATCCTCCGTATCAAGGTAGACCAGCTCGTCAGATGGATATCACCTACGCGTCCTTGGTACCGAGGTACGTCTTGGTAAACTCCGGCGTGAACTGGATAAGAAGTTTGTGGGGTCCTCCTTCAGGGTCTCTTGCCAATACAACTCGAATGTCTCTAAACCGGAGCCGCAAGATGGCCAGGGACGAGCACCGGCAGGAGCAAGCAGGAGAAGGAACAAAACCGCAAGAATCCGGAGCTCTCCGAGATCAAAAGACTTTCTCGTCGTGCTCACCGTTGCTTCAATTTGCTCCTTGAGGTCATCGATCGTCATGCAGCGGTTCTCCCTCTTCTTTGTGCTCAGGTCATGATCCTTTGCCAGCTTTCGAAGGACCTGCGGTCGTTAGAGAAGAATGGGCTGTAGTGGGCTCGGAGACATACCCTATGCATCTGACGATTCATTTTCGGGTCGAGCTTTGTACCCACGGCCCTCTCATATACAAGTCGGAAGACCTTCCAGGTTGTGCCCAGTGCACTGCTTGTTTTGATGCCCTTCATCTTCCTATCATCCTTGCCAGTCTTCAGGTCTAGGCGCCATGTGAAGAAGCTTGCGAGTATACCGACGGAAACGGATTGGAGGCATTCATGGGGATTGCCAAATTTGTTCTTATTGCAGAAGCTAGAGTTGTGTACAGTATCGTTAGCGAGAGCCAAGGTAGATGGATTTCTGGGACATTACAGCTGCCAGTGTTCCTCAACCGCGTTGAGGAGTTTCTCAGTCCCAGTACTGTAGTCTTGACCGTCAAGAGCACCCTCATTGACCTCTGCCGCTATCCGCTGGTAATACTCTGGAGGGTGGACGTTGTCAAGGAGCTGAGTAAGATCATCGACGTCAACATGGTCGTCAACATCATCAAAGGGGTTGATCTCGGTGATGTCGGTCTCTGCGTCAGACGCTTCATCTTCGTTCACGTCAAAGATAGTGTCATCCTCGGGCGAGAACGATGCGTCTGAATCGTCTGCATCGTCAAATAAACGCTGGTGGCGCCGCATATTAAAGAGGGTTTGAAGATGTAGACGAGGATCTTGGATCGTGGAGACGATGCGAGTAGCGGATGAGTGAAGCCGATGCTGCCTCCGTTTCTAAGACAAAAGAAAGAGAGGGAAGGGAGGTGAGCACACTGCCCTTCGCGGGAGCGGGCTACTTTTAATAGTCGAGGGAGCCATTTCTGGCTCTGTTGCTGACGGTAATACATTCTGGACGAGAGGCCCAATTCAGGGCACTAGCTCAGTGGAGCAAAATTATTTTGGGTGGTACATTGGGGGTACACTACCAGCAATACCAATGTGGATCGAGCCCGGGTGGACCTTTAAAGCGGCGACGAATTGCTGGCAAAATCGCCGCTATGTGTGGAGGCAGAACCTGCCAGATTTGGCGGCAAATACGCCGTCTCATTGTTAAAGGTAGTTTAATAATCTAATAATTTAAGTAAAGAAATTTCTAGATATTATTATTAATATAATTACCTATTAGCTTTTTACTTTTTATATAATTTAGTATATTCTTCTTTTTAAAAACTTTCTTAAGAATCTTTAATATAAGTAAAAAAATAAGTAAAAGAAGTTAGTATTAAAAGAAAAGAAATTAAATAGTAAAATACTACTTTATCTTAAAAATAAAAATAAACTTAAAAAGAAAAATTAAATTATTATTTCCTTATTTAATAAGGTTTTATAATACTTTAAGTATATTCTAATTACTTTTAAAAATAATAGTTAGTAGTATAAGTAGAAAAAAGAATATATTAAGATATATAGATATTTATAGAATATTTTACTTAACTATAAATACCTTCTTAATAAAATAAAGGTATATAAAACTGCTATTTATTAATATTTTAATTTTAAGTATTTTAAGATTAATATTAACTTCTATTAAAAAAAGCTTAATAAGTATTACTTATAGCTTAATAAGATACTAATTTATTATATTATTAGGGATATTTTAAGAATATATAAATAAACTACTTAAATTAAATTTAAAATATAAAATCTCTTATAGAAGAATTAGATTAATCTTATTATAAGCTGTAAATTATCTCTTAAAATTAAGAATATAATAAGCTAGTTATAAAAAAGTAGTATATATATTAAAATTCCTTTAATAAATATTATAAAAAATCTTATTAAGCTTTAATTTTATTATAACTACTTTTATTAATAACTATCTTATTATAAGCTAAGAATATAACTAGTAATTTTATATATACTATTAATAATAAATATAATAATTAATTCCATAATATTTATAAATCTAACTAGAATATTTTAGATTCTATTAGCTATTAGTATAAGAAATAAAAAAAGTATTTATATTTATTATAAATAGCTCTTAATATACTTTCTATTCTTTTTATATCTACTAATATTAAGAGGCTCTTTTTAATATATAATTAAATAATTTAAGATAATTAGGCTAGGCTGGATATTAGTATAATTAGAATAATATAAATAGTAAGATTATAGTTTTATAAAGATTATATTAAGAATATAAAGAAGCTTTTTAAAGATATTAAAATATTAGAAATTAATCTATTAGTTAAAATAAGCTTTATAAAAGCCTAGAAGATAATAAATAGAAGGATTATATATACTATCTTTTTATAGTATCTATATATTTCTATTTCTATATCTACTTATTTTACAAGCTTACTTTTAATATCTATTTCTATCTATTTTATTTAAGGTAGGCTTAAATAAATATCTATCTATTCTATAAGAGGCTGTATAAATAGAATAAAATAGACTACTAGCCTATTACTAGATAGTATTATATTTATTTACTTTAGGTATTTTCTAACTTTTTTTAGTAGTATTCTTACTTACTGCTACTTAATTATTGCTAGTTTTATTCTTATAGATTTTACTTAATATAATAGCTTATTTAATTTATATTTTCTTTTAGTAGCCTTCTAGGCTGCTACTTTTATTTTTAATTTTAATATAAAGTCTTCTTCCCCGGCTAGAACCTATATTATCTAGAGAAAGTTACTCTTATCTTTAAGATACTTAATATAGTTATAGATATACCAAATAGTCTATTAGTTAGATTATTATTATAGCTGCTATATAACTTTTAGAATAGAGTAGCTGCTTATTATAATAGTTAGGTTTTATTAATATAATTTATATAGTATATATCTCAGGGCTATTTCTATAATACTAAGCTTAGTAATATATAAATTTAGCTTCTCTCTTAATTTAAGAATAATAGAGTAGCTAGCTATTATTTTATTAGTATTATTTATAGCTATATTTTAAATAATATCTTTTATACTTACTATACCCCCTCTTTATAAGAAGCTAGTAGTAATAATTATACTATCTACTTTCTTTAATACTTCTACTATTCTCTTTTAATTAGAATTATATAATATCAGAATATAATTTCTCTATAGTAATAATGTATACTCCTAAATAATCTCTATTTATTTAGTAGCTATCTCCTCTTAAATTTAAGTAATTCTCTATATTAATAATATAAATTAGCAGTATATTTTTACTTTTAATATTACTAATAGATATATTCTAGAAAGAGTCCAGAGATTAATTTAAAATCTTATTACTACCTGTATATACTATTTTTATATTAATTAAATACTAGCTTTAGCTTTTACTATTACTATTACTATAATCTAATAAGCTTTTGTAATTACTTATACTCTAACTATCTATATCTTATCTAACTAAGCTACTTTTTTAATACTATATAAGTATATCTATATACTAAATATATAGTCTATAATAAAAGCTACTATTACTATAAATAGCTATCTTACTATTTATAGTAATAGTATCTTTAGTCTTTTTAAATATATAGCAGTTAAAAGCCTTTTTATAGTAGCTCTAGCTATATATTTCTTATACTATAGCTTTATATATATAACTATACTTAGAAACTTAGTGCTTATCTTTAATTTAGCTACTTTTTCTTTAATAATAAATAGTATATTACTAGTATATACTTTAGTAGCAAAAAGAAACAGAAAATAACACTTAACTTATTAACTTACCCTAGGGGAAATATATAAAGAGTTATTATATAGATATCTTAGCCGGTTAGCCCGAAGCTATACCAGATTATATATATAAGGTCGGATTAACCTAAGACTTATATCTTCTAATAGGGAAGTATTTTATAAGATAGAATATCGAGTCGGTTATAGAAAAGTTTGCTAGTAAGGTATTAATAGAGCCTGTAGTAGCCTGATATCTAAGGGAAATTAAAGATAGAGGTTAGATAGGGAATATAGTAATAGTAAGAAGGTTTAAATAAATCTCTTAAAAATAAAGGCAATTAATTAATTAACTCTCTAGTAGCCTCGAGTTCTTCTAGCCTCTTTAACTTCTAGAAAGAATCTCTAATAAAAGGAAAAATAATAATTTTTCCCTAATAGTAGTACTAGCCTCCCCTTTTAACCCCACCCGGGTAACTTTAGAGATATCCCTGCTAGTAACTAGCTAGCCTAAGCATCCCTAACTGCCTATTATAGTATAATATTTTGCATGAAATTTATAATAGCAGTTTTATCTCCTTTAAATATTATATTACTCTATCTTTCCTAATTTAGTACTTTATTTATAATTAATTAGATACCTACTTAATTCTCCTTTACTATTAATCTAATTACTTAGGCTAAGTAATTATTTATAAATACTATTAAACTACCTTTTATATTAATTCTTTTTATACTAAGTTTATATTAAAGAATAGAAATAATACTAGTAATAGCAGTAATTCTTATAAAAAACCTGCCTATAGTAACTCCTATAGTTATAATATATACCTATTTACTATTATAGTAGCTATTTACCTAGAGTAAAAGGCATTAATTATCTTATTAGCCCTTTAGATATACCTCTTGCCTTTAGTATCTTTAGTAGTTACTTCTTAAATACTCTATTATAAGTATCTTTAATATTAAAATTAATTAAATTAAGTACCCTACTAGCCCTCTATACCTTATAGATATACTTCTATAGTAGTATTAGAGCCTATTTAGCTAATCTTTACTTTCTTACTCTAAAATAATTTATAGGTAGCAGTTTATAGCTCTCTACTATATAGAATATCTACTCTATAATAACTACCTTAAGTATCTTACTCAGTATTAATAGTAGCAATATTAATTTCTAAAACTTAGCTATTATATAGTTTTCTTTATTTACTTTTTTTAATAGAATAAGTTTTATATTTCTCTATTAGTAGAGTATTATACTATTTCTAAGAAATATATTAAAGAGGTAAAAGATATAGTATATAATTACTAGCTAAAGCTGCTTTTATATTATTACTAGTAGACTATTCTCTTAGGTACTTTTTAAGATTTTACTATTAGTATTTTTTCTTTAACTTCTTCTATAATAAGAGTTAGTATATATACTTTACTTATTATAATTAATTACCTTTATCTTTAATTCTAACTAATAACTATAAAAAGAATATACTAAATAACTCCTCTACCTACTCTATTTTATCTTTTATAGTAAAGCTATCTTATTTCTTTAAAAGGGATACTCTATTATCTATAATATTCTTTCTAGGTTTTAAGTACTTAGCTGCCTTTTATATATTAATATCTTCTACTAAGAACTTATTCTAGTATAGTTTCTTCTATTTCCAAATAGTATTATAGTATTTTTTGGATAATTCCTTAGCCTATCTTTCTAGGTCGGGCTTTGCCTAACCTACTCGCTACTATACTCTAGCCTGATTTCGCCAGAATATATATACCTACTAAAGTCTTATTAAATTCTTTATCCACCAGCACTTTATATACAATACTAGTTATATATTACAGCTTAGTCCCCCGTAAGCTCTATAAGGCAGCTAGTACACCTGCTTGATTGCTACAATTGCGATCAAGGCCCAATCTTTTGCCCGTGGCATAACAGTCTAGGTGCCCGTTACTGTAACTAGCCGTCACATTATACTCGAGGCATCAGCTTGTATATTGTGTCGAGGACGACCCTCATTAACTGCTCTGTCTGCTACACGCTGACAGTCCAGGGAAGCTCTTAGAAATTATCCTCCACCCTGGTTCTAATTGTTATCCATAATGCATTTTTGAATAATAGTCTTTCTGTAACGATCTATTTAGGTATTGCAGCATCAAATGTCATTTGGATTGCCTGGTAGTCCGATTTGTATTCTATCAGGTATATAGAGTAGGTTACTATTTTATTTGCTACCTCTGCTATTACTAGCACCAGGTTAATTATACTTTCCTTGTTAGAGCCTTGCTATATCTTCATGCCTCTCGAGAGGAGGCTGTAAAGGCTATATTTATAAATAAGATTGATAATCAGTTTAGCCTTAGCTTATCTTACTAAAGGTATATCATCTCCTTCTTATAGCTAGTTATATTAATTAAAATCTTTAATAAGTATAGTATCTACTACTATCTTTATTCTATCTCTAAGATTAAGAATTAACTAATATAAGATATAATATATATTTTAAAGTATCTAGAACTTACCTCCCAGTATATATATTAATATAATTAATACTATTTAGTCTAGAAGTTGTATAGTTGCTGCTATTAAGTCCGGGGACTGTATTAATACTTATTTAGCCTCTAGATTCCTATTTACCTATAATATACTCTAGATTATCTATTTACTATCTCTCCAAATTATAAGAACTATTTTAATCTATTTAAAATATTCTATAGAGATTATTAATAGTATATTATTATATTTTTATACTGGCAGTTCTTAGATTGCTAAAACTACAAAATCTTATATTTATTTATTATTTATTAGGCTTTTATATACTATATTCTATTTTCTTATATTCAGTTAAACTACCTAAAGTATCCTATTTATATCAAGTAGAGTAGAATTTCAAGCAGCTCCTACTAAATAACTTATATAGCCCACTACAGAATATACACTTAGATACCTATATCTAACACTCACTATAATAATAGCCTTTGGCGGTGCATCTTGCATATACTCGATTCTTGCTGCATGAGAATGCCTTATAGCCGAGCTCCTGGCAGTTATAGCATTATATCGGTCCTATTCTTTATTTGAATATGCTAGTATAAGCTGATTTACCTGCAATATAGAAGTACCATTCCTGTAGAAGCCTCTTAGCATTGCTATTTTTAGTAAGGTATACTACCATGGATCCATAGGCCTTTGCGCTGACTTTTCTACTCAGCTAGGCCATCTTGGCAATCTGGACTCGTTCTCCTAGCCCAAGGCTTCTATTGCTCTAGGAAGGACCTTGCCTTCCTGGTCGAGGACGGCGGTACGGCTGATATTGTCAACTTTGACTGGGTATAGTTAGTCTCGGAGGACTCTCGCACCTGGCGCCTTCTTGGCCTCGATGATAGCCTTAATCCTCTTCAGTTCTTCCTCGTTCCTGCCGATGACCCTCAGGCGGTTGGTATTTCGTCAAGCTTGAACTCTGCCTTTATGGTTTCAATTCTCTTACGAAACTCTTGTTCCAGGAGTTATTTTAGACCCTGGATTACCTCGGTCATACTGTCGGCCGCCTTAAGCGTAGTCCTTTTCTTAGTTCGATTGTTCCTCGGCACCCCCTCACTGCTCTCCTCCTCCGCCCATTCCATGTCACGTTCTTGTTGTTTCGATTCCATTGCCCTTATTGTTCTGGCTCTTTTACGCAGGGGACGATGATGTCCCACCCGGAACGTCCGGTTCGCGTTCCATGACGACGATGACGTCTGAAGCGGAGTTCGCAGCACCAGACATCCACCAAAGACCAGAATCACCGCCAAACGGTTACCAAGTATTCCAAAAGATATAAAGAAGATCAATAATGAGATTTCGAGCGGGAAGGTGATAGATTACGTTATGGGGAGCCAGCAGATCGGATCATCTTAGCCATACGGTCTCAACACTTAGACACAAGAAATCAACAATCAGCAATTTACTGCGCAATCCAACAACAAGACTAAGCCAGTCTAAGGCATTTCCACAAGCAGCCGTCAGTCTTTGCCGAGATCATAGACCCTTTACGCCGATCTTCAAGTAATTCGGATCCTTCAGACGATTCTGAAACTCCTCAGAGCGCAAATCCTCGACGTCCCAAGCAGCCCAGACAAAGCGACCGTGCAAAAATTCCGCTTCACGAGTCGCAGCCCATACAGCAAAGTGTCCCCCCAAATTCCCTACAATAAATGTTATAATTGATGTATATCGCATGCGGGCGCAAGAAAAGGGGGTTGATAAGAAAGTGGCACAGAAATTGTCTTACCGTCGTACCACTCGATGATGTCTTCGCTAAACCCCTGCTTCCTCGCTGCTTCAGTAAAAACTTCACCGGGATGGAACGATATGATTTGCATCGACTCCGGCTTTACGTCCTTGGCGATCTGCTGGACTAGGAGCGTCCCGGAGTTCTTGGTCAGACCATACGAAGGTCTGGCACCTTCCGCATCCCACACGTAGATGCCTTGGGTAGAGACATTGATTAGGAACTGCAGGCCCCAAATGTTAGCTGTCCATTAGGTATAGGTCATGGGGCTGTCTTCTGCTTAAGATACTCATCTCCGTCGCGGTACCTTCTGCTTCTCGTGCTTCTCTTGCTTGTAGAACCGCTCAGTGTGGTCCAGCACCGCCCTCACGTTTGTGGTAAAACTCGACCAGATCATGTCAAGCCCACTGCTCAAAATTGGTTCTCCAGGTCCGTAACGTGCAGCGCTGAGCACAAGGACATCGACAGTGATTCCCTCCTTGCGCAGATTCGACCAGAGTGCGCCAGCCTCGTCCAGATTGGCGACATCGCAAAAACGGGCATCGATGACTGTCTTCGGACTGATCTCTTTGATTTCCTCCCTGATTTTTGAAGCTGCGGCAAGGAGGGGTCCTTGGCGAATGTCTACAATGATGACTCTCAAAGCTGAGGCTTGCGCGAAAGCTCTGGCGATGAAAAACCCGACGCCTTCGGCTGCGCCTGCGATTAGGATGGTCTTTCCATCCTGGTTCAGTTCAGACCGAAAGGGTGAAATAGCCGGATAGGGTCGCTTGTAAACTCTCGGAACAACCTTTGGAATGGCAATAAGCCGCTCTAAATCTTGATTGACCATTTTCGATGTGATAGACGACGTATCAGACTGCCCAAGTTGCTTGAAGTTGATTGTATACTAGACACTAGCGGGTAGTGGACGTCTTTAAGATATTTATAATCGACAGCAAACTATGTTATCGAGTAACTATAGTGGTGCTGGACGCCTCGAGCGGATATTGTAATTGTCTTTCCTGACAGCGAAGGTGCGGACTTTTCATCTCCGCTAAAGTTTACGAAAGTCCGCTTCGCCGCCTGCGGGCTCCATCGAGGAGTCCAACGGAGGGAACCGACTGAGCACTAGTATCCCAGGTCACAGCGCCGAGCACCGAACACCGAACGACGTAACTCCTTGGAGCACAGCCGAATCGGCCTCGGACCCACCGGCGAACTTCCCTAGGGTCAATTGCTGGAAGAGAACCTGGAAAGCCCTCCACCGAAAACTCCAGCGGAAGCTGTCGAAGACGGCAAGATGTGCCGTGACATACTGGTCGCGGCTCGCCCTGCCATCGCCGCATGTAGCAGCAAGTTTAGCGTTGGCGTTGATGATGACAGCATCAATACCTACTACACGGGTTCCGTCCACCAGGGCACCAAAGACGAAGTCCCACCAACTTCAAATGTGCATTACGAACAGGGCGTCTTTGCTCACATCCTCCCGCCATACTGGACGGCCGATCATGTCGTGAATGATGTCGGCGACCGAGGCGTCTCCATCTAAGCGTTCAATGAGTCACGCACAATTCCGAGGATGGAAGTCGGTCGAGTTCCTCACCATTCCGGACACAACATATCAGCCGATCGACTTCGCCACCCTGAAAAGCTATCTAACGTCGGTCCCGGCCCAACCGGCACCTGTCAGATCTGTCGTTCCCGTCTGATTGGGTCAATTGATTGAATTGCTCCACCGTGCCCCTATTTCGGTGCTAGTGCTGGATTTCCATGACACCTTGTGCACTTATGTATCTAATGAGGTATAAGTGTATCGCTCGCTTATCATATACGTTAATTAATATTAGTATTTTTCAATACTAATTGGTATATACTAATACTAAACTAATTAGTATCAGTATCCCACCCTGTGCCTAGCGACGGGTGTGGTGGTAATAGAGAAGTAACCACTGTCACAATGCTGATAAGCGCTGATATCCCGGATAGGACCCTGTTGGATCCGTTACGGTTAATTCGATCAAAGGGATAGGGATCAATGTAGTGATGATGATGTTGATTGTTGCTTGTGCCGGTCATCCGGACCAGCTGGAAGAGGGGTAATCAGACCCCCCTTCTGACTAAGGTCAGGATATCAATCTATCAGAGGTTTCGTAATACAGGGTCACAATCCAACAGACCCCGTAAGCCCTAGTTAAGTAAGGGAGGTCTCGGTTGAAGTCTCCAACCGGCCTCTTCCTCGTCAAACTCGTGAATCGGGAAAAACCCTCGATTAATGCGACTATAAGAACTGGATTAAATTGCTAGAGGGCAACCAGATCCTGTAAGAATACTCAGTTTGAATATAGGAAAAAAAGAAAGATAGTTAGAAGTATATATCTAATTAATATAGCTAGCAGTAGAACTTTAGCTATAGTAATTAGAATAATTTAATTAGTAAAGATATAATATAATAATTTTCTTAATATAAAGATATTTATTAAAAATTAAAATAATTTAATTAGGCTAAATAATTAATAATAATAAAAAAATATTATAAAAAGGTATTTTATTTATAAAATTATTAGTTATTTATACTATAGGTTATTTACTTCTATTTATTTATTTAATAAGAAATATCTAAGAATTTCCTATTTAATAGCTTTTAATAGTAAATATTTCTATTAATAAAAATATAAATAATAAAAAGTATACTAATTATAATTTTTATAGATAATTTTAAAAATCTAATAATAGTAAAAAAAAAAGAGTAATTAGAGATTATAACTTTTTATTAAAAATATCTATTTTAATAATTTAGTAGCAAAAAGAGATAAAAATAACACCCAACTTATTAACTTATTCTAGGGGATTTACATAGAGAGTCGTCATACAGGCATCTTAGCCAGTCAGCCCGAAGCTATACTAGATTATATATATAAGGTTAGATTAATTTAAGGCTTATATCTCCTAGTAGGAAAATATCTTATAAGATTGAATATTAGGTTAGTTATAGAAAAGTTTGCTAGTAAGGTATTAATTGAGCCTGCAGTAGCCTAATATCTAGAGGAAGTTAAAGATAGAGGTTGGATATAAATTGTAGTAATAGTAAAAATAAACTTAAATAACTCTCTTAAAATTAAAGATAAAAAAAAATAGATTCTTAAGCTATTTAAAGGCCTACTAGCCTCTTTAATATCCTACTTAAATTTCTAAAAAATTAAAAACTAATAATTTCTTCTTTTAATATAGGTTTCTTTTCTCTTTTTTAATTTAATTTAAGCTATTCTAAAAATATCCCTACTAGTAATTAGCTAGCTTATATTACGACCCATGTCGAACTAGGCCCCGACCACGTCACATACGCTAACAGCATACCCACTTATCCCCTCCTATCACAGATAGATCACCCCGATCATTAGATGATCCAAGTGATCCAGGGACATGAGAATCATTAGGATCATTAGATGATCCTCATGATCCGTCAACCCACCGTAACTATATAGTCGATTGAGTAGTGCACATTCACCATGTACAGCTACTCAGCTATCAATACAACTTGGTTACCTCAATCACCTTGACTCGCTACGCCTCATTGTGCTTGACTATTACCAGACGTAACACTTCCTCTGTAAGTGACGCCCTAACCGCTCTGCTAACATAAACCTACGGTTTATCCACCAACAACCAATCTTTTGCCTACCCTAGACCACGTCTACGGCAGACCAGAAGACACGACCGTTATATTAAGGCTAAAGAGAATATCTAAATAAATAATATTTATTCCTACTAGTAGCTTAAGAAGCCTCTTATAAGAAAACTATATATTTATATGCAAAATATACTAATTTCTACTATCTAAAACTTTAAAAAATTACTCCTCCAAATCTGAGATTCTTATATTACTCAGAACCTTTACAGCCAACCCCGAGCTATAATAAACCAAAAGACTGCTATTCTATTGAATCTTGGGTCTCTACATAGCAGCAAGACTACAAGATCATTATCATTATCAATAACAACAATAACACGTTCATCAACGCCATCATCAACAGCTTCAACCACTGTAAGGCAGAGCCGAAGCCGTCATAATACATAGCAGCTGAATCCGAGTATCCGTCGCACCCGCACACAAGCCGAGATCGAGGCGAATTTGCCCATATCACTGGCTTCAACGCCGTTACAGACACAAGCTTCAACGCCGTTATCAACTCGATCACGAACAGCTACAAATACAAGGGGAAGGGGAATACGAGGCAGACGCGGAAGGGGGAGCCGGGCTAGCTCAAGGCCATCTGCAACACCAACGCCGTCTGACGATAACTTTCTTCCGGCTACTCAATCGCCTCTACGAGATGAGATTGTGGTCAGGTCGTTGGATCTAGGCTAAGAGATTTTTGCGTGATTCTTGGTTACCTCTAGGATGGAATGCGATTATGTTTGAAAAGAAATGTCATTGCCATTCTCCTCTCACCTTATCTAGATCAAACGCTTCCTACGTTAGTTACCCCATTAGCTGATTGACCCCTGTTACAAAATTAGCAAAATTAACTACAAACTTTAAATGCAAATAAGAAAACAGCCAAGCGTCCTAATTTGTCACGGCCTGGCCCACCTGTGAATATGAAAGGCTTAAAAGAGCAGTTAGCATGCCTGGTAATTGCGTTCAGACCGCCTGGTTGTGGCCTGGGCTGTAATATTGCACTCTTAGTTGACATAATGGCTCTGGCTTGGAAGATGTGGATGGAGGGGCTCGCGCTGTGGCTATTAAACCCTGATAAGTCTAGAGTTTAACAATCGACATCATTTTCGTTATAATACTAGGTGGAATTAAGCTCTATGCAATATGGCGAGCTTGACGAGCAAATAGTGGAGGATGCGGACTGGTTGCCACGATGCAGCTCGGCCTGACTCACAGTGCAATAGAGGCACGTGCTATTGATTCTTGTCAGACGGAGGATGCCGGCCACAGTGCTAGCCTAAGGCAGGAAGGTGGCGGCAGCCCGATAACGAGGAAACCCCTCATAGACTGAGGGATCAAGCAATTGCATCATACTAGCTGTGATAACTGCCGAAATAACACATCTTCAACCCTCTATTTAAAACAGCCTATTTTGGCCTAATCTATCGTCTTTTTCCCTATGCCATAACGCCTATTAATTCAGCCCGAGAGACCGCTCGCCGCCAGTTATATATTTGATAATTCTAGAATGTTATATGGCGTCATATACTGTAAACTTACCAGCGTGGTTAGGTTCTCTTAACCGTCTTATCGGCCTAGGTTTTTGCCACACCAAGCCAGTAGAGCTAAGCACTTAGTGCATTCTGGCCAATAGGAGTCGCTCCTTATCTCCCCGACGCCCCGAGAAAGAACCGAAATTGCTATTCCGATACGATTGACTATGACGATTACCTCCCCGGCATCTCGGGGAGGATAAGTTTAGTTTGCCGCAGGTGAGATATATAATCGGCGGACTGACCACTGTCAGAATGGAGAAACTCCTCCGCTCAGCAAGAACATTACAAGTCCCCTTTGTGCCTCTCCATCCTTATTCTCCCACAGCGACCATGCCCGAGCTCACCGTTCCCGGCGCCGTTCTCCACTACGAGACATTCGGCACGGAGGGTCCCCTTCTCGTCTTCATACCCGGTGCCGACGGCAGCGGTCGTGTATTCCACCCCTCTGCCCAATTTCTCGCCGCCCACTTCACTGTTGTCTGCTGGGACCGCCGCGGGTACTCCCAAAGCTTTCTCGTCGGCCAGCAAGACTTCGAACACCGCCTGCAGACCGACGCCGATGATGCGCAGCGACTGATCATGCACCTCTCTCACAATGGGACCGCCATCGTGTTCGGAACTTCGTCCGGCGCTATCGTTGCCCAACAGCTGCTGGCCAGTCACCCGGAGTGTGTGGCAAAGCTCATCGCCCACGAGCCCCCCGCGTTCTCCGTCCTTCCTAAGGAATTCCAGCCGCAGGCGAACGGACTCATTAACCACATCTACAACACATACAGAGCTCATGGTCCCGATGCAGCTATGGAGGCCTTTGCCTCGGGTCTGTCCGAGGGCCCTGATTCAAAGATGATGCGTCAGTGCATGGATGCAAAACGCGGCGACGAGATCCGTGCAAATTGCCTCTTTTGGTTTGAATTTGAGCTAAGACAGTACACCGGCGCCCCAGTTGATGTTGAAGGCCTTGACAGGGCGAAACAGAAATTGATCCTTGTTGCGGGAGAGGATAGCGGTGATGGGCCAGGTGTGGGACCAATCAAGGCTATCGCCGGACAGACAGGCAAGGAGGTTCTGAGGATTCCTGGCGGCCATCTAGGCTATATGATTGTTCCCGAAATATTTGCGAAGAAACTATTGGAGTTACTTAGCCAGTAGAAGGATACTAAGGACATGTTCCCACGAGCAATGGCGTGGTAGTGTTAATAAAACCCCGCTTTGTAAAAAGTTGTGCCGGATTTATGCTATATTATTGCATGACCCAATCAATGCCCTGAGAGCTGAGCCAGCTTTGCTCAAGCGAGTCCGAGGTGAAAAATTCATTGAAGTCCTCTGCCATTCCTGTCAGCCAGCTTTCGTCGACAGCGGAAGCAGCATCGAACAGTATAGGACCAGCGATTTGGCCGTCGTTGGAGGCGACGGACTGATCTATAAAACCATCAGGATCTTGTATAATTGCGCCTAACTTATCTTATTTTACCGCGAATCTCTTCACTTACCTTGTTTCGCAAATGTAGAAAATCGCAGGCGATATCTCCCCAGTGCTTCTATGCCCTTTGCTGCGGATTCAACGTGTGACTTGTGGAACTCGAATATTTGCAAGGCTCTCTCCCAGGAAGTTTTAGCGGGGTCAAGATCCAGGTTGACTTCCAAATCGGGGCAGAGACTGGCGGCGAGAAGCGTTGATGCAGCTCCGAAAGTAACTATGACACACATGTAAGCTTCCGATTGTATGTGGAACTCTGCGCCCGGAGAGTGGGAGGGGCATTACAGAGAAGCGTGTGCCATGCTGACGTCTGTCTTAAGCTACCTAGGTTTCGATGGACTTCCTCGAGGACTTCATGGCAAGTCGATACGCATAAACGATTTATTTCCCTGAGATAGGACCTTTGAAGAGAACCAGTCGCATTGTTGTTGATCGAACGTTGATTCGAAACGCTTCGTCGTGTTTCGATGAGAAGCGAGGGCCGTAGCAGCAGAAGTCGGATGTACAAAACCCTATCATAGTGAGAGATGCCCCATTTCGGCTCAGGTTGTACTATACCTCGATTTCAAAATCATGGCTTGCATATGGAAGCAACTTGCAGATTCATCTTCAACAGCTCCCATGTCACGGTCAGCTTTAAGATGACCAGGCAAACCCTCGACAAATTGGTCCAATTCCGAGCATAACCTAGGAACATCGCTCAAATACTGGTAAGATGTGGTTGTTTCATCCTGGGCTATGTTTTGGTACCCATGTGAGTAGAACTTGCTCAGAATCTCGTCCAGAACGTCGAATAGCTTCATGTTGTATACGAAGAAGGCTATGCGAGATGGAGAATTCTCAGGTTGACAGCCTCCATCGAATTCTGATAGGTATTCGTCATCAATAGGCTCAGGCAATGGAATAGCATGCGGCCTACAATGAAGGACGGGCCGGCCAAAAGTCGTAGCTGAGAGCCTGAAAACAGTTAGTGGATCATGAAGGCCCATGGATGGCATGGAAGGTACCGATCCAAAGCAACACAGTTGTGCCAAACTCTGCGCCTCATTTCTCGTTTCAATTGGTTTTTGGACGAGGTGGTCTGCTCCAAGTGCAAGCCCAGGCCCTGCGCCACTCTCAGAGCAACACCAACCATGTTCCAACAACGATCGGCATATGTCGTGTAATGCAGATAGATTGCTCGCAGAAGAAGGAGTTGCACTATTTGCAAGGATGAGAAATCAAGGGTCTCGATAGAAATCAGCCGATGAGATCGTCTGTAAAACGAATCGGCAAACTGGTTTCTCTGCGCTGAAGGGATTTGTTCGCTGCGTTGGCATCCAAGGGCCAAGACCATGTTAAGTATCGCGTGAAATACGACATCATCATTCGTTTGCTTGTAATGGTAAGCTGAAGGCATGTCTTGCTGCCATAAATGGTCGTACATGGTAGCAAAGGATGGCCGGTGCAATATAGGGAATACTGGATGTATATAATCCCAGAAACAACGAAAAAGCGCGTCTGCAAACCGACGCTCCGGGAGTGAGACAGGATTCACATCATGAGCGAGACTAGGCGACTGGACTACAGTGAAGCCCAGGAGGTCTGGAATGGTTCTTTCCTTGGGACAAGCTGTTGACTGGGAAGGTTGTGTCGTGCCAATCTCAGGGTCTTGCAGTTGGATTACCTCCTGAAGGAAAGAAATGTTCGAGGATGGGCCGTAGACAATCTCCTCCTCGGCGTCATACGATTGATACATCGCACTTTGCTCCGAAGGAACTGGAATTGCGGCTACAGCTCGGGTCAGCCTTGTAGATACATTCGCCAAATACAGGAACTAAATACTGCCAGACGCTGGGGGGGCAACGGCGACATTCCGGCGCGGGTGCGGATCCCCTAGGACTTTTACTTCTAAGCTTTGAAGTCGGCTGTTGACGTCGGAAAGAGTTCTGCAAGAGGTCAGGAAGGGCTGTCCGAATAGCAAAGAGACTCACGGGGTTGTTGAGCTTGAGGCTCTCTCCTGGTAGGCGCACTGGTCTCCCAAAGTCTTCATGCTGCACGAAGTGCAGACTGGCCGGCGCCCATCGCAGCCAGTCCAGGCTGGCGGTCCATTCCATTTCCATCCACGCAGCCTCTTGTAGAATGGATGGACGTCCATTTAGGCCCACCTTGAATGGAATGGATGGAAATGGACGCTAAGAGTGGGTCCGTGGAATGGATGGACGTGGAAATGGAAATGCGTGGACGCTATAAAGGGACAGTACACGTGATCCTCCCACCCGTTGCCTCCCGGGCTTCCGCAAAGCTCATTTCAGCCAACAGATCAGTCCCCGGCATCTTGATCTCTTCAAGGAGCTTCTCCGTGCTCTTAATATAGCCTCTGCAAAGCTATGATCTTACCGTTTGTGTCATCCCGATCGTACTAGCGTCCAACCTGGCCCGATCGTCTCGAACCATTTAACTGTATGTTGAGAAGAGCCTCTTAACATTAGCAGACATAGGAAGGACAGAGAGCATATCGAGAGCTATTTGTAATAGACGTGGATACTCCTCCCGTCTCTCATACCAATAGCTAATAGGATCTAGGATATTCTGGTCGGACTTGTGGACATTACGGAACCAATCGCTATATTCGTTGCCAACAGCATGCGCAGAACTGCTAGCTACATCCTCGACTTGCAATAAGGTGGTCATCAATAAAGGTGGCTGTAATAGAGTCGGGGCCTGATGAGATTCTTTACGATACTCGTCAAAGGGATTCCGATATATGCGCCGCTTCTTCGTAACCGGCTCGCCGCGTTCTCGATGTCGAGAGATAATTCGCGGCTCGTAGTGAGACTGGTATAATTCTTCTACAAGGGACTTTGCAGTTTGGATCCAGTCTGGGCGGTCCGCCCATACGTCCTCGAAATATCCCCAACGATATGCTGGGTGAAGCGTAATAGCGGCATAATAAGCCGGCATCTCGTCAAGCTGCGAGTAGTACTTGTTAAGCTTTTTCCAATAGAGGTTAATATTAACCTTAAAGTGCTCGGGATCGGGATATTGATGGGCAGCAGCCTTAAATACCTCCATTTTACTAAGGAGGTATTCATAGCCAAGCAGGATATCCCATGGACACCCATATGCCTCAATATATCCTTCCTTCCGCTTGCGCTGCTGACTGTCGCCTTCAAGAGTAATCAGGACGTGCTCGAAGTGTTAAAGGACCTCGTTGAATAAGGAAATAATAGCCCAGTCCTTCTCCTCGAGTTTGTTCTCGTCCCTGAGGCAAAGCGGCACCTTGCTACTTAACTTCTTTCCCCTTAATACTAACCCCTCCCACTCGCTCTTCTACTCATACCAAAGGTCCTCGAGGAAGTCTTTAAGGAGAAGGGCATGCCGAATCATATAAAAAGTGGAAAGCCAACGGGTAACCACATCAATAATAACATCTAGAGGTTTCTTCGCTCAAACCACTGGATCGTCAGACTTGCTGTACGCAGTAAGCTGAAGAGACCGGAGGAGATTGGTAAGCGAGTCTAAGCGGTGGATCCAGAAGATGAGGTTATGAAGTTTCCCAACTGGTCCTTTTCTTCTCCATAGCTCGTAGGCCTTCGCGTCAAGGGTCTCGTTCCCTTAGATATCGTCCTTGAAAGCCTCGGAATTATGGCCAAAAAGAAGTGCCTTAACGGCAAGATTGAGGATATAGCTAAAGCAGCGCAATCGCCGAGTTTTACCCTCGAAACCGAGTATCTTCCCAATTTCATCCATCGCCATGTCGTTATTGCTGGCGTTATTGAGTGTGAAATATCCCACCTTGTGGGTAATGCCATAGCTTCAAAGGACCTCGACAACATGGGCGGCGATATTATCCCTAGAATGGCGGTCAACAAGCTCAGGAAGGCCAAGCACAAGTTTCCTTGGCTGGCCAAGGGTGTTGAGAAAGTAGCAATAGATTCCATACAAAGCGTGGCGATTATTGGACCTCCAACCATCGAACGCAATATGAAGTAACCCCGGAGTTGTCGCTAATGCTCGCTTGATCTCAGCCTTGTTTTCCTTGTACACCTGAAGAATACGCCTGCGGACGGTATTGTGGGTAATATGCGCTTCGGTTGTCTTCACAAGTAGATTGAGATATTCGAAAGTGGCGTGGAGGTATGGATCTTCACTTTGTTGGAAAGAAGAGTTGCTGTTGATGATCCACGAGACTACCAAACGCTGGAAGACTAGCCGATCAAAACTGCCGATGATCTGGTTTGCTATCTGCTGCTCTTGCGCGTCACGGGTATTTAGCTTCATCATCTCGGCGATATTCCTCGATGGTGTCTTCTTTTTTGCTTTGCTGGGCGGCTTCCGTCTTCCGGAAGGGTCCCAGACCTTGTGGTCATTCTAGAGATAGATCTCCGCGTTCTGCGTACCGCTCGAGGCCGTCGAATGAGGGTTTGGCCTGCGACTGTCAACGCAGACCTTGCAAACCCATCGCCGCTTTGTATCGTCATCGCTCTTCTCGATATCGTAGCCGAATTGCCATATCCACGACGATGTAGATGCGCAGCGTTGGGATTGCGTGTAGCCAGGGAAGTCTTTCCAAGGGAAGAGGCCCCACGAGTTCTTACCCTCTTGGTCCGGCGGCTCGAGCATCATAGAGCTGATAATTGGGCTCTCGGCCATTTCACGCGGTACAGAATGCAGTTGCAAGAATGTATTTGCATGGAGACATTCAAATGCGGCACCTTGATGCAAAATATCCACGACCCTATAACTGTTATATTCTATTTAAAGATACCTTAATTTTGTATGTAAAAATGCCTAGTATATAGGTACTTGAGATCTCTACCAACCATAACCAAGTTGGTCTACCCTGAACTACAGGATATTTTGGGGACTAGGCTAGGACCCCCTTACCAGTCCATACCCCTGCTTCCATTTCCACGCATCCATTCCACGGAACCCTGGCGTGGATGGATGGATTATGTAACGGCCAGCTCCATGGAATGGATGGAAATGGATGCACGGACCATCCATTTCCACGCCGTGGATGCGTGGACGGTGGACGTGGAATGGATCGCCAGCCTGAGCCAGTCTTGCGAGCACGGCAGGGATTGCATGCTAGTTGAGTCCTTTGCCGCCGCCGTGGCGGTAATACCCTTTGGGTGGACATTATAGAATATCAGGTTGGGTTTATTCCCAACTTTGGTATTGGTTCTCCTTGTTGGTAAGCGCATCCGGGAGCGGGCACAGGCAAAGTTTGTGGAGTGACTGGGTTATTAACGGGCCGCCTTCAACCCTACTTTGATCGTCCTGAATCATCCGGCACGTGACACATACAGTTGTCAGACACGTGACCTGCTTGTTGGTCAAACGGTTCTGAATTGCTGCTCGTAACACACAGTGACATTGATGTAATAAGGGGCCAAGTTGGCTAGCTCAATTGATGATATCTATAGCTGTAATAGAGCCGAATTCTTGCTTGTACCGTCTGATCAGATAGATGATGATTGATGTGTTCTGTTAAATTGGACTATATTGGAACACCTAGGCGCAGGGTAGTCACGTGATAGCACGGCCGGAATAGGAAGGCGGTCGAGACCGGCTATTGGTGTAGATGCCTCAGGCCCCACTTTTAGTCGTTACATACACACTTAAGGAGGCAAGGCTAGGGAACCTCCTAGCCATACAGATAATACACACACATTACAGAGTTATTAGAGTGGTCACCCAAGCTATCCAACATATTCTATCGTAAGGGGTTTTGTTGGAAAGCTAGTGTGGCACTCAGATAACTTAATTGTATGTATTGTGTGTTACCTCTCAAGGTTCCCTATTATAATAGCTTAAGTCTGCTAAAAGTGGGGGTCTGAGGTATCTACACTAATAGGCTGCTCTAACTGCCTTTCTATTCAGGCTAGACCTACTAGAGGCCTAGTAACTAATTAACTGCACTCTAGATGTCACTATATGTAACAGTCCAACTAAGTATATCGACAACTAGCTGAGCGACTGCAACGAGTATCCTAAAGCTGAAGAGGAAAGAAGAAAGGAAGAAAAGGGGCGCTAGCAAGAGAGCTCCTTAGCTTCCAGTCAATGTGGGTCAAAGTGTTAGTGGGTCGAGAGCGTAGGCCGAGACCTCCTCATGGGACTAGTGTCACGGGCCAGGGCCCATATCCCTGCGGCTGTGCCGCAAGACGTACTTGGCTCGTGCGCGCCAGGGATGAGAAGTCGTTCCACAGCTCAGGGGCACTTAGGACCTTCTTTCTTTCTTCTTCATCTTTGATGTAAATAGCATCCTGGGCTAGATAGCTGGAATACAGTTACTAGAGGCCGTTTACAGGACGCCCTTAAAAAACCGCCGTCAGAGAGGCCATCTTTACACATTTCAGCAGTGTTATCACCAAAACCCCTATCCGGATTGAATTAATTCAATTAATTGAGGCCATCAGATTCGATTGACTTGAATTCCTCTTTTACCGAATTGAGTTGGATTGATTGAGCTTGAATTGGGAAAAATTGGATTGATAGCAGCGCTGGAGGTACGAGCGTGACGCGGTACTGTTTGAGTGGGTATGTTGGGTACATGCGTATACACCTCGGAAAGTATAGGCAGGCGAATGGACAAGCTTGGAGGCGTGCCTCCAGGTTGGGTCTGGAAAAGTGACAAAGGATTATTGCCGGCGAAGGCATGATTCCTAATAACGTGAGCAGCAGCACCAGTGCGCTATCGCGACTAATGTTCATTATCATTGCTGCCTCTTATACCTAATAGGGACTATTTCTCATTCTTCTTCCGGACTCGACAATCCTCCGAGCGCGTCATCGTCTACTGTTCCAGCCATGATATCAGCGAGACGTACCTTCGTCTCAAACGCTTGGTTATATCTCAAGCTGCCAAGGACGAAGTGTAGAGCGGGGGTGACGACCTGGGTGACGCACGCAAGAAAGGTAATGTGGAATTGGAGGCATGTTGGAACACCAGGGCTCCAGGGAGTCACGTGAGAAATAGGGGATTATCAGGACCGACTCGGAGGAGGCCCGCCGAGCCTCCGGCCGGCTAGCCCATATTAGGAAGCAAAGGAAAGCTAGACCTCCCGGGATCTCAAGGGGCGGGAGCCACAGTGAGGAGATACACAATGCACACACATGTTCGAGGTCATCAATTGGTCATACGTGCTATCCAACAGGTAATGTCCGGATGTTGGATAAATCTCAGACCTGGTACGATGACGTGGAGAGTCTCGGTTCAATTCGTTAGACATCTCCAATCGCGGGCCATTCGCTTCTCATCTTCTCCGCCTAAGCGAGGTCCTAACTGGCAACCTTCGGCCTTGTACTGCCGGGATTAACGACTAGGCGCAGGTAGCCGAACACCGGTCACGTCACAAAAGTCCATGATCAGCAGACCTTGGTTAGACCTAGCGAAACTAGACTTGGATAGGTACAATAGGTTTCTTGTTGGTATGACGCCTGCAGAATTGCAAATTGGTGGAAAGAAACCGTGTTGGATGGGCCCCACCCCTGAGGGAACCAGGCCCAGCATTAAATGTCCGAACACCGAGGAATGTAACCCCTGGCGCAGGGCCTTCAGTCTCGGATCTCGGGCGTTACTCCATGCTTTCGCGCTTCCAACGTCTCTTCCACGGCGGAATGAAGTACAACCCATCCAATAATATTCCGAAACCGAGGTGGCGAGGCGCACAGGGAGAACCAGAAGCACCACCGAAGGGGTGAAAGTTCATGGATTGGTTTCCCATGATCACTTGTGGACATCTCCTTGCCTGGAGAAAACCACCCCTTCACCAGGGACCCACTTCGCTCGAGCTGCCGAATGTTTTTAGCATCCCTGTCTCCAGATGTGGCTTACAGTTTATCAAACACCGTCTCTCAACAGTCACCATGCACTGGCTGGTTTCAGACCACGGGTGAAAGTCGGACTGGAGCCGTGCCTTAATTGGGCAACTTGACGGCAATTTGGATCAGCCCCGTGTCATGTTGCGTGCTGCTTGATACGTCCCGGCTTGCATGTCTACACCCGGGATCCGCGGGAGCCGGAATTTAAGGGTTTTTTTATTGCCCCTTCGCAAAACACCGAACCCCAACAAAGCACGGAGATTAATTACGTAGAGCAACGTACCGAAGCTGCTGGCAGTAAACGCTTTGTGAACATATATATCTGATCTACGTTACGGCACTTCTACTGTTCTTAGGAGTTTCAACAACGGTTGGGAAACGTCCAGCGATCTAAACTCTCACGCTTCCGAACCTAACCCGAGACCTGTAGCCGCCATATTTTACCATGTTCGAAATCCTCGCTGTCCGTTTTCCGTACCCTGCACCACAAGAAGGATTTTGGGGGAGGCCAACGTCCACCCTAAACTGGTGCGAGGAAGTTAAGTATTTCCACCATCCCTGGCCTCCGGCATTACTGCGGTTCATTTATCCGTTGGCTCATGTCTAACATGTATTCCAGGACTACGTCATCAGCCACTACGCTGCGGAAATCATGAACACCCTCACCAATGTTTTATTCATTGCGCTTGGCGTTCGGGGGGTGCGGAATTGCCTCAAATACAAACACGACAGAATATTTCTCATTGCGTACATGGGCTATTTGCTCGTAGGCTGCGGCAGCTTCGCTTTCCATGCGACTTTGACATGTACCATATCCCGTCTCCTCAAAGCGACGCAAGCTCGCTAACAAATGCCTAGATCCAATGCAGCTTGTAGATGAGCTTTCCATGATCTATACCACATGCATCCTCTGCTATGCAATTTTCACCCACTCGAAATCTCGCTTGTTTGCGATACTCCTTGGAATTGGACTAGCCGTACTGTCCATTTCAATCACAGTGCGTACCTCAAGCGTTACGGCATGATCTGTCACTGACGTGACTCTTCCTCCCAGGCATATTACCACTATGTTAAAGATCCCTTATTCCATCAATGCGCCTTTACCATACTCTTTATTACCACAGTGTTCCGGAGCCTGTACACGATGGAATCAGTTTTGCGTCCCTTATTGAGCGAGAAGTACGCAGACAAGGCCGGCGGGATTTCGCCCTCAAACACGGAAGCGCGAGGTTTCCCCGTTCGAGGAGACCACGTTATAATTCGTGAGATGCGGTGGATTGTCGTCATGGGGTTCGTCACCTCTGTAGCAGGTATCGCCGCCTGGAACCTGGACAACTTATGCTGCAGTGATCTTCTCCGGTGGAGACATCAAGTGGGACTGCCATGGGGTATAATTCTCGAGGGCCATGGAGTACGTAAGACTTGGCAATTCCTGTATTCAGACAGCTAACAAGTTGGTAGTGGTGGTATGTTATTGCACAGAGATAGTGTACCGGTCTTCCGCTAATGATATCTAGGCACGTGCTGACTGCCTTGGGAGTGAACTACTTTATCACCTGGGGTATTTGGCTTAGGCACTGTTTGAACGACCTGCAAGAACACTACATCTTGAATTGGCCACATAAGCTACTCTCTCTTCCGGATGTTGTTCCCTCGGTGGAGCACCCACGGTACTCGAGACTACAGTGTACAATGAATGATGGCTTCGGGAATGCTGGGTTGGAAAAAAAGGATTTGTAGTTGCTCATCGTAAACCTTGTCCTTTCCCGTCACCCAAGCCTCATCCAACCCACTGACGAGAAGATAATCATATGGCTTCCATGGACGAGACTTGTGTATATGAAGCTTGGTTTAGGAGACGTCAAGTAGATTCGCAGAGATAGAACTGAATGTCATCATGGGATATGTCCTTTGTCTGTGGATAACGATGACATTATTCCCCTGACTTCCGCAGATGGATCGGCCCAGCACCCCGATTCCAGCTCTGCCAAGGTGATTTTCACTCTGAATTCGCCACTACCGTGTACATCTGCAGCTAACTCGACAACACACTGAATCACGAACCAGAGACTTCGAACGCGGGGAAGCCGGACTATAGGTAAGGGCCCGGCATTGGTGGCTGCTGGCAGAACCGCGAAGTAACCCGGTTCGACAGATCTAGCGCCTTGACCCAACACATCGAACCTATTGCTCGCACAATGTAAAAAGGTAGAAGGTTGGGAAT